TCAGGCAATTCTAGGTTGCCTGCTTTTCCTTTCCTTTAGCTTTCTTCAGCTCCTTTTAGATGGGTGCTGCAGGGTGTTTATCTGCCTGGGGCCCCTTGCAATGCTGCCTCCCTTCTTTCTGCTAATGCACTGGGAGATTCCTTTGTGGTAGAGTGCAGAGGCACCTGGTGGTTTTCTGAGCTGGTTTCCACTGGTTCCCCCACCCTTACTGAGGCACTCGGAGGTCCAGGCATTGGTGTTTGCCTGCTCTACCACCTGGGCTTGAGGATCTCCTCCTGGTTGACAGTTGGAGGCTGTAGGTACCTTGTGTTGGGTTGGAATCAGCAAGCCTGGGACTTTAGGAAGACTCTAGGTTGCTTTCTTCAGCTCCTTTTAGATGGATGCTGCAGGGTGCATATCTGCCTGGGGTCCTTTGTAGTACTGCTTCCTTTATTTTTGCTGAGGCACTGGGAGACTTGTTTGCTGGGCTGCTGCACTGCTGTTCCCCATATTTCTTCTAGTTCAGCTGTTCCAGGGTTTTTTTTTTTTCTGGGGTGATATTTTCTGGGTTTTCAGAGGTTGATAGGGGAGGGTGAGAATGACTATCTTTTTACTCCACCATCTTGGCTCCCAGAAGCAGAAGTCCCAAATGATATAATTTCAATTCCAACCATGTAATCAATAGCCAATTGGAAGAAGACACACCTATGTTGCTCAAGATTTTGCTCTGTCATCTGCTAATTGTTATTAAAAAAACAAACAAACAAAATCCTGTCAATCCTCACTCTGGGTCTACAGTCATTGAGAGTCCATTGATCCAATTTATTGTTTACTGCTAGTCTAACTAATAAATCGATGATGCTCAGAACCTTGTCTCTGAGTTTACCTTAATTTTCAAACACAATACTTGTTCACACAAGCCATAAGTGTCTGAGATGGGATTCAAACCTAGGTCCTTTGAATACAACTCCAATGTTCTTCCCACTGTTCCATAAGCCTTTTTTCTCTTTTTCTTTTTGAAAAAGAAGTGACAGACAAAGCCCCAGGAGCTAGATATGGATCCTAGGACAAAAGAAGGCCCTGATAGAAGCAGCATGGTTTTCTGAAAAAGTGATAAGCTTCGTGTATTTACATCCAGGGCTAATCTGACAGTCTTTTATAGAGTCCCAGGGTTTAGAGCTAGAAGGAGCTCTGGAGATCATCTAGTCCAACCCCCTAATTTTACAAAGGAGGTAAATGAAGCCCAGAGAAAGGAAAAGACTTGTCCAAGGTCATATAGTAAGTAGCAGGGTTAGTAGTCAAACTTGAGATTTCTGATAAGAAGCACAGTTCCCTTGCAACTATACCAAGCTATCTTTATTAAGGGAGAGAGAGCTAGCTATTCTAGGAAAGTTTCTTTGAGTATGCCTGTTCCAGGGTAGTGTTTCCAAAGGTAGGCATCTCTAGTGGAAGTGACAGAGGGAGTACTATCAGTGAATTCTGATTTACCTGGTAGAGGGAGGTATTGATGCACAAAGGAAGTTGAGAAAGTAGATATTCTGTTATTCATGGGTCCAAAGACCTATGCCCAAGAAGTGGCAGCACTATCTTTGGGTTGGGATGTGTTTTAAGGAAAAGGGCTCAAGAACATCCTTTTCTTTTCCTTCTCCTTCTCTTTGTGGTCTAACAGGGATAGCTTGTCCTAGTAAAGTTTCCTTGATGTGATATTGATGTCCATGAATGAATAAAAGGGTCAACGAAGGGACAGGATGTAGTTCAAGGTAACTGGAGTGGATGAAAAAGAGAGCAAGCTAAACTACTCAACTCTTATTTTGCTTCTGTCTTCTCTGACAAGGAAAACGGGAAGGATAGAATAAAAGTGGTTAATAGAGAACGGAAACTCAAGATTAGTGAGCAGAGAGTAAGATAGTACCTAACTGCTCTCAATAAGTTCAAGTTGCCTCACCTGGATGAACTACATTCTAAGGTACTGAAAAAAACCAGTAGATATGATGTCTGAGAAAGAGTATTTGACAAATTTTGTCAGTCTCAGGAAGAGTAAATATTGTCTTTGGTTTCCAAAAATTAGAAGAGGATGGTACCTGTCAACTACTAAACAGTAAGGCATGTTTCTATTTTTTTTTTAATTCTACAACATATTATTAAACAGATAGTAAACAGATAAGTAAGCTTTTTAGGAGAATGCTGTGATCACAAAGACCCAGCATGAGTTCATCAAACACAACGACTAACTTCATTTCCTTTTTTGACTGGGTGACTAGATTGTTAGAAAAGGGAAATGCTGTATTTTACTTAGATTTCAGTAAAACTTTTGACAAAGTTCCTTAGACTACCCTTGCAGAAAAGATTGAGAGATATAGGCCAAACAGGAGTACACTTACTGGATTTGAAATCACTGAATCTTCATATCCAAAAAGTAGTCATTAATAAATCCATGTCATCTTGGAAAGATGTCTCTGGTGGGTTGCCTGGATATTTCCTTCAGCCTGTGCTGTTCCAACACTTTTATCAATAATTTCTATGAAGGCATAAAAAGTATGTTTGTCATATTTGAAGATGACATGAAGCTTTGAGGGACAGCCAATAAACTGGATGACAGAATCATTATGTAAAAGAGATTCTCATAACCTAGGACAATGGGTCATATTGAAAAAGAGTACATTTCATAGGGAAATCTTTAAAGTTCTATCCTGGAGTTCAAAAACGCACTTTACAAGTAAAGAATGGAGGTGTTGTATATAAACCTTGAGAAAAAGATATGGATAATTTAATGAACTGAAATTTCAATGAGTCAACAATGTTACAATAGTTACCAGCAAAAAAAAAAGCATAGTAGTGACCAGAATAAGCAACATAACAGTTCAATTATACTCTGATCCAGTCAGTCAACTGGGTACAATTGTGGACATCACATTTTAAGATCCTCATAGAGAAGAAGGGACACATTGACAAGAAAGGGACTGGGTTGATGGGAGGACTAGAGACAATGACATATGAACATTAGCTGAAGCAATTGGTTGTTTGTCCTGAAGAAGAGATTTAAGTAGGACATGATAGCAGTCTAAGTATTTGAATGACTATCACATGAAAGAACAATTAGTTTTGTCATACTTGGCCCCAGAGAGCAAGACCAGGAACAAGGCATAAAAGTTGTATTAAGGCAGATTTAGACTTAATGTAAAGAGAAATTTCCCAACAACTAAAGCCATCCAAAACTATAGTGGACTGCTTTTGGAGGTGGTGGTCCTCACTAGTGGTCTTCAAGTAGAGGCCAAATGACCATTTGTGTTGTAGAGAAGAGCCTTGATCAGGAATGAGATGGACTAGATTACTCAGATGTGCCCTCCTGCTTTGAAATTTAGTGATCTTGCTTAATACTTTGTAAAGAGCTCCAGCAGGACCTAAGTTCAAACCCCACCTCTGATGTTTATTCTTCTTGTGACCATGGACAAAATTATTTCTCCTCCCTAAGTTTCAGTTTCCTAATCTTTAGTCAACAAGCATTTCTAAAACACCTACTATGTGCCATGCGCTTTGTTAAGGGTACCAAAAAAAGGCAAAAAAAACCCCAAAAAACATTCCTGTTCTCAAGGATTGTACAGTCTAATGGAGGATCCAACATGCAAATAACTTTGTGCAAACAAGATAGATTTGGGATAATTTGGAGGCAATCGACAGATGGAAAGTACTAGCATTAAGGAGGACCAGGCTAGGTGCCTTGTAAAAAGTGACATTTTTTCTGGAGCTTGAAGGAAGAGAGGGAGGCAGAGAGAAGATGAGAAGAGTGTTCCAGGTATAGGAGACAGACATCCAGTGAAAACGCCCAGAGTTAGGAAATATAGTGTCATATGGGAAGAACAGCAAGAAGTTCAGATTATATTGTAAGGAGTAAGGTGCAAGAAGATTGAAAAGATGAGTTGTTGTTTTAGTTGTTTTTTCAGTCCTGTTGGACTCTTCCTCACCCCATTTGGGGTTTTCTTGGCAAAGATACTGGAGTGGTTTGCCATTTCCTTTTCCAGCTTATTTGACAGGTGAGGAAATTGAGGCAAATAGGGTTATGTGATTTGCCCAGGGTCACACAGCTACTAACTGTCTGAGGCCAGATTTGAACTCATGAAGATGACATTTCCTGACTCAGGCTCAGCACTCCAGCCACTGTGCCTCCCAGCTGCCCTAAAATGATAAGAAGAAACTACTTTATGAAGTGTTTTAAATGTCAAACAGAGGATTTTATATTTAATTCCGGAAGAGGGAGCAACTGGAGTTTAAGAGGCATGACATGGTCAGAGCTGTGCTTCAAGAAAATCAATTTGAAATCTACAAAAATGAAGGTCTTGGACTAAGTGGCCTCTAAGATCCTCTCCAGCTCTGTATTTATGATTCCATAATCTCTAAAGTCTCTTCTCTCTCTAAATCCTGTAATCTTTGACCTTCCAAGAAAGGTCTAAAGGCCAAAGCACAGAGAAGCAGGAAAGCAATTTGTTAAGGTACGCTTCCACAGGTTCCGTCCAACCTTTGCCACAAGCAGGAATAAATCCATCTCGAAACTCTCCAACTCTCACTAGGCCCCGCCCCTCACTATAGCCACTCCCACAGGCCCCGCCTCCGCTCCAGGAATTCCTTGCCCCCTCTCCCCAACCCCTCCCCCAGCTCCTTTCGGCCAGGATAGGAACCACAGAGATGGAGTCCTCCGGATTTCCTAGAAGAACCTAGCAAGCCCCTTTTGTGTCCCCGCCCCCCCTCGCTTCTCTTCCCAGTCCCGCCCCCTGCCTCTCCTCGAGGTGGGCTGGCTCCCTTTATCCCGAGCTCCATTGGCTGTGAGCAGGCGGGCGGGGCGGGCGCCTCTCAGGACCCACCCCCTCTCCTGCTCCTCAGCCCCGCCTCTGGAGTGTCGGTGGCAGGTGGTGTGATTGGGTGTGAATAAAGGAGAACGCGCGAGCGCAGCTTCCCGAGGCCAGCAATGCTCCCTTCCGCAGCCGGGTCCTCCGTCCGTTCTGTCCGGCCCGTGGGTAAGTGTCTGTCAGCCCTACAGGAAAAGATCACAGGGTTTGGATTCCAGAGACCTAGATAACAATACCGGCTCTGCCTATCATTCTTTGTAACCGTGAGCAAGTCACTTGACATATCATTGGCCAATCAGTGCGCCCATCAATCAGTCAGCTCTGTTGACACAGCGTTTAGTGGATGTGTCCGTTGGCTATCAGTTTTCAGTCCATCATCAGTTTTTCAACAGTCACTCGGTGGGTCAGTCAATCTTTAGTGGGTAAGTCAGCCCTCAGTGCCCAGTCGCTTGATCAGTTACAGTCACTTGTTTAGTTACCCCCTCTGTCTGTTGGTCGGTCAGTCTTTCAGCTATCCAATTTTCTGGTCAATTGGTCAATAAACCCATTCACTCCATCATCTCCTGAATTCCTGTCCTTCCTGGAGTGGGGACATGATTTCCCTTCATATCTGGGCTGGGGCACAAACATTTATCTGTCTAGCCTAAAGAAGGGAATAAAGGTTAGGTTGGCATACCTACACTGTAGGCAGACCTAATATTGAAAAAGAAAAAAGGAGATGGTTAATAAGAGGATTGACTGACCCACTAGGAGTGATTTCCTGACTAAAGGAATGACTGCTTACTGGCCTCTGACAGCTGATTGACCCCATTGACCCAATTGACCAAAACAAATTTCCACATTAGCCCTGTTATAGGAAAAATATGTGTGTATACATACATATGGCAGTTAGGTGGCACAGTGGCCAGACCTGGGTCAGGAAGACTAATTTTCCTGAGTTCAAATCTGGCCTCAAACACTTACTAGTTATGTGACCCTGGGCAAGTGACTTAACCCTTCTTGCCTCAGTTTCCTTATCTGTAAGATGAGCTGGACAAGAAAACCCCAAATGGGGTCACAAAGAATCAGACACGACTAAAACAAGTGAACAACTACTATATATGTATATGTATATATGTGTGTGTGTATGTATATATGTGTATGTATGTATGTATGTATGTATAAAAATGTGTGTATCATTCTCTACTCTGAGTCTTTTTAAGTCCCTATCATGTTTCATCATTAGTTCTCTGAAATTGTGGTCGGTCATTACACTGATCAGAGTTCCTAAATCTTTCTGGAATTGTAGTTGCTCAGAATTCCCAAAGTTGTTTGTCTTTATGCTATTGTTGTATAAATTGTTCTGCTGATTCTGTTCATTGCATCAACTCGTACAAGTCTTCCCAGGTTTATTTGAAACTATCCCCTTTATCATTTCTTACATCAAAATACTCTATCACCTCTATACAGTACCTTGTTCAGCCATTCCCCAGTTGATGCCCACCCCACCTCAGATTCTAATTCTGTGTCCCCTCCTCAAAAAGAGCTATAAATATTTTTGCATAGCCTTAGTTAGCATTTATTTTGTTTAGAATTAATTCCTCCCTCAATCTGAACTCCCTCTAATTCCCCTTTCTCTCCTGTTTCCCTATTGAGTGAAATGTATTTATGTACTATGTGTATGTGAATGACCTATCATGAATGACCTACACTTCAAATGGTGTCAGTACAGTTTTGTCAACATGTACCAATTAGGGATTAGGTAAAATTTCTATTTGGGTCATTTTTTTAAAAAAATGTTTTTCTGAGTGTGTGTATTCTTCCCTTCTTTGACCAGTTCAGATGAGCTTGAGATTCAAATTATCAGTAGCTCCCCCGCTTCCTCTTTGTATAGCTTTCTACTCACTCATCCCAATTATGAGATAATTTCCCTTCCCATCTATTGTATTCTTCTCCCCTTCTCTTTCTATTCTTCTTTTAAGATCTTCAAGATATGATATAACCACTCCCAAATCTTCTGTCCAATTAGATTCCTTCTATGACTCTTGATGATGATAGGGTTCAGAGGAGACATCTATATCATCTCTCCATATTAGAATGTAAGCAGAGTATCCTTGTTTACTCTCTTATGATTGTTTGTTCTTGTTTACCTTTTTATGCTTATCTTCACTTCTTGTTTAAACTTCAAAGTTTCTGCAGGGCTCTGATCTTTCCATCAGAAATACTTGAAAGTCTTCTGTTATCTCTTTCATTAAAGGTCGATCTTCCCCTCTGTATAATTATATTTGGTTTTAATGGGTAAGTTATTCTTTCCTCTAAGCCTATACCCTTTGCCTTCTGGAATTTTCTGTTACAAGTCCTCCACTCTTTTATAGTGGTGACTGCTAAATCATGTGTAATTCTGACTGTGACTACTAAGGTACTTGAATTCTTTCTTTCTGGCTGCTTGAAGTATTTTTTTTTCTTTGACATGGAAGCTATGGATTTTGGCTATAATGTTCCTGAGAAAGTTTTCATTTTGAAGTTTCTTTCAAGAGATTACTGGTAGATTCTTTCTATTTTGACTTTGTCTTCTGTTTTTAAGAGATCTGCATAGTTTTCTTGAAATATAATATCTAGGCTCTTTTTGTAGTTATGGCTTTCAGGTAGTTCAATGATTTTTAATTTTATTCTTCTCAGTCAGGATTCCAAGTCAGTTGTTTCTGCTGTAAAATACTTTGTATTGTCTTCTCTTTTTTTAGTCTGTTGACTTTGTTTTTAATATTTCTTATCTATTGACTTCAATTTGATCCATCCTAATTTTCAGTTTGTTGTGTGAGTAAGGTTTTATACCTCTTATGCAAATCTGTTGATTCCCTTTCCAATTCTTTCTTTCTATAGGCTCATTTCTTTTCCATTTTGTCCTGCAAGCATTATCATTTCATTTGTAAAAATGTTTTTCAACTCTAAAAAGATTCTTGCTTCATCTCTTTCAGGAATTCTAGTTGAATGTGTTCCCAAGCCATTGTTCTAAAGCCAAAACATGTACATGCTGGTACATGTTTTGGAGTCTTTCTTTTCTGGTTTTCTCTCTTGAGCATCCCTGTCACCATAATAGCTTTTTATGGTAGGATTCTTTTTTCCTTTGCTCACTCTTCCAGACTATTTCTTGACTTCAGACTTGATATAAGGGCCAAGTTCTGCACCCTTCTCTAGGGAAGTTCCAGGCTGGTTCTACTCTTGCTTTCTTGGAAGTACTGAATGTTGTAGGATCTCAGGAATAGTTCAGGCTGGGAACATTCAAGCTATCAGTGGTCTCAGAGTTGTCTAATCCAAGGCAAAGTCTGATCACTGACCCCCTGACCTGAGCTCTCCAAGTGCTTTATCCTAGGTTTGGGTCTGATTAACAGGTCCTACTCCTGCTGGACTCCACCACTTTCAGCCAGCTGGTAAGCTGCACTGGTTCAGTCAAAGAATAGCAAGCTTCCCTTTGGTCTGGGATTCCCTACCCTAGTTATTTCTCTGTAGGCTTCAGACTAGGCTAGAAGTTAGAACTGAACATCTGGACATCTAAGGGTTGGGAGGAAGGAAGAGAATCTGGAACCCAAAATTTAAAAAGAAAAAAAGTATTGCCTTGCCACAATGAAGGCCCAGTTGAGATTCTGTGATAGAAATTTATAGTGGGCCTAAGCACTTGGTTTCCCTATTTTCTGTAATTCTGGTAGTATATGAATAGGAGCAAAAGTGAGAGTAGGAGAAGAGGATGTGCCAGCGAGACTGGGCCCAAAAGGTTCACTGCTTGGAAGTTCAGTTTCTACTGGAATGCTAGGATGGGCTTCTATTTGAGAAATTGAATGCATAACCCATTAGGAAAGTTTCTCAAAATAGATGGTTTGCTAAATGCACATATTCTTCTTTTCTTCTGTTTGCTGTTCTTTCTTTTTTATAATGTGGGGCTTAAAAAACCCGCAAGTATATTTATACAAGATGTTGCTGTTTCTCTTAAAACAAACTTAGAAAGTAGTTTAACCACTCTGTGCTTATTTCCATTCTTCACAGGGGTTAAAGTTGCTTCTGTCTTTGTCACTGAGATGTTGAGATTCTATAGAAAGTGCTATGAATTTCCTAGAAAAAAAGCCTTAATAACATCCAAAAAATTATCATCATCAACTCTAAACATGGATAAATCAAATATCTGTATGTAACATTTTTCTTAAAGCATTTATTTTCTTTTAGGTTCACTTAAATTGCTTGAGTACACAGACATGGACCTCCAAAAGTCTCCTAAGGAAACAGTACTTATTACAGGAGGAGGTGGCTACTTTGGTTTCCGGTCGGTGCCTATGGGGAGGAAAAAAGTATACATGGATTTCTTTCCTAGGTTGCTGCTTTAATGGAAGATTAGAAAAAGTACAGCTGGGAGCTGTAATACTTTTGTAATACTATCACTTATGATATCATAGTGCTATCTCATATGTGAGCTAACTATATAACTACATTGGACTCTAAAATCAATTAATACATGTGTGTCTTGCTTCCAAAAACAAAAAGCAATATTTGAAAATCCAATTAAGTAAATATAATTAGAAGTGCTCTTTCACTTTAAAGAAGGATTTTTTAAAAAACAGCTACCATAATAGCTTTTAGTGTTTAGTTTTTAAACTAAGAGAGAATGGATGGGGCACTGAAAAAGAGAGAAAATGGGATTGAAAGCATTAAAAGCCATTACCTAGGGAAGATCACTTGAAAGGTAATTCTGTGACTCTCTGTAGTCACAAAATAAGCCAATTATATGGATAAATTTAGGAATTGTATATTACTTTTCAAGAACAAATTCCATATGTAAATTAAGCAAATCTGTAATTCCAAGAAAATTTAATTTAATTCACATTTCAGACATTAATAATTTGTCAGTCTTACTAGAGACAGCATAGTAATTAATACTTGTGATGTTTTCTCCTTCTCGTTTCAGTTTGGGGTGTACACTATGCAAGAAGGGTATTGCTGTGATTCTGTTTGATATCAACATTCCTATTCAAGATCTTCCCAAGGGGATGCAGTTGATATATGGAGATATTTGCTGTATCACTGATTTAGAGAAAGCCTTGCAAAATGTTACTTGTGTTTTCCATATTGCTTCCTTTGGCATGTCAGGAAAGGAGCAATTGAATCATAAGCATATTGAATATGTCAATGTAAAAGGCACAGAAAATGTACTCCAGGTTTGCAGAAGGAAAGGAGTACCAAGACTGGTTTATACTAGTACTTATAATGTGGTGTTTGGAGGCCAAGTTATAGTGAATGGGGATGAATCTCTGCCCTACCTACCTCTTCACCTTCATCCTGATCACTATTCCCGCACCAAATCTGTTGCAGAGAAAAAAGTGCTGGAGGCAAATGGTGCAGCCTTAGAAAGGGGAGTTGGTGTTCTGAGAACCTGTGTTTTGAGATCAGCTGGTATCTATGGGCCTGGAGAACAAAGGCATCTTCCCAGGATAGTGAGATATATAGAAAAGGGCCTCTTCAAATTTGTGTATGGCGATCCCAAAAGCTTGGTAGATTTTGTCCATGTGGATAACTTGGTACAAGCCCATATCCTGGCCTCAGAGGCATTAAAAGCTGACAAGAAACACATTGCCTCTGGACAGCCTTATTTTATCTCTGATGGAAGACCAGTGAACAATTTTGAATTCTTCCGGCCTTTAGTTGAAGGGTTGGGTTATCCATTCCCCACCTTACGCCTACCATTAAGCCTCATTTATTTCATTGCTTTCATGACAGAGATGGTCTTCTTCCTCTTAGGCAGGTTTTATAATTTCCAGCCTTTCCTCACCCGAACAGAAGTCTATAAAACTGGGGTCACACACTATTTCAGCATGGAGAAAGCTAGGAAGGAACTGGGTTATGAACCACAACCATTCGACTTCAAGGAAGTGGTAGATTGGTTTAAAGCTGAGGGTCATGGTAGAAAATTCCAAAATTACACCTTGAAGCATCTCATTTGGAATGGCATTTTGGTTTTCCTCCTAGCTGTTGCAGTTCTCACATGGTTTTCCAATGTCTATGGGTGATGTCAGTTTGAAAGATTTATTTTGGAAATTATTTTGTGGAGAACAAGGAATTTCCACAGCTAGCACAGCACTGTTGTTCCACAAGCAGATTCTAGAATGCACATAATCTTTCAAACAAGGGGCCAAATTTACGACTCCAACAACTGATCAAGAATAGCCTTTTATACATTAGATTCTATCTAGTCTTCAGTTATCCCTCCTAACTCAGAATGATGTCTGAGGGAAGAAAGGAATGAAAGATGAATCGGAAATTGTGTTTTGTTTTGTTTTCATTACTTCTTTTGAAGCTGTGGCTTAGGGGAAATACAGTCATTTCAAAATTTGTGTATGGGAGTAGATTTTCCTTGAATTTTTCCCAGAGCAGTTGTGTATTTTTCTCATAGCATATTCCAGAACCAGATAACACATTTCATTTAAAATGAACTAAAAACATGAACAGGCATCATATCTGCAGTGACTAAACACTTATAAGAAAGACTTAAAAATAATATTAATAACTTTTCAGTAAGATTTCAGGCTGGACACTCTTCTAAAGAGGGGGTAGGCACTGATAGAATTATGGAGTTGGAAGAAATCTTAGATGTCATCTAGTACAACCTCATCTACCCAGTTCAGAAATACCTTCTACATTATCCATAGCAGTGATAACATGTTGTGCTTAAACAGCTCCTTTGATGATGAATTCCGTATCTGATTCCATATTTAAACATTTCTAATCATTAAAACATTCCTATATCCAACCAAAATCTGTTTCTGTAATTTCCACCTATTGATCTTCCGAGGCCTCAAGTTTTTGTTATCTGTTATCTAATAGCTTCTAATATGTCCTCAGGGTCAGCATTTTTAGAGCTTATTGGACTGTTTTCCCCTATTAGTCTGTAAACTCCTTGAGATTAGGAACTTTTGTGCCTTACTTATCTATGTATCCCTCACAGTGCCTTATACTTAGTAGGTGATAGTTGTTTCTTCAGTGAAATTGAGAGCCTGTAGGACAATTTTTTAATCTGTTCAATGGTCATCCATCTTTGTCTTCTAAGACAGATTTGATTTTTAGAGATAGCAAAAATTCATTCTAAGCCAAAGTTCACAAATAGGATAGAAGATCAAGGCGTGGACTTTTCTTTTTGATCAAAATTGCATAACTCTAATGACTAATTTTGTTGACTGGTTCTAGAGACAGCCACTAAACAAGGAATCCAAACGTGTTTTAAGCACTGGAATCATTGTTGGAATGGGTATAGCCTACCATACCTACAACTTTGAGGATAACCCTTATACAAATGTATATGTTCTGGACTGTTAATTAAAAAGAAGTCTCATTGTTTTATAATCCCATCTCCTATAGATTTTGTTTTTAAATGCAGTATTCAAAGATTTCCTTTTAGCTATTTTGCCTACAATAGAATAGTGGCTACCAGATGAATAATGGTATCATGGAGATGATCTTGTGGTCCGAACAGCTGTTTCAGCTACAGGGATCATTGACTAAGAGAAGGATTACATGTTTTTCCACTCAACTTTCCTTTTTAAAAAAGAATAAAACTTTACTTTTCAAATGTTAGACAAGAAAATAGTCTTAGAGCACACTTTTAAAGAAGTATTTATCTTGAAGTTGGGAAACTTCAGGCAAGTCAAAGTTTTGACTTTACTTTCTCTATCTCTGTCTTAGTTTCCTCATCAGTAAAATGAAGGGCTTGGACTAGATCAGCGATTCTCAAAATGTGGTCTGGGGACCCATATATGTTCATGAGTCCCTTTCAGGGGGTCATCAAGGTCAAATCTATTTTCTAAGATGTTTTATTAAACATTTATTATTAAATTATATTTATTTTTATAATACATCTTATATATAATAATTGTAATTATTAAAATGTATTAAACTAAGATGTTTTCATTTTGAACATGGTAAATATTGATAGATAAAACCCACATAAACAAAAGTCTTTGGGATTTAAGAATATAAAGGCGTCCTGAGACCAAAAAGTTTGAGAATCATTGGACTAGACGGTCTCTAAAGTGTCTTATGGCTCTAATGTGACTTATGTAAGGTCACAATTTAAATAAAAATCGCTGACATTTCTATAACACTTTAAGATTTGCAAAGTGCTTTATAAACATTATCTCATTTGGTCAACAAACATTAAAGCACTTAATATATACAAAGTACTATGCGAAGTACTGAAATTCAAAGACAAAAACAAAACAATCCTTACCCTCACGTAACTTATATTCCACTGGTCAGTCAATAAACATTTATTAAGTGTCTGATATGTGCCAGGCACTGTGCTAAGTGCTGGGGATGCAAAGAAAGCAAGGAAAGCGGGGGGGGGGGGGGGGGGGGGGGGAGGCAAACCAGTCCCTACTCTCAAGGAATCCACAGTCTAATGGGGAAGAAAACAACCAAACAGCCATAAATAAAGTATATACAGGATAATTTGGATATGGGTTGTAATCTTGTAGAAAATGTGGTTAGGAATGTTGTATCTGCATATCACTCATCAAGATGTGGAAGCTGCTGAGGTATTGACAGCTGTAGGCTGTTGGTGCTACTAGATGAAGAGACTGAGATGAACCCTAATTACCAAATAAATGTGGGGAATGGGAGATGTAATTAGGGGCAGAGTCTCATGTGGGGAAATCAGGCACTCTGGATAGGCTGTAAACCCTGCATTACCCAGCTAATAGGGAAACGGGAGGAAACTGTGATTCGGGACTAGGGATAAAAAGCTTTGCTCCTGCTTCTGTAAGGTGTGCCCACACATGGGACACCCAGCCTTGCTAGGCCATTAATAAAAAGTTGTTTTGTTTTTTTTTTCTGATTCACCAATAGCTTCGTAGAACTTTTGTTGCTTACAATCTATATTATTTAGAGGGAACATACAAATAGGTGAGATCACATTGTTCTTTCCATGACACCATACTATTTCTATATATAATACCTTATCTTAGAAATGATGGTTGTTCCCAACAAATGGCACTTTTTATAAACTGATTTAATTACAAAAAATTCCCTAGAACCACTTTTGATCAAAAACAAAGCAATTTAAATAGCAATTTGAAAAAAAAATAAGCAGATTTAACAGAGAACCTGAAGTTGTCCCCTTGTATTCTCTTGTTGAATGCTTTCTGCCAGATTCCTGCTGGCCCTGTTAATCCATCCCCCCAGACACCTTGATTTTTTTTTTTTTTGCCAAGCTATAGGAAGGAAAATAGTATCCTGTATTTAATAACCCCCTGTAATGGAACAGTGATCCTTGTATTAGTGACAAAAGATTAGGAAATGATCTTGCTCAGAACAGTCCAGTAGTCATGCTCATGCCCCTGGGGACCTAGAATAGAAGTCAGTGTTCCCACTCTGGGTTTATTTCCTTCATTGCACTTGGCCTCCTTTACATAGTCAGAATTTTCCAATCAGGCAACAACTACTGAGCGCTCACATGTGCCCATTATACTATAGAATGTAGGGAAGATCAAGGTTCAAGACAAGATCCATGTCCTTGAGCAGGTTATAATCTGAGGAGATAAGATGTGTACAAGTGAAAATTCAGTAACACTTCCAGAAAACATATATTCAAATGGTTATCACAAGTTTTGTTCAAAATGATTTGCTTTGTTTTAGGTTCTTTCAGAAAATAGCAATCTTCAGCAGCACTCAGTCCTAAAGAAGTAGTATCGCCATCACAATTTTGCCCAGTTTACATAATGGAAAAGGCCCATTTCATAGTATTTTGAGCTATAAAAGGAACATTGTAGTCCAACTCTCTGTGATTCCAGTTGGGGTGTGTGTTTGGGTACAGAGGGCTACTTTTCACAAAATCTTGCTCTCTTCTGCTCCCATCCAGTGAAACCCTGGATCCTTCAGTATCTGGCTCATATTCCTCCCCCAAGGTTTGGGTCCTTTAGCACCTTTATAAGCATTCAGGCTAACAACAGCAATAACACAAGAAGTTTTATTTATAAAGTAAAAATGCAGAAATGCTTTATACCTCAAGCCATAGATAAGAAAATTCTCCCTTCCCATAAGGAGCTATACGATCCTAACTTATGGTACTACTTTTTGTGACTTGAGGTTCCCAGAAGGTTGACTTCTCTTCTGCTTGGACCTGTATGCTCCCTTTGAGTCAGTACCAACAAAGGAAAGGTCCAAATTTCCTGTCCTCCTTTTTTGCTTCATTTTTTGGCTCTGAACCTCCTTCAGTCCTCAGTTCAGCCCCTTCTGTTTCTCAGTTCTGTGATTCTTTGTGACACCAATTTTTCACACTTTGGTGCTCCAGTGCTTTGCTGTCAGCTGAGCAGCATTAACGAGAATGGGCTTCTTTGGAGACTGGGCAGACTTTTCTCCTGATCTGTATGAGACTTGTCATGTCCATCAATTCCTACTCCTCTAATTGTCAGGCTGAAATTAGCACAAGCAGCAGAGAATCGATCCGTACTCTGTTGCATATCACTCTCAAGGTCTTTCTGAAGAACTTTGGTATTGATTGTGAGACATGGGAGACACTGGCACAGGACCGCCCAGCATGGCATACCCTCATCAAGGAAGGTGCTGTGTTCTGTGACGAAAGCAGAATTGCAGTAGCTCAAAAGAAATGTGTGATGCACAAGTTTAGAGACATCTCCATCCCAAACATTTAAGCATACTATTTGTGCCTGACCTGTGGTGTGAGTGTATGAGTTGGAAGTCAAAAAGCATTTAAGTGCTTCCTACGTACCAGGAACTGTTCTAAGTGCTGCTTTGCTATTGTTCAGTCAATTCAGTTGTGTCTGACTCTTCATAACCCCATTTGGGGTTTTCTTGGCAATGATCCTAGAGTGATTTGCAAAATGGTGCAAAGAACTGCAAAAACCAAAAACTGTTCCCATCCTCAAGGATCTCACATTCTAGGACATAATATGTCAGTAACTAGGTACATACAAGGTGCATCCAAAGTATTTGGAAAGCAACCTCAGCAAGGAAGGCCTCCTGAAGAAGGTGAGGTTTGAGCTAATTCTGAAAGGAAACTGAGATTTAGGTGACTGTGACAGATTCCTGTCTGCCCTCCCTCTGCTTCTAGGGCCATGAAGTATTATTCCCAGTCTATGCCACTTGTATCCCACATGGTACCTTAAACAGAAACGATTCCCATCTTGTATGTGTGCCTCCATTGCACAAGGGGGTGGGGATACAACTTAATTTGGTGTAGTGGGAATAGTGGAGGATTTGAAGTTAGAAGCCCTGGGTTTGAATCTTGGCTCTGCTATTTACTACTTATGTGACCTTTGACACATCTCTTGGCATCCTCATCTATAAAATGAGGGGATTAATCAAGATGACTCTAAAATCATTTCTAGCCCTAAATCTATAATGCCATGACTTCCCCAACTACTTGATGCATAAACACTACAGCCCTTGTGTTGCCAATGAAACACCTGAGGCCCAGAGAAGTAAAGTTATTTGTCCAGGTTCATAGAGTTAATAAGTAATGGAGCCAGGTTTTTCTGAAGTCCGCCTGCTCATTATTTCTCATACAATCTGATGCTGAGTGAAGTGAGCAACACCAGGAGAACATGGTACATGGTAACAGCCACATTGTGTGATGACTAACTTTGATAGACTTATCTCTTCTTAACAATGCAAGGATCTAAGACAACTCCAAAAGACTCATGATGGAAAATGCTGTCCACATCCATAAAAAGAACTATGGAGTTTGAATGCTGATTGAAGCATATTATTTGCTTTCTCTCTCTCTTTTTTTTGTTTCTTCTTTCTAATAGTTTCTCTCATTGGTTCCAATTCTTCTTTACAACATGACTAATGTGAAAATAGGTTTAATATGAATGTACATGTTGAGCCTGTATCAATTTACATGCCTTCTTGGGGTGGGGGGGAGGGGAGAGATGGGGAAAAAATTTGGAACTCAAAATCTTATGGAAGTGATTACTGAAAACTAAAAACAAATAAATTGATTAATTTTAAAAATATAAGTAATAGAGCCAAAATTCAAACCCAGGTCCTGTGATCCAAAATCCGTTGCTCTTTCCATCACACTATTAAATAAAAGGCGTGTACAGTTTCTGGTAACTGGCCCAGAGTACACACAAGTTCCTATTTCCAATTAGTACCCCCAGGGCAAACCCTGGTCTGAAGTGGGCTTATCAGTTGTTTTCAAATTAGCATTTTGTAAAATGTGTTCTTTCACACTTTCATTTAATCCTCACAACAGTCTTGTAGTCTTGTGTGGCTGAGAGTTGTCTCATCTGTAAAATGGGGAAAATAGGATTTGGAGAGGGAAATGACTTGTCCAAGACCACACAGTACTAGAAAAGTAGAACTTCAGAATAGGTCTTCTAAATTGAAGGGGGAAATGGGCTTTAGATGTGTTTGTCTTTTTCTAGAAATAGTTCCAATTATCCCACAAAAAGACTGTTTAATCTATACGGCATTTCCCGCATTCTATCTCATTTCTTCACTTCCCTAATTGATTCACTCAGAGTTTTCCACAACATTTTTCGATATGCTGCTGAACTTCTCTGTGTCCCAGGTCTCCTTTTTGTAACTACACTGTTTAGCCAGCAAATACAAGTACCATCTGTGATCTTTAAAGGGTTCTCTGTAACAGCATCTAGTCCCATGAGAGCCAATCAAGGAATCAGAGAGGTAGAAGATGGTATTGAGATTGGTTTCATTGTCAGTCATGGGGTGTTTAGGACCCCAGGCATAGAGGTCACAAGATTTTTTTTGCTGTCCTAATCTTGGCTTAATGTTTACAGACGAGTGAACTAAAATATCTAAACTTGATCTATCAAAATCCTCAGTGTTTTCAATTTCAGTCTTCTGTGGGGTTCCTCTTTGACGAATTCTCCTTTCTGGGTTTTCTTTACTCTTTTGGTTCTCCTCCTGCCTAGCTGATGGCTGCTTAGTCTTCTTTGCTGACTTTTTATCCACGTCATGTCCACTAAGTGCATATATCCCCCAAGGCTGTCTCTTAAGTTCTCTTCTCTTTTCTCTCTGTAGTGGAAGGAAAGGGCCCCATATGTAGTAAGGCCCACCTATGATTAGGAGCTGTCATTCTGTGTGGCTTGAAGGGAGGCAGAATAGACATCTTTAGCCTCTTCTCCCCTTAACCTTTTCCAAGTAAGAGTTTCATTCCTGCTAGGAGGGGAAGCAGAAAGTTGGGGCAAGAGGCTGCTGTGCTCTCCTGGCGTGGAGGGGAGGAGTTACTGGGCTAGAAGTATATCTATCTGTTCCTTTGAGTTTTGATCATCAAAGGGGATAAGATCAAGTGTGGGTTAACTTTGGATCACTGTCATTTGGGGGCAAGAGGGACTCCAAGCTCCATATCCAAGGCTTAAACCCTTTCCTACCTAACACCATTTCCACAGTGAACACGTAGCAAATAGCAAAGAAGTCCATTTATCCAAAGCAGAGCAAGACAGAAATCAGAGAACGTATACATAAGAGAATATATACTAAACAATACAGAGTGAAGGAACTCTCCTATTAGGATCGAGGTAACTCAGCTCAAGCAAGAGAGAGAATACTAGATCTCACCCAAGGGGGAATTCTCCAAAGTCTCTTGAATATCAAGTTGAGAAAAGGAACATGATGAAGACTGCCATTTCCTCTCATGTCTTCCCAAAGTCTTTTCCTTCAGCAACCTGAAGTGGAATTGGCCTCTTCCACCTTCTCTCTCAATGCTGAAAGCCAAGGGCACCCAAAGCAACTTAGCATCATGAAAAAGACTCAAATCTTGATGACTCCCCAGAGAGGATTCTAGGGTAACTGGTGAAAGCTGGAGTGCTCAACTCCACCCAGCCCCTCACATAAAGCAAGGCATTCATCTCCACCACTAAGCAGAGAGTCCCATAGCAATAGGCCTTGGGACAAGGGTCATATCACCATACTTTCTCACTTGATGATCTCAATAAATAAAATTCATCTCTATAACATACCTCTACCTCTCTGAGGTAGCGGAGTGACAGTACATAGAGTGCTAGGCCTAGAATCAAAAAGTTCAAATGTGACATCAGATACTATCTATGTGATCTTGGGCAAGTCACTTAACCTCGGGTCTACCTCAGTTTCCTCACCTGTAAAACAGAGATAATAACAGCACCTACCTCACAGGGTTTTGAGGATCAAATGAGATATCTTTTGTAAAGTGTTTAGAACAACGCCTAAAACATAGTAGGTATATTTCATAGGTGTAATATAAGAACTTATTCCCTCCTTCCCTTCCCTCTACAGAATATTCCCACATCTATATATCCAGCCCTGGTCTCTTGCCTGAGCTCTGGTTTCCCATCACCAAATGCCTATTAAACATTTTGACCTGGATGCCGTATATACATCTCAAACTCAACATGTCCAAAACAGAACTTATCTCTTACTAACTCAATCTATCCAATCAGTTACCAAATCTTATTTATCTTTCTCCTACATCTTAGATGGGCCAGCTAGGTGGCACAGTGGATAGAGTGCTGGGCCTGGAGTCAGGAAGATGTATCTTCCTGAGTTCAAATCTGGCCTCAGACACTTATTAGCTGTGTGACCTTGGGCAAATCACTTAATCCTGTTTGCCTCAGTTTCCTCATCTGTAAAATGAGCTGGAGAAGGAAATGGCAAACCACTCCAGTATCTTTGCCAAGAAAACTCTCAATGGGGTCACAAAGTCAGACTCAAATGAAAAATGATGAACCAACATTACCTTAGCTACATCACCTCCTCTCCATTCACAGTCCATTCACAGTCACCCACCATAGTTCAAGCCTCATCACTTCTCATCTGGACTATTTCTATAGCCTTCTAATTGGACTTCCTACCTCAAGTCTCTCTTCACTCCAATCCATCCTTCACTCAGATGCCAAAGTGATTTTCTTAAGGCATAGTCCTGACTATATTACCTCCCTACCCGGCAAATTCCAAAGGCTCCATATTACCTAAAGGATCAAATATAAACTCCTGTGCTAAGCAGTTACATCTCTTTACAACTCAGCCCCTTCCCATATTTACAGTATCCATATTCATTACTCATTCCCCACATTCTACAATCTCTGTGATTTAGGCACACTCGTTTACTTGCTGTGCCTCACACATGCTTTGGTTTTTGTCTCCATGCTTGTGTATGTCTCCCATCCCTGGAATGCCCTCCCTTCTAACTTGTGTCAATCCCCAGCCTCCTTCAAGAGTCAGCTCAAGTGCTATGTGTTCCTTTCCTGTTTCCACCACCACCACTCCAATAGTGACTTTCCCTCTTGGACTATCTTCCATATTCTATAATTATCATTTAAGTGCTGATTTATACATATGTTATCTCTCCCATCAGAATGTTAGCTCCTTGAGATCAGAGACTATTTTTGTTTTCTTTGTATCTCTAATGCTTAACATATGATATTCCTGGCACAAATAAACGCTAAAGAAATGTTTGATTCTAATGTTATCAGTACATGTGGGTCCTCTGCTACAGTAAGATGGCTTTCCTGAATATTGGTTGATTGATGACTGAAGCACACTGGAGAAGCTCACTATTTAAAGGCAAAGAAACCATTGCTAAAGTGAATAATCATCCTCTAGCTTTATGCTTTGTACATCCTGGGTTTTCATATGTTACTTTTCTATAGTAGAGTAGTCCTATAGACACAGGCTATGAATACTACATGGGATATTAGAGGTTTTTAAGAAAATGACCATTCCCATTTCCCTCTTGAAATCTTTCACCTTTAGTTTCATTGTCTCTCAAAATAAAACTAAGCATCAGGAAAATCTAGATCGGTATTAATCATCACACCAAACTTTTCTTAAAATACAATTGAGCAATTTAATCCATCACAGCATTAATATCAGCCCACTGTCAGGGAGATAATCCACATAGTCTTTGCTATATACACATAGGCACATGATATTTATATAAAAATAAATTAAGCTTTAATAATAGAACACACAAGTTTACAAATGCAGCACTCATAGTCTAAAGAAAAGCAGGCACAATGGGATTTCAAAATCCTAGACAGATTTCTGGGTGCTGAAAACAAGGCAGCAGTGAAATCTAGCAAACAGGGCGTAATCTCTAAAAGAAGAAATCTTCAGCCAAACCTCAATGGATCATCTAACAAATATCTGGATGTTCAAATTCTTCAAAAATTCTGTCTGCTCTAAATCTAATTATCTATTCTTGTTGATCAAAATATGATTTCAGGGGTCTCAAGTTGAATATGAAGTAAAAATGAAAGCATTCTCTCTATATTTTTATGGTTCAAGATTAAGAAGCTCCCTTAGATGCCACTGAGACATTGCATCTCCATGCCAGAAGGAATTTTTGTGCAAGGGATTAATTTGATTTGTCTGAATCCTTTAGAATTGCCAGAGGGGTGCATATGTATGTGTGTGCGTGTGTGTGTACGTACACACATACTTATCTTTACAGGGGTATGATACTTGAGCCATTCTATCAACTATGGCTCTAAAACATATTGTTAATTATTAGTATTCATTGGAATATGCATTGGATAATGCAAAATCATTGTTTTTATCCCTATATTTTAATAAAGATGCAAGGCTAGCTCTGAAAAAAATTGTGAGTCCATCATCTTCCCAACTACCTTTTTCCAGAGAAAAATAACCTGATTAGTTACTAATAAATTAATGTGAATAAAAGTAATATATTACCTTTCCAGGTAGATTTTAAGGAATCACAGAAATAAGGACCCAAAGGAATAAATCTCTAATGGTGGAATTTGGGGTGGTAAAACCTGGGTGAGTAAGATAATTTGGGGTAGCTGAGTTTTCCTGGTGCCCTTCAAAAATTGAGCATCACAAAAACATGCCAATCATGTTTGTTTGTGTGTGTGTGTGTGTGTGTATTGGTTCCGAAATTCACAGAATTTCTTTTTTTTTTAAGGCAATTGGGGTTAAGTGACTTGCCCAGGGTCATACAGCTAGTAAGTGTCAGCAGAATTTCAAAATAGTAGCTGCAAATATCTCGTTTAAGAGGACCTGGGCTTGGGCTCCTTTGCTATCTGTGCTAGGACTGAATAGCATTCAGACTTATGTAGACTGATGCAAAGGACTAGATTAAGGGGAGCCTTTGGAGCCTAGGTGCTGTCCTGGGAGAAGGGTTTGGTTCAAATGTCTATACCTAAACCTTCCATCTATTGCCAGGCTGGAGAAAAAAAAAAAGAAAAAAGGTGATATCACCAACCAAGGAGTAATTAAGCTGAGAGGAAAATGTGACAAGGGAAGGAAAAAAGCATGATTGATACATATAAACTGTGATGGGGATAACAGAGTTGGGAGCAGTTCCTAAATGACGCTTCACAGCAACATTTGTGCCAGGGCTATCCTTTTGGGCTAGTTGTGAAAGCCTTTTGGACCATATGAAATAGTCTTTGCTCAGTAATATGTAGAATTAAATATATTTACTTCATTAACCACCCTCCCCCACCACAGTGAATGTTCAACAAGTAATAAAGCCAAATAAATCCATTCAAATTGGCTTCCACTGGATAAATCTAAAAGTTCACAGTTTTAGAAAAAATTGAGTTACAACTCTTTAAAAGAAGCACTGAATTGGGGAGGGGGGCAGGTCTTTAAGCAGGTGGTTGTGTGTAACAGTTTTACCATAATGTAAGGCTGTGCTTTCAAAAAGAGTTCTCTGCTTGAAGAAGAAGCTGTTCTGCCCCACCTGCATCCCCAATTCCACACAGATGTCCATGACTAATAATTATACTTGTGTGCTCATTGCTGTGTTCCTCCTTCTCAGACCCATTTCATGACAATTCTTGGTAGTAGTAAAATGGACTGGGTGATTAAAAAACAAAACAAAACAACCTTTTCTTCCAAGTTGGTGCTCAATTCACTCTGAATGGCAACTTATCAATAAGTCCTGACTATAAGAATTCCCCAACATCATCCTTTCCTAAAATAGCTTATCACAAATTATCATTTGCATGGTTTAAGAGGAAGTATTCCAAAGGCACCAGGGTAAGACTGAGAGGCAGCATTGTATAAAGTATAGAGGACCAGCCTTACAGTCAGGAAGACCTAGGTCAGGCCCTACCTCTCACATATACTGCCGATGTAATCTGAACAAGTCACCCAACATCCAAGTCCTATGGCAACTCTCTATGACTATACATTTCAGACAGTTTCACTAATTTGCATTCGTGAAGGGAGGTTTCCACACCAGAGAGTTCCCTATGCCCATGAAATCACAATAAAGAGTAAGGTTAAACACTGGCCAAACAGAATATGAATCAAATATATACATTTTGAAATCCCAAACAATATTAAAAGGGCTTAATCATGAATCTCCCTCAGCACAAAAATCTGCAATGACTAGGGACCAAGCTTTTCCAATGTGAGTTTTATAAGGAAGCACACAGGATTCCTCTCTCTTTTTAGGTTTCTGTAATGTTTTCATGTGCTTCTCCTGTCTTCTCACCTTCCTCATGTTACTCAACAAATATTCAAAAAGTTTGGTAAGGAATGCTCTCAAGAAATAACCATCTCCTAACTCACTATCTCTTGAAACAAGCAAAAGAACCAGAAAGTAATCAGATTGAAGACTTTAGCTGTGATTTAGCCTCTTATGCAAGGAAGAGCCCATCGTAGGCCACTGCCTTCAAGCAAGGACAAAGATCTACAACATGCTGTATCCTACAGCTCAGCTGGCCTTGTTCCATCCCCAGGCATGCTCTTGGCCTTGAAGCTCAGAGGGCTATAAAACTATTGACACACAAATAACTTGAAAATCATGCTTTCCTAGAGGTCCAAGCCGTAAAGGGAAACATTAATTTATTTGATCATCTTGTCAGTCAACAATCACTTTTAAAAAGAGAGACTTCAAAATTTCCCTGACAATTCAGATTGTCAGAAGGCCAGTCTCTGTAATATTAAGAGCATGTAAAACTTGTATTCACATGTAAAGTGATTCAGTAAATCAATAATTATCCTAAGCTGCCATGTTAAATGTCTATTGACATATGATATGGGCAGGATGACCAACAGGAGTAGCAGCTGTTGCAAGAAGGGAGCGGCAAGGCTGAGACCACTGACAGAGTGAGACAAGAGGGAAAACTTCCTTCTGCGCTCCTCATGCAAGTGAACATAGATGAGGTAAGGAAAAATGGTCTTTCTTTTCAAATAAAAATCCTCAGCATCTAGCAAGTTAGCCACAAAATGATTCTTGCTCATCTGCCACCAAAGTCGTCAATTACCTGGTTCAATGAAAATCGAGGTGTTTTGGCAGAGAAGCCATCCTTGCTCAGCAAATACAGAAGGCTAACTTACAGAACTTTTGCTTGCCTTTATTCAGGGAGGACTGTGGTACTGGTCACAGAAAACAAGCCACATATCTTATGTATAATTTGTACAGAACATAAGTTAAAAAAAAAAAAGGTTATCAAATGGAGGAGAGAGAACAGAAAGTCATCATGGTGAATCCTGCTTGGCTCTTCTTAAGGGAAGTCATCCTGATGACAGACAGCTCTTTGGGAGTGGTGACTTCACAGATTTGCATCTTCTGAAGATCTTAGTAAAGTACTCTCTGTTTATCTCTCTTGTACACACACACATATACAGAGTCCCCAAACTGCAAGCTTGTTCTAGGAGTAGAATTTGCTGTTACTGACTCTCTTCTCCCTTAATCTTAAAGAAAATAAACCAAAGTCAGAAATTAGACTAAAAATCTGTGTAGTGAGGTAACAGACACACAAACTGAATTGTGAAATACTCATCACCAAATAGGAAGTTATATTGTTCATTACAGCCTAACTTTCCCCTGGAGGTGATGTTTATACTTGGAAGCGTTGTGAACAAAAGGTATTTCTGGAAGTTTGTTTATAAGGGACAGATGAGCTGAGATACAAAAGGACTTCCAGAAATGCCTATGCTGATAGAACTATAAGCATCTTCCCTTACCTTCAAGGCCTCACATCCCCAGTATAACTGAATCCTTCAAGCTGGCAGTGGGAGATCAGTGCTGCCTTACCTCCGGTTACATTTTTCCTGATACAGCTGCAACTGATTTTCATTGACGTTGAATTCATTCACCAGGGCATCTCTGCTGGCATTACGTAAGTTCTGATGAGTGTCATACAGGAAGAGTTGGTTATTCAGCTCCTCTTGTCGCCTTCGAAGCTGGCGACAGGAAGAATAGAGCTCTTCTTCACTTTCCTGAAAAGTAAAGTGAAGACCAGCAGACACTGAAGATGCAGGCTCATAGTCTATTGAATATCATAACTGGAAGGGATCTTAGAAATCAACTAGTCCCACACCTTCATTTTAAAGAGGAGAAAGCTAAGGCTCAGAAAGGGAAAGCTGATTTGTCTAAGATCACCCATCTGTGTAGTAGCAGGCCAGATCTAGAATCCAAGTCTTCCTCACTTGCTGACCAGGGTTATTTCCAATTAAGACCACAAAGGGTCTATTTCTGAACCTCTACTTTCTAATCAAAATGGCCAACAAGGGGATTGAATCATTTTATAAAATACATTTTATTAAAAAACTTCAATTCAGATCATTTGGGAACCCAGGCAATATGAATTTATGACAAGGCTAAATTGCTGGTGGTTTTTAAACAACCATAATTTATGTGCAATGACTTAGAAAAGGGCTAATCAGGTTTCTGTTTTTTAGTACATTGCTGAGATGGCCCATTATAATGCAATTAATTCTCATTATGTAAACCATAGGTAAATAACAGCTTATAAAGTACTTTTAAAACTATTTGTTCTCTTTAGCAGTTTAAACATCATCAGACTATCACATAATTAATTTGTTTAAGAAGTGTTTCTTTATAGGTGCTACACAAAGGTAAACCTTAGCCCAGTCACTGTGCAGGTTATTATTAATCCCAAGTCAAGAGTGTCTGAATAAATAAGGTACAAGATAAAGACACATGACCCTGGTAAAATATTCTCCCTTAACTCCCAAACTATAGACTGGGCCCTTTCAACAATTTACCTGTCAACAGAGCTAGAAAACACATGTATTCACTGTATTTGGTCAACTAGATAAATGCTCCTTTTTAAGCACCCATCATCCCAACTAGGTGACAGGGACAGAAAAATTAAAATCAGTGAGGTACAATGCACAATATAGAAATGTAATACAATTTACTTAATACGAAACCACCAGAAGGCTCAGTGGATAGAGCATTGAACCTGGAAGACAGGAAGACCTGAATTCAAATCCCATCTCACATATTTAGGTCACATCACTTAACCTCTGTCTTCCTCAAGTTTCCTCATCTGCAAAATAGGGATAATAATGGCACTTGTCTCTTGGGATTGTTGTGGGAATGAAAAGAGTTACTTGTAAAAAACACTTTGTAAACCTTAAATGATTACATAAATGCTAGTTAGTATTATTATTATTACTCATATAATCTCAAAATACAAGACTCTTTAAAAGAAAGCAGTAGTGTTTATTCAACACTACACAGGACTGGAAATGTACAGCAGAACAATCTTAATCTTTCACATTATAAGTAAAATCCAGAAAGGGTAGGGGGAGAGAACTATATCTGAGACAGCAAGGAAGAGAAGAGAAAATTAAGACTCTTTGTCCTTCAGTGTTGCAAAAAGAGTTCCTTCTAACAGTGACTAAGAATATAGTAGAGGTACCCTCCATAATTAAATGTCATGGAGGCAGCATGATGTAACCAAACACTTGACTTGGAGTCAAGAAACCCGAGTTCAAATGCTGCCTCTGACATTTGCTGTGTGGCCAGGGTAAAGTCATTTAACCTCTATGAGCATCAGCTTCCTTATCCTTAATACCTACAGTATTTACCTCACAGGCTTATTGTGAGAACCAAATGAGATAATACACATAAAGCATTTAAACCTTAAAGTATCATATGTCAGCTGTCATTGTTATTAAACCATAATTTTTGTGAACATATAACTGTATTTGTTATTAAGCTCGTTAAGCCCCATGGATTAGGCATCAGAAGACACAGGATCTTATTGTGGCTCTCCTACCAACTAGTTACGTGACTGTAGGAAAGTCACTACAATCTCTCACACCTCAGTTCCTTCATCTATAAAATGATGACTTAGACAAGATGATCCCTAAGACCCATTCTGCCTCTATTGATCTATTTCAAATTAGATGCCTTCAAATATCTTAAGACAGTTATCATCTCTTCTCTGTAGCTTAAACAACTTTAACTTTCCTCATAAGATATGGATTTCAGTGCCTCTCCACCTCCTGGTGTGCTAAAGAGACAAGGCTATGGTGAAGGCTTTCGTTGGGTGGCACAGTACATTGATTAATGCCAAATCCATATCTGTCTGTGTCTGAATACTGTCTGCTCAGTTATTTGATTACTCAGCACACACAACTTGAACTCAGTAGACCTTTGTTGGTTATAAAGGATAAGTTTTTTAAATCATTAACATTATATCAACTATTAATTGTTAGGTGAAGATTCTTCCTGTATTGCTCCAGCTTGCCAATGTCCTTATTAAAGCATACTGCCCAGATCTGAATATACAGAAGATGGAAAGAAAGGATACCTCCTTTGATGAAGGTACTATGCCTTTACTTAAGGTCCTATGTTTGATCCAGGTACTATGCCCTAGCTTAAGATCATATTAGCAAGTCTTCAGCAACCACACTACCCCAGCCAAGCTGATACACCATTAGTAACACCATCCAAGGTTCTTAGCTTACCTCATCAAGAACTAATTAGTTTTCTCCTAAATATTTTTATCTTTTCTGCCACCTACAGTACTCAATGGGCATTTAAAGCCTGCACAATGTGACTCCAGCCTACTTTTCCAGGCTTATTACACATTCTTCTTCTTCACCAACTCTATACTCCAGCCCAATTGCTGTTCCCTAGACATAACATCCATCTGTCATCTCTCTGCCATTATTCAGGCTTTTACCCATTCCTGGAATGCATTCATTCCTTACCTTTGCCTCTTAGAATCCTTCACTTCCTTCAGAATTCAGCCCAAGTGCCACCTTCTACCTGAGGGCTTTCCTGATCCCCCCAACCGCTAGTGCCTTCTCCACCCTGAAATTACCTTGTTCTGTATTAATCAGTACGTGCCTCATATTCGCTTGTATGGGACATGTTGTTTACCCTCGAGGGAGAAGACCATTTTGTGTCCTCAATACCAAACACCAGGCCTGGCACATAGCAAGTACTTGGTAAATGCTTGCTGACTGGCTGATACCTCATTATTTAAATTGCTTAGAATTGTTCCTAGTAACTATGGTAATCTCATATAGCCAAGTCCTCAATCAACCAGCACTCAAGGCCCTTCACAATTCTGTTTCACCCCTGACCTTTCCAACCATATTTCAAAACACTCTCCTCCCATGTCCTCATTCTTTGCTCCACTCAAAGCAGACAGCCCATTCACTTTCTGCCCAACCTATACACACCTTCTACCATATTTCATTGTATAATCACTGACTCTGGGTTTTGTTTTTTTCAGTCTAAAAATGATTTGTAACCTTTGCTCACATAATTGTCACATGGCATAATTCTGTTCTTCATGTGGCTTAAAAAGTAAACAGAACAGCAATGTATTCACCAGTGGCATATGGATATGCAATTATCTCTAACACATTGCGAGCTGCGAACCTAGAATTCTCAGTGCGTGCACATTGTTGGTATATTTCTGAAAGCTGACTTGTGTGGTTTAGAGCGATGCAGTACTAACGGTATTGTCCCTCAACCCAATGAAGAGCCATAGGCGCAAGGGGAACTGGTGGGCAAGAGAAGCTGCCATGGATAAGTCACATGATATGATAAGACTTGGCATCTTCCAACACTAATTAAATTATGCAGTTCGTCTGCCAATGATACAGTTTAGTAATAAATGATTTTTAAGTAATACCGGCACAATAAAAAAAAAAAACTTCACATAATGCATCCCTCCTCACTTTTTTGCAAAAAATTTGGCATAAAATCTGCGATGATTATGCAGTGAAATACAGTACTTTCCTTCCTCTCTGGTTTTGCTCATGCTGTTCCCTAAGCTTGGAATGCCCCCCCTTCTCCTTCTTTTCCTGCTGAGCCCCACTGCAAAGTTAGCACAGGAATCCCAGCTAAAATCACAGTAAGTAACACTGAATCTGTCACTGTGCAGAATGTTCTATATAACTTCATTTACCACACAATTGAAGCATATACCTTTAAGTATGGACTATTTTGTTTTGTTTTTTAAAAACTAAATGGAAATAATTCCATTACACTATCTTCTGTCACCTTAAACAAAGAATGCTAAAACATAAATGTTTCCTGATGACTCATCAGGGGTCATCATTATGAATATTAGTTATTGTCCTCAGTTTATGTAATAAAAGGCCCTTATTTTGATGAGGTATACAAGGCTACTCCCACCCTCATTCTTCCTCACCAAACAGCCCCAGGCTCCTGAGATTTTTCAGTTCTTGTTTCTGATTTTGCTATCTTTTTTTTTTTTTACCCAGTCAGTGCCTGTTCTTAGCACCACCCTCACTTCTCCCTCAATCTAATTTGTTACTTCTAATCTTCTTTGACCTAGAAAGCCTGGTAACAAAGCTTGTCAGAATTATGTTTAAAGTAAAAATAAATAGGCTCTGAGTTAGGGCAAGACCAGGGGTTTCTAACCTTTTGGGTATCATGAACTTCTGGCTTTCTGGTAGAGTCTGTGTGTCCCTTCGCAGAATAATTTTTTTAAATGCATAAAATACACAGGATTACAAAGGAAACCAATCATGTTGAAATACAGTTTATCAATTGTTTTGTTTTGTTTTGTTTTGTTTTGTTTTGTTTTAAAACAAATTCCCAGGTTAAGAAGTCCTGGAATGAGGGGCAGCTAGGCAGCACAGTGGATAGAGCACCAGCCCTGAAGTGAGGAGGACCCGAGTTCAAATCTGTCCTCAGACCAAACACTTAACACTTACTAGCTGTGTGACCCTGGACAAGTCACTTAACCCCCAATTGCCTAAAAAAATTTTTTTTAAATTTATAAAAAGAAAAAGAAGTCCTGGAATAGACTGTGACAACTTGTCTAACTCCTCAAAGGCTTTTTTTTAAACATCCTCCCTTGTTCTTGGCTATGTTCTAGATCAGAAGTGTTAGATATGCAGCCTGCAAGCCTTATGTGGTGCACAGTACTCTTGAGTGCAGCTTGAACCAGGTTAAAATATAATTGGGAAATACTTAAGAGAATAAATAAAAATGCAATAAAACATAGGTAACATTGCATTTTAAAACAAGTCAACATGTGGCCCACAAGGATCTTTATCTACTTTAGTGGCCCCTGTTTCTATTTGAATTTGACACTAATGATCTAGATAGTTGAGGCTGCCCATGTAATTTGCAAATATATGAAGTGTTTCTGTAATAGCTGACACATAGCACTTTAACCAATTGCTGTAGCCAGCTGAACAAAACAGTAGGATTTAGAATTGGAAGGGATGGCAGCAATCACCTAGCAGTCCCAATTGCTCATCTTTAAAGACTTTTGGGAAAAATCCAAGAGGAAAGTATGATCTGTAACCTTTCAGGTTTTTTTTTTCTCCTACTACCAGACTTCTAGTAGAATATACTAATTAAGAAGGCTGAAAAAAGGAAGAAGTCCAAGGACCTGTCAATGAACCTAGAGCTGAAGGCATCCAGTTCTTTCTTTTTTAGGAGAACCAACTCTTCGTGCAGTGCCTCAATTCCTTGACCAATGAAACGTACCAAAGGATAATACAGTGGAGCAAAGGGCCCGAGTTATTCTGCTGACAAGTTCTGAACCACTCACTGAGAAAGAACCAAACAGGACCATCTCTGCTTTCACGATACTCACCAAGACAGGACGCATCTCACAGAAAACCAGAAGGGAGGCCAGCTCAATATCTTCACTGTAACCATTTTTAAGAGGAACTGCTCTAAACCCTAGGGTATGACAATAAAACAAACACAAAAGAATATGGAAGTTAAGAACCTTTGCTCTGGAGGACACTCAAGAGTTCACTCACGGTTATCTCCAAGAGCTAGGGGTCAGCACCCTCTATGTGGTCCCTGCATCAGAACCCTTCTGTCCCTTTTTTAAATACAATACATTCAGTTCAAATGCAATTTCTGCTACCACGATACTTCAAGGAATAAAGGCTGGGAAAATGTGCCTTTGTTGGCATCCTAGAATAGCAGAAGGATGGGGAAATATCAGTTAAACGAGAGACTAAAAACTATGAACTAAAAAAGAAGAAAAAAAGAATGTAATGGGTATGGAATATTACAAATTCAATTATAAAGAATAGTAGAGGTGTTTTTTCTTTTTTTTTTAGTTCCATCCACACTGCTGTGGTCAGCAGGTTTAAAGAGACAGTGAAAGACCCAGCCTTAGGCAGGACTCATATATCCCAAAGGACAAGGGAATTTCTCTTATTTTTAAAGATTCCCATGGAAGGGAATTTACAGCTTTCCTAGGCAAGTCATACCACAGCTGACTAAGCTTGTCAAAAATCTTCTTATGTTCAAGCTAAATCTTTCCCACTCAAAATTCTGTTTCACATAAGGTAGTAGAAAGAAATGAGAAAAATAATATAAGAAATAAGAAAATAAATAAATAAAATTTAAAAAGTAATTCTTGGAGGTGGATTATTTCTGATCTGAGAAAAATAGAAGGGAGGGTAAAAGAATACACTAGTAAAGAAATGAGGAATGGAGTAGAACTTGCCAGTTCTCAAAACTGGGTATGTGAGAAGAATCAACAAACACGGAGGAAGGAGGAAGGGAGTGGGTATCAGACGAACTTCAGTCTTATCTGAATGGACAAAGGAGGGTTGAAAACACACACACATACACATACACATATACATACACATAGACACCATTTGGTATATAAATATATCAAATTCAAAAGGGAAAGAAGTAGGTATTTGAGGTAGGGGGAGGCATTAAGAGAGAGAATAATGGTGGAAACAAAATGAGCTTCTTAAGCTTGAAGAGAGCCAAAAGAGGGGAAAATTGGAATCTAAAGGCATGTCTAACATTGTTTCTTACACAACCGGGATTTGGCTAAACAAATTGTGCTATATAAATATAGTGGAATATTACTGTCTCTTAAGAAATTATGAAAGAAATTATTTCAGAGAATCCTGGGTGATTTGAATTTTCCTGAGTGAAATGAGAAGAACCAGGAAAACAATTTATACATGGATAGCAGCAACACTTTAAAAAAAAAAGTTGGGGCAGCTAGGTGGTGCAGTGGACAGAACACCAGCCCTGGAGTCAGGCCCAGAGTTCAAATCTGGCCTCAGATACTTACTGGTTACTTACCCTAGATTGCCTCCCTCTAAAAAGTTAAAAGATTTAACTCTGATCAAAGCAGTAGCCAACCATGTCTCCAGAGGACTTACAATAAGTATGTTATCCTGACAAAGAAGTGATGGAAACAAGGTACAGAAACATAGATTTTTGTTTGCCAGTGTGTGGATTTGTTTTTGTTTCACCATGCTAATTGGTTACAAGGATTTTTCTTTCCTTTTTTTTTTGCCTCTTAGTTTTCAATTGGGGCAGAATAAGGAAGAGAGAAAATGTTATTAATAGTGACACCCAAAAAAAGAGCCATGGCAATTTTTTTTAAATGCACAGAACAGAGCAGAAGGAAATCAGAAGGAAGTATAGATAAGCAGGGCAGTTCTGAAAGTAACCTGTGACTTTACTACATTCTTTTTTCCCCAAAGCAAGCAATGAGAAATGGAGACTCACATTTTCATACAGAATCCTCTTTTTATGTTTCGCTGTGCACTGGCTGGAAGGGGGGTGGGGACTTAAGGTCATAATAAAAATAATTTAAATTGTAAATGCTTTAGAGGAAAGAACACTAGATTTGGAGTCAGAGGAACTGGGTTTGAATCTCAGTTCTGCTACCTGTCTCTGAGCAAATCTGTTAGCCCCTTTTGGCTTTAGTTTCCTCAATCGTAAAATAAGTAGCCTGGGCTAGATGATTCCTAAAGTTGCTATACAAAAGTCTAGGTCTTGTGATTCTATATTCAAACTTACTTCCCCTCATGCTTAGAGACCAAGAATGGGTGACAACTAGGTAACTGCCTCATGCAAGAGAATTTTTTAAATGCTTTTAATACAATGACAGCCTTTCTATTTCTAACATTGTGGGAAACAGGGAGGGTGCTCCTGAAGTTTGACCATGAGAGAGCTTGGACATACCCCTGATGACATGTGGCCCGGGTTACTCTGAAGCCCAGAGGGCAGCAGCTACTAAATGACTTAGTACATTCCATTCAAAGCAGAGGAGATGAAAAGGACTATTCCTCCAGAGTTATTATCTCTAAGTAAAGTAATCTAAGTTTTGATATTAACCTTTCCTCACTGGTCTTCATCTTCAACCCTGAAATAATTTTGTTGGCTCACCTCTGAATTCTCTTGAGAGTCTTGTCTTACTTTGGCCAAAAGGCCAAAATGGAAACATTCAATAATGAAAAATAATGATGGGCCAATATGCATGAAATTCGCAAGCAACAACTTTTCATGAAAAATAGCATAGGTAGGAACTATTTTGTGTAAATACTTCAATCTCAGGGTCCCCTTTGCCCACTGAGCCACTATGCCAAAGGTGAGGAGGCATAGCCTGCTTTTTAGAAGAAATGAAATAAATGCAGTTGGTCGAGTCTACAGTAATCCTGTGTAAAGGCATCTAGCCAATGAGAGGCATTGTCACACAAAAGAGGAATCTGCTTCTGGCACAGATGTCCTGGCAAGAAAGACTACAGTACATATTGTTGCTAAAAGGGAAATGAAAAGTGCTTCCAAAGTCAAGCCTCATTGATTTGGACTAACTGGGGAGAAGGCCAATCTGGATCAGAAAAATGTTTCAATTACAGGAATTGTTTTAAATGCCATTTTATTACTTTCAAGTACATACAGTCAGATAACTGAAGCTAACCAGGGGTTGTTGCCAAGTAGAGTTTCTTTGGAACTCCCCCTACTCGTGGACAGTGAAGTGATTTGTAATTAGAATATAAATAAACAGATACTTCTAAAGCGTTAAAAAAAAAAAGCAAAAAGGCTAAGCATTGACCATGAAATGTTGCTTATATAATTAATTTGCTTAGGAAATTCTTTTCACAGACAGTTCAGTAGGAAAACCTTCATCAAGCCTATGTCTAATTTAAGAGAAATTCCCTACAAGGTTTGAATTTGAATTTGAATCCGTGAGATTTGTTTATTGAAGAAAGCAGAAGTTTAGACAACACTGGAGCTTTATTACACGAGAAATACATAGGAACCAGGATCCAAACCAAACCTTTGCTGTGCCAGGAGTCTCCACTAACCTGGAGAGATGATTCCAGTCTTTGTGGAAGCAAAGAGTAGAATAAAGTCAGTCTATGGTTTTTCCCTTGAATGTACAGTAGGCAGGGGGAGGGCAACAGGACACCATCCTCACAAAGAATTCCTATATTACATCTAAACGTAAGTTGTCTGTTGATGGAACTTGCTCCACGTGTCCCATTTACACTAGATATTCATTCAACACTCAATAAACATTTATTACATGCCAAGGCACAGGGGATAGAAAGATTAAAAAAAAAAAGCATTCCCTGCTTTCAAGGAGATTATATTCTATTGGGTAAATATAACATATACCCTGAAGGGTAAACACAAAATGTGTAAAATGTAAACACAAAAGAATTGAGTGGAAAGATGGCTTCCCTGGGGGAATTATGAAAGGGTTCTTGTGTTGGAGTGGTACCTGAACTGAATGTCAGCAAGACAGAAGAGTTTAGCAAACAGTTGGAAAAAAGACTCAAAATAGAGTTTAACTACCTACCTATCTGTCTGTCTGTCTATCTAACTAACTAACTAGCCCAGGAAGGCGAAGGGGAAATACAGAAAAAAACTGCTTTTAATTTTTTATAGTAAAACAAACCTAACCATGATGGTCTGAACATGTCACTCAAAAAGTTCTAGTGGTTCCCTCCTGCTTCTTAGATAAAGTACAAACCGCATTGTTTGGCATGTACAGCCTTTCACATTCTTTCTTCTGCCAGCTTTTCCAGGCTTTAGTACATATTACTCTCCCTTCTGAACTCCATGTTGACCTACTGCCATCCATTTTCCATCTCAATGCCTGTGTACAGGCCATCTTCCCTTCTTACCCTAACTCCTATACTTGGGACACTCTTCCTCACCTCTGATTTGTAGAATCTCTAACTTCTTTTGAGGTGGAACCCACAGAAGGCCCATCTTTATCTTTCCAGTCGATAGTGGCCTCCCCCTTTGAATATGTTTGGCATTTCCTTATCTGTGGTTCCCCTCTCCCAAAAGAATGTAAACTCCTTGAGGACAGGAACTGTTAAGCTCCCAGTGCCTGGCACATAGCAGAGACTTAAAACTGACTGGTTAACGTTTAAAAAATGTTTTAAAATGTGTTCAAAGTTTATTATATGATGTTATGGAAATACTTGTTTTATTCCACAAATTAAAAATAAAATAAAAATAAAAATGATTGTTGAATGAATGGTGCCAGGCCAGCAGTTACCCAGTTATAGAATTTTCCACAAAATATTCCACTTGCTTTCAGCCTGGAAAAGGGTTTGTGGTAGGGTGAGGGGGCGAGGTGAATATCCTAATACAAGGACTTGTAATTATGCTCCTTGTTAGGAAGGAGATGTTAAAAAAGTCCCAGGAAGTCAGCAAGCAAAATAATTCTACTTCGAGCCTCTGAAGCAGAAATTCAAAATAACAGAAAGACATGCTGATCTATGCCCAAAGTGAGATAAGAAGTCTGATGAGAGCCTGTATTTGGCTGTTTAATCAAATTGACTTTTACCTGATTTGATTCCTTTAATGGGATAAGTAGCATGTGCCAGAAAGTTGGGATCGCTGAACATATCCTCCTCATAAACAACAAAACGTAGAAATGCGAGATTTGGGTCATAAATTTCAAATGTCACTTTTTCCTGAGTAGACGCCCAGACTGGACTCAGGCCATTATCATCTGGAATAAAACCAAAGCTCATAAGAGAGATTTTACTTTCACACCCATCTAGCAAAGACATTCATTCCACAGAAGTTTTCTATTTAGGTGCTTTGAAAAATACCTTGATACCCACAGGAGGCACTACAGGCTTAAAGCAATATAATTAAGCTTAGAACTCCACAAAGACCCTACACTTCCAGGATTTCCATAGCCCACAAAACATGAGCTTTTCCCTCTTTCTTTGCCATAGGCCTAAGGGAACAAGGTTTTCCCAGGTGAGGAAAGGTACTGATTTTCACTCCCTCACATGGAGTATCTGTGCCATTACCCCTCTGCTCCCTCCCCACCCCCATATAAGTTCCTTGAGGGAGGAGATTGTTTCCTCTTTTTTTCTGTATCCCAGCCCCAACACAGTGCTTGGCACACAGTAGGCTCTCAATGCATACATGTTAAATTGAATAGATTTAAGCTCCTGCTATGTACAAAGCATTATCCTTGGCATGTAGAATACAAAGATAAAATAAGGTGCAGTTCCTGCCTCAAAGGAACTTTCAATATGGTAGCGGGATGAGATAAATACACACGTTACTAAATTACGTTACAAGGGCTTTGGAGAGAACCAATGAAGCAAGAGAGGCTCAAGAAAGGACACCTAGTTGGATAGCATCAGGGAAAGCTAGGGAGCACAGTGGAGAGTGTGCTATACCAGGAGTCAGGAAGAGGAGTTCAAATCCGCCTTCAGACACTTTAACAACAATAATAATAACAACAGCAGCTTACTATCTGCCAGGCACTGTGCTAAGTGCTTTCCAAATATTATCTCATTTGTTCTTCACAACAACCCTGGGAGGTAGGTGCTCTTATTAGCCCCATTTTACAGATGAGGAACTGAGGCAAACAGAAGTTAAGTGACTTGAGCAGAGTCACACAGCTAGTAAGTGTCTGAGGCCAGATTTAAACCTAGGTCTTCCTGATTCCAGGCCCCAAGCTCTATCCACTGCATCACCTAGCTGCCTAACTGTGTAACCTTGGGCAAGTCACTTAACCTGTTTGTTTCAGTTTCCTCAACTGTAAAATGGGAATAAAAAAAGCACCTAGTCACAAGGTGAGGATCAAATGAGATAACATTTGTAAAAGTGCTTAGCACAGTGCCTATACATAGTAGGTGCTTAACAAAGACCTATTCCCTTCCTTACTTCATGAAAGAGGTAGCATCTGAGCTGGGCCTTGACAAAAAGAATAAATAGTCTTTCCCCCTCTGCCTCCCTCTCCTCCTCTGACCGAAGGAGCTAAAGGGGTGAACACACCTCCATGTACAACTGCCCTGGTATTACTGTCTACTATACCTGCCAGGAGTAAATGGAAGATTAAGGGGCAAAAAGGATGGAGAAGGTCAGGGGCAAGTCTGGAAACACTGACAGACAAGGACATAAGAAAGAGACAATGAAGACAGACTGGTAGAATGAGTAACTGAATAAACGAATGAATGGATGAATGAATGAAAAAGCATTTAAGCAATTACTGTGTACCAAACACTATGCCAAAGACTAGACTTACCAGGAAAAATGTGAAACAGTGCCTGCTCTCAGAGTGTTCACACTCTAATTGTTGGGGACATAGTTTGGGGGTTTCTAAATGGGTTTGGAAAAGTCCCTAAGAGGGTACCTAGCCATCCCAGTCCCCACCCTCACCATTCTTGGAGCCCAGCACCTGGACAAAATGGCCCCCTGGGTCGCCCTACCCAGCGTTCTGTTTCAGACGGGGGCAATGTGGCATCACAGCCGTGCTCAGCTTTGCCTGGGGGCCTAGACACCATTTTCTTCTCATTCCCCAGCCACTGTAAACTCAGGGAGGGATCTCTTCAGTGAATTTATGCAAATGTCCTTTCTGACCTAAAGACCAAAGAATTGGGTTCCATACCCCCATTATGTTTACTCAGGACCACAACCCATGCTCCTTCTTCTACTCATGATCATAACCACTCAAAATGCTTGCCTCCTTTTCCCCCATGCATTCAAATCTTTTAGGAAGGAGGTAGGATTTGAGCTTGGCCTCAAAGACAAACAAGATTTGAATAGATGAATAGGAAGGGTGGTGGAAAGAGCCCTGGATTTTAAATCAGAGGACCCAAGTTCAAATCTCAGCTCTGTAACTATGAGTTATGTAAGCTATGAGTTGCTGAAAAAGTCTTTTCACAACATTATCTTTTAAATGAGAGGGCTGGATTAGATGATATCTCAGATCCCTTCCAGTTCTAAAATCTTATAATCCTTTGAGGACCCAGTGAGCATTTCAAGTGGGTACCATGGCAAGTTCAGAAGGCTGACGAAAGTTGTATTACTGCATGAGCACAGCTGAAATAATGAGCCTGATTCTCTATTCTACAGGTCAGAAGAGTCATCCTTCCTCCTTCCTTAAGCGGCTTGGCATGAAATCTCTCCTTTTCACTCCAATAATAATTGGTCTGTACTATTCATGTGGCAATTAATAACACAGTGTCTTCTAACATCTCTGCCACCATCCCCTCATACTGTCATTTCAATCTTGTCATTTAATTTTCCATATGTTAGTATCTGACCTCCCCAAGTAGACTGTGAGGTTCATGAAGGCAGTAGCTGGGCCTGGGCTTCACTGTATACTCCACACTGCCAAGCATAAGAAGATAGTCAATAAGTTTTAGTTGATTTTAACTGACATTGCAAAGTTATAATAGATGTTACAGTAGATAGAACAAAAGGCCTTGGAGTAAAGAAGGCATGAGTTTAAAACCTCAGATACCCACTAGCTGGGTGACCCTGAGTAAATCATTTAACTTCTTTCTACCTCAGTCTCCTCATCTGTAAAACGAGGATAACAATAGTACCTACTTTGGGCAGCTAGGTGGCACAGTGGAAAAAGTACCAGGGCGGAGTAAGGAAGACCTGAGTTCAAATGTGTCCTCTGATACTAGCTCTGTGACCCTGGGCAAGTCACTTTACCCTGTTTGCCTCAGTTTCTTCATCTATAAAATGAGCTGGAGAAGGAAATGGAAAACCACTCCAGTGTCTTTGTCAAGAAACTCCTCCAAAAAAGGGGTCGTGAGGAGTCAGATGTGATGAAACAACTCAATAACAATGACACTACACTGAGTTGCTGTGTAGGTCAAATGAGTTAACAGGTGAAGCATTTTGCAAACCAAAAAGTGGTATATAAACACTACCCACTATCATCATTATTATGATTATTACTAATACTAATAATGAAAACCACATGAGCCCACAGTCAATTATATACCACCCTGCTAGGGAAGGCATACCTAAAAGCAATTCAAGTATCAACCAAGCCAGGAAGAAATGCTGGTTTTAATACCATTGTCAGGGTCCCTGCTGCTCAACTGGTCCTTTCATTTCCCCCGGAACGATTACTAGCTCATGAGGGGAAAGAATGTCCTCAAAAGAATCTGCAGGGGACCCAAACCCTTGTTTGAGCCCCAAATCTGCTCAGAAGATGTGATTCTCCCTCCAGAAACTGATGCTGAAGGCTCCCAGATGAACAAGGATGATCTGTGAAACCCAGGAGATTTGCCCTAATTAAGTCAAGTTCCTCAAAGGCTCCAAGGTTTGTCTCTTGAGCTGCCCAAGATTAAAGGCTGCATTCATCAGGGAAACCCTATGGAAACAACAATCTTCTAGAGTTCACTTAACCTGTGTGACTCTGGGTAGTGCCTCAGGTCAAAGACATGGATAGGACTGCTGGCTACAAAGGAGTTTACTTCTACTTAGCACAGGAGGAAGGAATGTGTCACAGCAGAGGTCCAGGCATTGAAGGCCCATGTGCTGCAGGCCCTGGCATGACACGCCCATATCCTCCAGCCCATGATAACTCCAGGACACACAGGCAGTATTTACCCTGCTCTTGTACCCCCAGAAGAGGTAAGTGCCCAGTCTACCAATCAGGAAAGTCCCATGAGACAACATCACAACTTCTGAATCATTTTTTGGGCCAGAGAGCCAAAGAAACACAGAGCTGAGACCACCAGAATTCCTACCCTATCAGGTGCCAATATCTAATTATCACAATAAAGAAGCAGCCACTCAAGACAACCTTCCAATAATGACAAAAGTGCTGGATCTGGGGTCAGGAAAATATGGGTTCAAAGCCAGCTTAATAGCTATGTGACTCTGGGACAGTCATTCAACCTCTCTCAGCCTCAGTTTCCTCACCTGAAAATGGGAATAATAGTAGCATCTACCTCACAGGGTTGTTTTGAATGTAAGTAATGAAGTAATATATGTGAAGCACTCTGTGAACCTTCAAGTGCTAAATAAATGCGTGCCATTATTATTAGCTGCTTGGATCTATCTCATGCTAAATAAGTATGAGGCCTCAATCAAAAACATATTTTTTAAGTGCTTCAAAGATTCACAGCAGAAAGAAATTGCCAACCAACAGATCCAGTGACTGTGAGCTCCCGGAGAGCAAAGACCGATTGTTTTCGCCTTTCTTTGCACCACCAGAGCTCAGCACAGGCTCTGGCATTTCATAGGCACTTAATCAATACTTGTTGACTGACTGACTGAGGACTGGATATGCCAAGTCCTCAGGACCCTCTTGAACAATGCCTGTGCATTACCGCTGTGAACATTAAGAAAAACAAAATCTCAGACAGAAATGAGCCCACTTTCCTCAGACACTCTCTCTGGGATGATCTGGCCTTGTTGAGTTCACTAGGACATTGCTAGCCTCAGTCAATGCCTACAAACTGAAGGCAAACTGAATGTTCAGAGTTTGAAGTCCAAAAGGAATGCGAGTCATATGATAACAGTGAAATACCCATTTTTTCTTCTGTGTGCAAACTCAGAAAGTTGCCATGTACACACCTTACCATCACTGGCATCCATTTTGGATGATTTAAAAGGGCAGCTAGGTGATACCGTGGATAGAGCACTGGAATTGGAATCAGGAAGACTCTTCTTCATGAGTTCAAATCTGGCCTTAGACACCTACTAGCTGTGTGACCCTGAGCAAGTCACTTCACCCTGTGTGCCTCAGTTTCCTCATCTGTAAAATGAACTGGAGAAGGAAAAGGCAAACCATTCCAACATCTTTGCCAAGAAAACCCCAAATGGGGTCACAAAGAATCAGGAGTCAGACGTAACTAAAACAATTCCATAACAACATGATTTAAAAGAAAGGAAGGTTATTAGCATACTTACTCACTACAGTCGTCTTGAATTTGTTGTTATCATACTCAGTCCCACAAATTTCCACCTCTACAAATGGACAGGCAATGCTTCGTCCAAGCTTGGGTAGATGGCGAGCCCCCAGGACCTAGGACACAAAGGACATCAGTCATTCCTGGATCCCCTCCCCCTAGTGTGTTCTACACTCTTCAAAGCACTAACCGCAACTAGCAGTCATTCATATGAAAGTCGAAAGCTCTGCTACACCCAGGGAAGCTACTCTTCTCTTTGATGTATAGAGAACAATGATATGACTTCATCTGATTCTAATGTGCCATGGAGTTTCCACTGACACTATTCCTCCCACAGATCCCATCTCTGCTGTGGCTTGTCAGAAGAGCTGATTAGACATCCAGGTATTTTGTTGGAAGTGAGTATTCATCAGCTGCTTGTTACCCTGGACGGTCCTTCATCTTTAGACCATTAACGTGGATGCCAGACTGCTCTCAATGGCTTATTCCTTATGCTTCTTTCTGTGGGGAGAGTGGCTAGGAAAAATTCTTGGGTGCTGGCAAGTTTTACTTTTGTTGTTCATTTGTTTCAGTCATCTTCAACTCTTCATGACCCCATTTGGGGTTTTCTTGGCAGAGATAGTACAGTGGTTTACCATTTCCTTCTCCAGCTCATTTTACAGATAAGGAACTGAAACGAGGAGGGTTAAGTGACTTGCCCAGAGTCACACAGCTAGTAAGTGTCTGAAGGTCACACTTGAACTCAGGTCTTCCTGACTCCAGGCCCAGAACTCTCTCCACTGTGCCACCTAGCTGCCCAAGTTTTTACTAGTTATTTGTATTTATAAAGGGAGGAAACAGATAAAAGGAGTATGTGTCCAGGGTATGAGACTGGCAGGTACGAAATGGCTCCTCCACTTATCTGCTATTCATGTCTTGCCTCTATTTTGAGACCTACTCTGTAACAGAGAGTAGAGAAGCTTCAGAGCCTCACTGCTCACTCCAGCTACAGGAAAGTGAATGTGTACATGAATATATGCAGTCACTTGGGAACGCCACAGATTCAAAGACAGAATGGGAGGAATGCAGCATTTCTTCTGTAGTTGGTTTTTATTGAAGGTCCTTATTAGGATGGAACGATGTCGGAAGGGCTGTGTAAAGACAGGCACACTTTTGCACTACTGGGGTAGCTATGAAATTATCCAACCATTCAGAGAAATGAGAAGGCAGCTAGTGGCACGGTGGAGAGAGCTCCAGGTCTGGGGTCAGAAAAGACTTGAGTTCCAGTTTGGTCTCAGACACTCAGGAGCTGTGTGATCTAGGCAAGGCACTCAACCTCTGCTCACCTTGAAGGCAGCTAGGCGGCATAGAGGATAGAGTGCTGGGCCTGGCATCAAGAAGGCCTGAATTCAAATCCAGCTGCAGACACCTACGAGCTTGTGGTTTTGGGGAAGTCATTTAAACTCTGTTTGCCTCAGTTTCCTCAACTGCAAAGTGGGGACACTAATAGCAGCTACCTCCCAGGGTTGTTGGAAAGATCAAATGAGACAATATTTCTAAAAAAGCACTTAGTACGGTGCCTGGTACATCGCAGGTCCCCTAAGAAAGTGACTAAAACGTCCATATCCTTTGACTCAGAGATCCCTCTCTAAGGAGCCTATACCCCAGAAAAGTGAGATATAAAAAGAAAGGTCTTATACATGCCAAAATATTTACAGCCGCACTTTGTGTAGAAATAAAGAATTATAAATAAAGCAGATGCCTATCAATTGGATAATGGCCAAATAAGTCGTGGCGCAGGGAAAGACAAGTAGCACAGTAGACAGAGCACTGGGCCTGAAGTCAGAAAGACTCATCTTCTTGAGTTCAAATCTGGCCTCAGGTAGATGTTAGCTGTGTAACCCTGAACAAGTTACTTAATCCTGTTTGCCTCGGTTTCCTCATCTGTAAAATGGGCTGGAGAAGGAAATGACAAACCACTCCAGGATCTTTGCCAAGAAAACTCCAAATGGAGTCACAAAGAGTTGGACACAACTGAAAAAAATAACAAACTCCACATATCTTTGCCCGTGTTTTCCTGAACTTTTTTTCCCTCTTTTTTATTCTTTGTTAAAAGAGATGGCTCCCTGGAAGAGGAAGGTGAAAGTGAGAGATATATTGGGAAATGTAGGTGATACAAAAACAAATGCTAATTTTTTTTACAAAATTAAACCTTTTTGTTACATGAGTTTGACTTCTGGACTTCCTCAAATCTTATGAGAAACTCAATGCAGGTATTTTATTCTTCTCACAGTTCATATGAAGTCAACATTCTCATAAACCATGGGTGAAAAGAGAAAGTCTGACACCACCATAAACCATAATGATTTTCAATGATAAACTCCAACCAGGAACTCCAGAAAAGTAAGACTGGATTTTTTTTAACCTTTGGGAAAAACGGGTGGGGATTTGATTTTTTAGTTTTTGTTTGTTAGTTTTGTTTTGATATCTTGCTTTTGCCTGCATTTCCTAAGAAGCCAAACAGATTTCTTTCCCATGGTAGGCTGAGCTATCAGAGCCTCTGCCAATCAAAGTTAGCTCATAATTCACCTTCTGTAATGAGAACAGGGCATACACAGTTCAGGCTGTTGGTTTCTGAATGTGTTTCCCCCAAAGGCACTGCACAAGCCACTGAGAGAAGGAATGTCTTTTTCCTGAACCATACATTGTTAAAATAAGGAAAGAAATGCATTTCAGCAGAGAATTCAATAGTTATATGCCAAGAAGTGGTGATTTCCCCATCAAAGGCAGCCTTCCTACTGTCCTTGTGTCTTTTACAGCAAATGGGATCCCTAACCCCTGGGCTCTGTCCTGCTATTGCCTTAAATGGCCAAGAGGAAAGGGCTGGCTTTACCTTCACTGTCAGGGTCATCAGGATCTTCCTTTGTGATTCCGGGGGTGTTGGATCATAATTTTCATTTCTCATGCTTTCAGGCTGCAATACATAGCCAGTCCGGCCATTAAGTGCAAATAAAGCATGATTCAGCTGCATATATTTATCTGGGGAGGAAATGAAGGTGGTGCAAATAAAAAGAAGAGAAAAGAGCATTCTGTTCAAAAGTACTTCATTTTAAGCCTAAGGTTCTAGGACGCAGCCATGTTCTCTCCAATCTCTAGAGGAGGGCTCCTCACCCTTTTCTGAGGTATGGAACCCAATGGTGATGACTGGTGAAGCCTGTGGACCCCTTCTCAGACTAATTTTTTTAAATGCACAAAATAAAATACTTAGGGTAAACCTATTATATTAAAGTACAACTGTTAAAATCTTTAAAAATAATCCACAGAGCCTGTGAAATCTAGCCATAGATCCCAAGTTGAGAACCTTTGCTCTAGAGTGAAGTGTCAGTGACACTGACATCAACCAGAAGGGCTTCCCTTGCACCTTTACCCCTCCTTACATTCAGGCAATGAGGTGAACCCAGGGCATCATGGCCACTGTTCAGCTTGCCTTGCCTTAAGTCATAAAGCTTGGTCAATTAGGAAAGGAAGTAGCTGGGCAGTCCAAAGGGGCATGGATGGATGGGGAGGCCGCACTGTAACTATGCTGTGGTGCCTCCTCAGCAAGGGCAGCACCTGGACAGGGTCTTGGGTTGCTTTCTCCACGGGGTCACTACAGGAGCTACTCAGCAGCTACCACTGCCAAGGGCTCAGCTATTCAGTCTACTGTCTTAAAAAGATCCAAGAAAAAAAGAAGTTATTTTCGTGGATATGAAAAAGTAAGCACAGTCTTATAAACCTAGGCCCCCAGCAGCCCAAAGGGGAGTTCCTGCCCTGCACAGATGCCTAGCTCCTCTAGAGGCAGCTTGGCAATCCTCCTCCCCTTTAATATCTCCCAGTGTTCCCCACATGCTTCTCCTTATAAATGAAAAAGGATCCAGGGAAGTTAGTGTGTCCTGGGAAATGTGGAAACTAGGAACCTGACACTTTTGCCCCAAGAGTATCACCTCAGAGGCAGCTATAGGGCACAATGCATAAAACACTACACTTGGACTCAGGAAGGCCTCAATTCAAATTCCTATCTCAGACACTTACTAGCTGTATGACGTGGGCAAATTATTTAGCCTGTCAGCCTCAGTTTCTTCATCTGTAAAATGGGGATAATAATAACACCTATATGACAGGACTGTCGTGAGGATCAAGTGAGATGACACATGTAAAATGCTTTGCAAACTTTAAAGTGCTATATAAATACTAGTTACTACCATTATTACCTCAGTGGGGACTGAGTGGGAAAGGTAAGGGACACAGAGGAGCATCAGACTAGCCTCAGAATGGTACCTGAGTGATCCAAGACCCATGCTGGTGGGCTTTAGGGATCTTCCTTTTTATTCAACGAATTAAGTAGTCCTACCCCTCAATCAAGTCAGTATGATATTGTGAGAAGAGCATTAGACTATGTATAAATCAAGAGACCTGGATTCTAAACCTAGCTCTGCCACTAGCTAAGTGTGTGACCTTGGACATGCCTTCATCAAGAGCTGACCATACTAGACTCACTGCATTTCACTTTTGTGACAGGGTTACTAGACTGGTTGGTCAAGAGATACAGACACATAATTTACCAGTGTCCCTAGCAAAACACTTAAAATCTCTCATACAATTCTTGTGGGCAGGAGGAAGAGCTATCAGCTAGATGATAATACAGTTAGGGAGATTCAGAACTAGCTGAATGACTGGGCTGAAAGAATAGTTATTAATGGGTCTATGCCAACTTAAGGAGAATTCTCTGGCAGAATGACCTAGAATTTTGTACTTGGCTCTATCCTGTTTAACATGCTTGGATGTAAACTGGCACCCTTATGGAATTTGCAAATGACTCAAAGCTGGGAGGAGTAGTTAACATTTGGCAATTAAGAGAATGAGAAACCAAAAAGATCACTGGAGACCAGAACAATGGGCCAATCCTAACAGGATAAAATGTAATTGGATTACAAGCACAATATGAGTCAAGTACAAAACAGAAGGCAAAAAAATTCATCTGATCTTAGGTTGCATTAAGGATGGCTATGGTGCCATGTAGTGTATTCTGCCCTAGACAGACCACATCTAGAGTACTGTCTTCAGTTTGGGATACCAACACATGAGCAAAAACATTGACAACACGGGAAGCACATGGTGGAGGAGGACAATCTAGATGGTGAAGGGTCTCAAGTTCATTCCAAAAAAGAAGGAGCATAGGAACTAGGGAAGTTTTACCTGGAACAGCCATTGTATGGATGAGGCATTTGATTTCATTCTCCTTAACTCTAGAGGGAAGAGTTTAGAGTAACAGGAGGGAATTGTAAAGAGGCAACTTTAGGCGTAATGTAAGGAAATACTTCCTAACAATTAAAATATCCCAAAGTGCAATGGGAAGCTTTGAGAGGTATCAGGTTCCCTTGTACTGTAAGTTTTTAAGCTAAGGGTAGACAAGCTCTTGTCAGAGATGTTATGGAAGAAGTTCTAGTCCACATGTAAATTGGACCAGATAGGCCCTAAGATCTCTTTGACTTCTGCGATTCTATAAAGTCACTCTTCCCCTTTGTGAAATGCATTATCATGTAACTTTGTGTAGTAGAGGTATCTCTCTGTGAGTCATATCCCTTTACTAGACCACACACTCCACGAAGCTAAGCACAACATCTTATGTAAATCTCAAAGGCTGTAAACTCCTTGATCTGTCTTCTTTGGTCCCTTCTAAACTGCAAATCCTATGAGGGCTGGGACTATTTGCTTCACACAAACAAGAATTAGACTATGTTTAAACTTACCTAGCATTGTGCTCCATACACAGTAAGAAATTAATGTTTGAATGAATAAATGAAACAAGGGAATTAGGCTAGATGATCTCGAAGACCCTTTCCCATTTGACAGTCTTAGGATTCTATGCCCATACCCCTAGCACCACTGCCTTCTACCAGCAGGCTCACCAGTCCCATGTGCTCTTCCCCACATCATTCTGTTCTCCTCAGTTGCTTTAACATTCTCCCCATCCCTAATACCTCTCTTCTACCATTATTCCAAAAAAGATGAAGAGAAGGAAATGGGCAGCACCTAAGGCTTTTCCTGCTAACATTCAACATGCTAGACTGGCCAGAAAATAATTTAATAGACCAACATTTAATTTTCAGTTGGTCATTAAACTCTATTTCTTTCTAAGAAGCAATACTGCACCTGTGGCCACTGTTTTGTCCAACTTCAGGAAGCTCAGCAGTGACACGTTCTTCACAAAGTACTCAGCAGGCCACACTCAGATTCAAAAAGCAATGCCATCCCTGGAGACCCCTTACCTGCTGTCTGGAAATTCAGAGCGACCATCTGAGAGCCACAGAGCCAAAGTCGAAAAGGATCATAATTTGATGAGTCCACCCTTTGGCCTTTTGGGTAGACCCGAGTCAATCCCTTTTGATTATACTTCAAGAGATCAATCGGCTTCTGCCTAACAATGCTGTCAGCCTTGGTCTCCACGAAAGAGCGAATTTCTCTAAAATCAGGATTTTCTGCACAGACATATAGGAAAGGAAATGAAATTGACATTTAACTTCAAGAGTGTGACACAGTCACAATCACAGCTCAGTCCTAACCCACCATGCAAAGACTGGATGCTGGGTGTGAAAGATAAACCTTAGCAATCTGACAAGACTATTGCCTTGGGCATACCAGTGCCATTCCATTTTGAAATCACAGACGTTAGTTACCTTACCCCAAGACCATTGCCCCACACTCTCAGGACATCAAAGCTGGGCTAGCGTTTTGAAAACTTAAATGCCTGCCATAAAGGTAGGATACTTTCAAGGAAGTGGGATGGGGAGGGTGAGAAGATGAGAAAAGGGCAGAGCTCACCATGATGCACCTTGCTATTATACAGATTCTGGTATAAAAGTTCTCAGTGAACCCTACCAAGTCAGTGTATTACTGGAAATACTAGGGACCTTGTTGGAACACTATTTCCTCCTAGCCTGGCCACGTGACGCGGCCGAAGGAAATTGTCCCCACGATTTAGAGCAATTAAGTCAACCAAATTCCCCATGTGAAATATAAAAGGAAAAGCTTGCTACAACAGAAGACCCAGGTGCCCGCTATTGCTGCCTGTCCTCCTTGCTTGCTGGAAGACCACTCTGCTTCACTGAACTACATTCTCTCCTGGGGTGAGGGTAGCCTTGAAAAAATCTGACACCTGACACACTTGCTAGCTGTGTGGCCTCACTTCTCTGTGCCTCAGTTTCTTCATCAGTAAAAGAAGGATAAATAATAATTGTACTGCTCACATGACAGGGTTGTTTAGAGGATCAAATGAAATCATACACGGGGAAAGCTTTGTAACCATGAAGTGCCAGAGAAATACAGGGAATTTTTAGTATGATTTCTGTACTCTTAAAGTTCCCTCTAGAATAGAATTTCAGTTTATCACAAAAAACCTGCCTGTGACTGGAACATGCTCAATGAATAAGTGACATAATCCTGAGCCTTGCACACAGTGATAATAATCACTCACATTTATATGGCACTTTGAGGTTTAAAAAGTGCTTTCCTAGTAGGCACCCAACAGATGTTTGATGAATAAATGAACAGGCTACTCTGGTGCACAGACTGCCTCTGCTCCATTGACCATCTGCCAGGAGCCACCTGCTCTGAGAGAGGAATGGTCATGCTCTCACCCACCCTTTGTCCCTTCCCCATATTCAGCCCTGCTCCATCTTGCTGGCTCTTGAAAGGAAATTAATGATAATAACGGCTAATATTTAACACAGCATTTTATAGTTACAAAGCATTTTGTAGAAATGATATCATTTGATCTTCCTAGCAACCCTGTAAAGTAACATAAAGATTACCATTCCCATTTTACAGATAAGAAAAAGCTTTATTAAGGCTCAAAGAGGAAATTATTTGACCAAAGCCACATGGTAGGCAAAGGGCAGAACCAAGCCTTGAATCCAAGTCATCTGACTTCAAGACCAGGGCTCTTTCTACTATACCATACTGCCTGCTGAGTGGACAGGACAGGCAGGAGTCACACGCTCCCTGTCCTTTATCCCCATCTTCCTTGTGACCCAGTGCAAGATGAGGCTATATGTGGGAGGAACTGTCATTCTGCCTAGAGCACTGTTTCCATCTGGAGTCCAGAAATTCCAAATGCTATAATATTGTTCTTTACCAGACTTAAATAAGAGCATTTACCCAGGAGTGAACCACGATTATAAAATGAAGGAATTACCTAAATTATCCTTGGTTTTACTTGTTGGCTTACAGTAGACAACTAAGTCGGATAGTTCTATGGCAATTGATTGGTTCTTCTCCCAGTACTTCATGTTGGTCTCCTGTTTGGAATAAAGACATCCCAGTAACCAGTTTTCATGATCAGCACAGATTTCACCAGGCCTTCCTTCTCACAATGTTGTGTCTCAATGACAGTGTCAAGGGAGTCAGATTTTTCATTTCAGGGTTTTACTTTAAAAAAAAAATTCTCTATCTCTCCCCTCCAGCCCTGAACTGTTTTAAGGCCCTGGTTAATTTTCTTCAGGTCTCACACCTACCAGTCCACACTAATGGGCTTTATTCTCAAGCCACTCTTCTTTCAATATGCAACTCTATGTGGAGAGGGCAAAACTCCATGAGAATATAACTCATATTTCTGAGTACAAGTTTTAAATGAGCACCCCCCCACCCTTGCCTCCTATGCCCCAACCTATGACTAATTACTGCCTTCACACCTCATTCATATACAAACTAATGAAGCTTCACCTCATTCTTGTTAAAAGGGAGAAATTATTACTCTGAGATGAAACTCCAATTGCTTCTGCAAATACTCTAAGGATGACTGCTCCAACCTTGTGGTAAAAGCCCCTCTTATCCCAGTTGACATAGGAAGGAAATTTATTTTATCTATTACTACCTAGACATCCCCATTAGAATCATCACCTCCACTCCTTCCCCACCAGAAATTGGACTCTGTCCGATTTTCAATGGGCTAGCTGTGGCCTATTTTTGCTCAGTTCTAGACCTCCATAGATCTTCATCAGTTCAAGTCTGGACTACTGCAATAGTCTGTTGACTGGCCTCCCTACCTCGAGCCTCTACCCCATTCCAGTCCAACCTCCATTCATCTGCCAAAGTGATTCTGGCCTAAAGCACAGATCTAGACATGCTACTCTGTACTCAATAATCTCTAGTAGACTCTTGTTACCTCTAGGATTAAATACAAAATCATCCATTTAGCCTTTACAGCCCTTCCTGCCTTTCTAGTCTTCTCACATTTTACTCCCCTCTCTGTACTCAAAAATTCAGCATCATTAACCTTATTGTTTTTCTCATACATAACATTCCCATATCCTGACTGCAACAGGGTGTCCCCCAGGTCTAGAATTTTCTCACTCCTCATCTCTACCTCCCTGGCATCTCTAGCTTCCTTTTAAGACTCAGCTCAAATTCTACCTTCTCTAAGAGATCTTTCCTGGCTCTCCCTGCCCACTGCTAATGTCTTCCCTCTGAGGTGACCTTCTTTTTACCCTGTAAATATTCTGTGTGTACATAGTTGTCTGCATGTCGTCTTCCCCATTTAGGATGTAAGCTCATGGAGGGCAGGGACTGTTTTTGCTTAAACACCTAATAAAATGTTTGTTGACTGACTTATTGGACATCTCTCTTCTTCAAGTGTTGTCATCTTCCATTAGAACATAAGCTTCTTGAAGCCGGGAACTGTCCTGCTTTCTATTGTTTTTATTTCCAGAACTTAGCACAATACCAGGCCCAGAGAAAGTACCTAATAAATGCTTTATTTATTCTAATCTAATATATTCAAGTTTAGAAAACTCACTGCCTTCAACATCCCCAGTGCTTAGCCTTCAGCCTACCTTTGGAGGCCAGTGAATTTTCCAGCCTCTCTGATCACATAATTGGACATGTTGGGATCACTGCAAATTGGTAAGATTATAGAAGATTGACACTCCCCTTCTACTAAGGCTCAGGCTGGTAGATTACTTGAATTCCAGAATTCTGAGCAGCAATAGAGTCAAAGCCAATTGGGCATCCACACTAACTTTGGCACCAATATGTGAGCCCCTAGCGAAGTGGGAAGGGGGGACACCAGGCTGCCTAAGTAACAGTGAAGCAGCCCAGGTTGGAAACAGAACAGGTCAGAGTTTCTGTATTGATTAGCAGCAGGGTCTACCATGAGTAGCCTGAGTGAGGTGGAGAGAGTTGGTCTCAAAAAACAAACACACAAAATAAATGAATAAATAAATAAATGAAAACAAATAAAAAAATAGGCTAGAAACTTTCTTTGAGGGACAGGTAAAACTGAAATGGAAATACTATAGGAAGCTGTGGCGGAGAGGTAACCTGGGGTGTAATGGAAAGAGTCCCTTTACTGGGAACAAAGAAATCTGGGTTCTATACCCCATTTCTGCCAACAGTTTTGATAACGATATTAGAAAAGCCCTTTACCTCTCGAAGCCTGAGCTTCCTAGTGGGTGAAAATAAGGGAATTAGATGAAGTGATTGTAAGGTCACTTCCAATTCTCTTTCCTTAGTCATATTTAGTTTAGCCAAATCCAGGACAAGAAGCAGGCCTTTTTTCCAAACATCTTCCCCCTTCTCCTAACAACTTCAATCCTAAGCAGCTTTGGTCACAGTGGGTACACAGTCCACACCAGTGACTCATTTTTTGCTCTCAAGTATAATAGCATGAGGTTATTGTTTTTAATGTTTACATAAATGTAAAATCCAATTAAGGGGTAGTTTAGATAAAAGAGAGAACATGCCTAACTTAAGTGGTTAGGATGATTTCAGGTTATTAAGCAGTAGGGAAAAAAAAGAACTTTCCAAGGAAATTACCCTTTATCCCATCAACAAAACTGCAGAAAGCCAGAGGAGACGACAAATAAATTATTTTTAAAATTGTCTAAGCTTCTCTACATCTTATATTTGGCCCCATTTTCAGAGCAAGGCCTTGGACACAATGGAAATGTGTTTTAAGTGTCTACTACCTTTAGCTTATTCCCTCTGAAGTTTCCATATTCTAGCAACATACCCAGTTCCTGCAGAAATGGTTTCAATCATCCCAAATAGAGTATAAGCCTAGGAAAGGAACCCGAGCTCTGCTTCAATCCCCAAGTCGCCTTCCCAAGGGGCAGCACTCCTTATGGGATATGGTTACTCAAGAACATGGATACCATCAATTGCACCCATCCAAAGAAGGACATGTATGCAAATATGCCTGTATGTTTAAAGGGGGGGGCATCCTATAACTAATAACTATTAAAACATGGAAGGAGAAAAAGAGTGAGGATACCCTTAAGAATGATCTCTAGAGAACACTGTTGAAACCACGAAGTACTGATGACTCTTAAAGTGCAGCACTGCTATTCTAGGACACAAAGAGGTGTATACCTCTGGATTTCAAGTCAGAGAAACTAGGTTCAATTCTGGTTGAAACTAGGGCAGCTCTCTCAACTCAACAGCTGTGTGACCTTGGGTAATTTCACTTAACCTCTCTAGGTGTCAGTTTCCTCACCTGTTAAATAAGAGGGTTGGCCAGTAAAGGTCCATAGTCCATTCCAGTCCTATACCTATGATCCAATGAGCCATAAAGATTGGCAGGTTTGCACTGAACAGCCCTGCCATCTCATGCCTGATATTGTTCCTCAGCTTGTGAAGCAAGAGTTCAGTGTGACAGCCCTTCAGTCTGATGTCAAGACTTGAAAGACACTTGGCTACAACTCCAAGATGACTACCAAAGTACCTCCCCCAGAGAGGTCTGAATGAGGAAAACTTCTCTCTGCGGTGGCTTATGGCCATGATTTTCACAGGGTGTTTGCTTTGGTTGCTCATGAACAAATCCAGAAGGGAAGCACAAAACATGATGGTGTTTCAGGAGCTGTCCCATTCAACACAGAGGTAGAACACAGATGTTCAGGAAGATAGCTATAGTGGAAGGGACAATGGATTTGAAGTCAAAGGCCCCAGGATTAAATCCCAGCTCTGCTATTTACTATCTGTGTGATGTTTGTTGGACAAATAACTTAAACTCTCTGTGCCTCAGTTTTCTCATCTGTAAAATAGGGGAACTGGACTAGACAGCCTCTAAGGTCCTGTCCAATTTTAAATCTATGATCCTATGACTGCTTTATTAGAAATTCACCCACTACAGTTTAAGAACAGTAAGTAGTCCTTTAAGACTATCTAAGGTGACGCTCTACCTAGGATCAGGGGCATCAACAAACTTATTACAAAATACAATTTAGTGATAAGAAAAATCCTCAGTGATGAAATAGGGCTCTCACAAGTTCCACCAAAGTACTTCTTTGGTTTGTACTTAACTGTACCTAAGAAATTATTTATCCTTCTCTTATTCCAAATATATTTAATGCTCAACATTTGTGAAAATGGCCATTTTTCAAAAAGTTCCTTTCCATTTATATGGCAGGGAGAAGAGAGGTCAAACAGCTAAAAATCTACCTTCCTCTCCCTCCTACCATACTCTATATGAGACAACGATTTTAACATTCTCCAAACATCTCTAGACACATAATCAATTAATTCAAAAGTTGTGATTTCTAACTTAGAGGTTCCTTCAATGGTTAGAGCCCATCTAATTATCATGCTTTGGCAAAATGTTTGGAACTTATTAAGCCATAAAATTAAGGTGGCAGCTTGTCTTAATACAACATAGATGGAATCATGGACCACCTACCTAACAATGGTGAGCAGGCTTCCCTACCCCTGCCCTTTCACTCTCATGAAAGCATGAGGCTGGAAAGCCATCCTTCCACCTAACAGGCTAGTGCTCACCAGTGTCTGCAGTTGCCCCTCACATGGGTCTAATCCAAAGCTAAGGGCTTCCCTCTGAATGCTAGCAGGAATAGCAAGAATTTAGGGCACAGTTCCACTACTCAAAGGCCTTAGCTGCTGCACTAGACCCCTACAAGCAGAACCCAAATGGCAAAGCTCAATACCACTGTTGCATTCTTCCAGGTGATTTCTCTGATGCTCTGGTACCACTCAAAGAGCTCTTCCACTTTGTCAGTCGCAAATTCGATGGGAGGATCATTGGGTTTCTTGGGTTCCAGGATGAAGACAAATGGTTTCTGGTTTTTTCCATGTGGTACTTTCACTTGGAAAGATTAAAAACAACAGTGTTCCAGGAGGCCAGGGGCACTCATACTACCCGAGCCCTGCTTCAATCCCCAAGTCACCTTCCCAAGGGGCAGCACTCCTTATGGGATATGGTTACTCAAGAACATGGATACCATCAATTGTCACCCATCCAAAGAAGGACATGTATGCAAATATGCCTGTATGTTTAAAGGGGGGGGGGCATCAATAAAAGATGTAGTCCCATAACAGAAGTAGTGATTTCCCCCTTAAAGTGTGTTACTCAATTGCCAGCTCATGGTGGTGGACAGCAGTCTGTCAAACTTTTACTACCACAGGTTGTTACTTCTTAAAACTTAAATATTTAAAAAGCTGATTCTTCCTCCTGGCCTTCAGTCCCTAACATTCCTAGAACCCTCCTTTTCTCTGTCCATTCTTAAGGCCAAGGAGGACACATTTCTGCCTTGGAGTAAAAAATACATGTGTCTATGTAGGTGTGTATGCACATGTTTATATATGTGCATGTGTGCATAAATATAAGCACATATAGGTATACACATATGTACACATACATAAATTTTTAATATACACATATAAGCAAATATTTTATTTATTAAATCTATAGTATAGTTTGGTTTGAGAAACACAGCCCTAAAAAACAGTTCATTAAAAAGTATTTTGTGCTTAATGTGAAAATAGGCATTAATTAACAATAGCCAAAAAAAAAATCTTTCCTTTCTAAGGCTGAAATGAACTGGCTTGTCTCAAACCTTGGAAAAGGATGAAAATCCATTCAAAAAACAATGAAATCCACTTAAGAGAATATCTATTAAGGGGACTGCAGCAGTAGGAAAGAGCACCAGACCAGGAATCACAAAACTTCAAGGGAAAGGCAACAGAAGCCAGAACCCCTGTCTCCTGACTCCTAATACAATGTTCACTCTCCTATATGCACTGATCACCCTGCCCCCATGCTATTGTACCCAACAAATGATGCCCAGCCCTTCACACCAATTCCCCAGCTCCCTTTGGTCACTTTCTAGAAAAGCATAGGAAAGCAGAATAAGCCATGAAATTTAGGAATCACAAAAGTTGTCAGGTTCCCCTCAGGAATGATCCTAAGGCTGTGTGGGAATTAACAATAAAGATTAGGACTAGGATGATCACCCACCAACATTATAGGTGTTAAGATCCAAGATTCCTCTGCACAGAGATCCTAAAGGGTTATCTTCAATAATCTGTGGAGAAACAGGAGTAGTTTCAATAAACCTGAAGAACAATTCACATTATTCCTAACTAGAATGCTATAAACACAACCAGATTCAAAATCATACCACTGCACTGAGACACTGCCCATGGCCCTGTTTAAAATTCATCCTCATTACAGGATAAATATGTCCATAGGGAGATGGAAAAGGATTGAGGCACAGAGCCTACAGTGACCTTGCTGCTAGCAGAGGCCTGAACATTCACAGTGGGTCATTTTTCAGCTTGCAAAAATGTACATCATGATGTCTAAAGGAAATGTGGGGCCATTTCATCCAGTCTGCTCTTTCCAACTTCTCCGTCATCCTCCATGACTGTGGCATCTTGGTTCAAGTGTAGTTCTATGTGTATAAGTTATGGGTTCCCAATTTTCAAAGAATTAAGGCACAAGAGGCTATACTTAGAATAATATGCAGCTTAATTTGGCCTTCGTCTAACTGTTCAGGACATCATTTCAGCACTGCAGGGCACGAGGGTCATTGTTACAAATATCAATGACTGTTCATAGGATCCTAGATTTGGACCTAGAAAGAATCTTACAGGTCATCTAGTCCAACTCCTTGTTTAGCAGAATAAGAAACTGAGGCTAGGAGAGGCTAAGCAGCTTGTCCAGGGTCATTCAGGTAACAAGTAATGGAATTAGGGTTCATACCCACATCCACTGACTCCATACCCAGAACTCTTTCCACTGCAGTATTTACACTTCATGGTAAAATTCTGGAGCTCTGGTTATGGAGACCTTCCAGTCAACAGGATGCTAGACCATAGATGAACCCTCATATTAAACTTTAATCCATCTCATCTTATCCACCTCTCAGTTCTACTTGCTACTTTAATTACTCTTGGGGTATACTTAATGCCAGAATAACTGAGGTAGAACCATTTAATCTGTAAGATTACTTTAATCGGGGGACAGGTTCCTACCATGGTTATTTTTCCATCTGCAGGAAATTATCCTGTCCACCCAAAATCTTCCAGGACAACATGATTAAAACAAAATTGGTTGGCTACAATGACTCCAGAATAATCCAGGCCCTCTCACTTGGACTATTATAATAGCCTTTTAATTGGTTTCCCTGCCTCATATCTCTCCTCTCTCTAATCCATCCTCCAAAAATGAAATTCCTAATGCATAGATTTAGTTATGTCACTCCCATGTTCAAGAAGCTTCAGGGGCTCCTTGTTACCTCTAGGTTAAAATTCAAACTCTTTTGTTGACATTTAAAGTCCTTCACAATCTAGATCTAACCTTTCTTTGCAGACATATTACTACCTTTCATGCACACTATATTCCAGTCAAAATGGCCTACTTGGAATTTCCCATATACAACATTCCATCTCTTGCCTCGATGCCTTTGTATAGGATATCCTACATGCCTAGAATCTTTGTTTTTGTCATTTTTGCCCTATCTCCCTTCCTTCAAAGCATAGCTCAAGTGCCACATCCAATAAGAGACCTTTGCTGATTCCTCCAGGGGTTAGCTACCCCCTACTCCCCAAATTACCCTTTTGTTTTCACCATCTGTCTTCACGTCATATCCTCCTAGTAGAATGAAAGCTCCTCAAGGGCAAGGATTTTTTCATTTTTGTCTCTGTATCTCTAAAGCCTAACACAGTGCTTGGCACTTAATAAATGCTTGGTGATGAAATGAAATAATGAATTCATTAAACTATATTTTAATCATGTTGAATCTCTGCCAGAAAAACATGGCAGCTCAAGTTAAATCTGTCTATATGTACAGTTCATAAAAGGGGACAGGAAACTTCCTTGTGATCATTATCCAGGCTCACCTGTTTTTCCAGCTCTTCAAAATCAACTGTTGATATGTCCTCCACATAATTAGATGGAAAATATTGCTGAATCCTTCCTCCATAATCACCCTTCCACCTAAATAAAGCACAGGACTATTAAGCCTTTGTGTGAAGGGTATTAATGATCCCTGCACAGCCATTTACTTCCCCAGCTGTTGTGCTGGTTCCCTGGTGAGATAAAAGCTGCAGCTGGTTACCCGGTCAAAGGCAGCCAGAGCTCGCTAGGGATGACGATTTCCAAAGGGAAATGTGGCTGCAGGGACTGAAGATTACTCCTTTTTCTCCCTCCACCCCTGTTCTAATGCTTTATCTGCCTGGAGAGAAACCCCTAAAATACTTCAGAGTAGAGGGCCAAAGGTCTGAGCTGTTACGGATAAAGATACGGATGGCAAGACTAGCAGAAGTTCTCCGTGAGCTCTTGGGCAGAAAGAGAAGAGGGTGGAGATGCTTAAGGGAAACAAGAGGTGCCCCCTCTCCTCTCTAGAAGTGTTCTGTTACTCCTCAGATTTTCCTAAAGTGTGTTGTAGGGATCACTCCTTTAACCCATCACACTCAAGCAGGTATCAGATTTGTTAGCATATATGTCCTACACATCCCATTAGATTGTTAGCTCCTTTGAGGGCAGGTACTATGTGTTTTTCCCTCAGTGCCTAACAGGAAGCCTTGCACATAGTAGGTACTTAATAATTACTGGTTGAATTGGCCTTGTGATACTACCCACCCCAACCCCGTAATCTCTGCCCTCTCTTAACAGGCTCACTATTGAATGAATGAACTCTTAAAACTTCACAGAATGGGGGAACTAGGTATGGATAGTAAGTGAGTATGTGTATGTGGGTATGTGTGTGTATATACCTGCATATACAAATATGAACACACACACGCGCACATACACACTATTCCGTACTTAGTTTCCCCGCTCTGCAGAGAAGAGAAGGAGGTACATTTTCTCAGTTCAGGCTTGATCATTCTAACCATACAGCATGCGATTTTGTTGTTCTTAGCATTTACACTGCTGTGGTCATCAGCTATACTGTTTTCCCAGTTTTGCTCTTCTCTCTGTATCAATTCATGTAAATCTTCCTATGACTCTCCTAATACTTCATTCCTTATGTACAAAAATATTATATTACATTAGTACATATATATGTATATTACATAAAAGATGTGTATATTTGTACGTGCATACATATGTATATAGTGTCTAATCATGTCAGGTATGATTGACATGTTGACTGGTTTTGCAAAACTGATTTTTCCCTTTCTTTTTAAATCCTAGTTATAAGGAATACCTTGCTAGGGAGGAGGAAAGGATATATTTAGATATTAAGTTGATATATAAGCAAAACATAACAAAAATGTGATATTTTTTAAAGAAAGGGAAAAAAACTCACTATTAAATGGACCCTAACAGTTAAAAGATAAGCAGTGGCTTTCTCTCCCCCTCCCCCACTTTCAGAGAGACTCACTTGGCATGGGCCTTCCCAGCACCTTTTGGCCTGGAAAGCCACCAGGACCAATCTGCTCTACCTGAGAAGCCAAAGGGCAGTGTTCAGACAGAGCTGGTGAACTACCCTTGAGCTAGAACCTATGTAACAGAACAAACCCTACTTTGCTAGCTCCCCAGGGATACCCTAGAGGGGAAAGGTACAGAGGGCCCAGCCCTGGGCCTGACATGGCTCCTAAGAGCCAAAGGAGCCGCAGCAAAGCTCTGAAGCAGGAGGAGCCTATGTGGGGCAGAGTCTTACCAGCCACCAGGCTCCTTGGAGACGTTGTGGATGAGGGCACCCCGACAGAAGCTGAGCTCATCCCCACGCTTGGCTTTGTAGTCATACAAAGCCTTCACGGTTCTCTGGGGCTTTTAAGGAAAAGGAAAAGAAATCAGTGAGTCAGGGGAGGGGAGGCAGGGAGAAACAAAGGGAATGGAGGGGAGGCTGGTTAGGTCTTAATCAATAAGTCCAGCTTCTGGAGTCATTTGACTTCCTTCTCATTAAGACTGAGAAGGCATTGCTTCAAGGCTGTGGAGTGACATCTATTGGCCTGAGCACAGGCCAATGCTGCCTAAGTATTTCCCTGTGTGGTTGCTGAGCTTCTGGGACTCAGAGCATTCATCTAAACACTGGCAGCAGTGGAATTAGCAGCTGTCATCATCCCTTTTCCCAACACATGCATAAAGGGAAAGACACAATACAGAAATGGTCAAGTCAGCTCCATATCCCTGCTGGCAACGGTAGGATTTGGGAAATTCTCAAGGAAATTGTATTTTCTGACAATACAACAGTTCCTTCACCTAATTCATGCCTTTTAAATTCTTTTACTCAAGTTAGTCAGGCAACTTATCTGGGCACATGTAATGTGGGCAGCATTCCAGCAATCTGTTCCCTTCCTCAGAGCATGACTGGGAGGCAAAGACAAGAAAAATAAGATTCTCCCATGACACACTATGAATTCCTACTGCAGACTTCCTTGGTTGGTGCTGGGTATGATTAGGGCTCAGCAAAGACAAGCAGGGAACTCAAGAATGAGTTTATTACTATGGCCCCAACTCCTATAGCCTTCCTCTAAGAGATTTTTTCTCAGTTCTTATTCTCCAAGGGTGGGGGCCAGATATAAAGAACTTCCCCCCTCCCCAAGATTCATAGAAGTAGACTTGAAAGTGCCTACATGCGCTGAGCATCGAGCCCACTTCAGTAAGCTCTGAGATTTCAGAAGAAAAGGTACTATACAAATATAAAATATACTAGTACATCTTCTTGGTTTTAAACAACTCGGCATAATTAAATATGAACTTCCAAAACTGAAGAGGAAGGAGGGAGAAGTGACCACTCTGCTTAAAAAAAAGAGTCTTCATTTCTTAAGAAATGATTCAGAATCACAGAACTTCTAAGTGAGAAGGGACTCAGACACCAGTTAGTCCTAACTCTTCCTCAAAAAGAAACTCTTCTTGAACACACTCAATAAATAGTGATCCAGCCTTTGCCTGAAGACCTTTATGGGAAGGAACCTGCTACCCCTACCAAGGCAGCCCAATGTACTGCTCTTAGGAAGGTTTTTCCTGACATTAAACCTAGATTTGCCCCTTTGCTACTTCTACCCATTTCTCCTAGTCCTATCCTCTGGAGAAACCATTAAGATCCTTCAAAGAGGAAACTCCCTAGAGTACATTTAATATGTCACTCAATTTACCCTCAGTTTTTAAGAATTCATCCCTTACACTTCCACATAATATCACTGTATTTTTCAATACAATCTCAGAATTTTGATAATGCCACTTAATGAGCACATTTAATGTGCTACAGCCAGGATGAAAATAACAACAAAAATTCATCTGCTACATGAGAGATGGGGCCAGAGGCAGAATGGCCAAGGAAAAGACTGTGGCCAGCAGCTGTTGGGGTGTGAACCCACATGACAAAATGGACATGGGAACAAGAATTAACATTCTCATTGAGGGACAGGAGATCAGAGAACCAGAGCATTTAATGAATATTATCAGTCAATACAATTAATATGTCCAAATTATAAAAACTTAACTATAAATCATTTTACCTAAACCTTCTCAATCAAACCTTGGGATTTCAGTAAACCAAAGCTGCATTGGGATAGTATGTGTCTGACAGTTTGATATCTCATTTCTGGGGAAAGTTTGATTTTCATTTCTCCCATGTTTATTTTTCTCTACAAACATTATAAATACGGAACAATATTTTTTTAAATTAAAGAAAAGTAAACACTGTACCGTTGAGGGGTTAATTTCACTGGGATCCACATACATCCTGACATCATAGAGTGAATTTATGTCCCTTTCCTGGAAAAGAAGAAATCAAGAAAGTATTTTTAAAATGGAAAGATACATTATGCTCTCCTAATATTCTTTGCAGAAAATGTGATGGCAATTAGCATCTGGTAGCTTCTTCTCCCTTGGGAGAACACAGAAGGGATATATGGAATCTGGCAAGGGAGTTAATGACCCACAAGAGGTAGTCATGGGTGGAGACAAGAAGAGAATCACAGATGGTCCTGGAGCTAACAGACCACGTGAAAATCTTGCAGTTTTTCATGAAAACCAATACAGTCCAGAGAAAGGTTAAGTGTGGAATTCAGTGATGATCACAAACTTACCTGGACACACACACATCAACACACACATATACATATGCACGCACACACAACAGAAGACTAGAAAATAGGACTTTCAAATATGTAAGATCTCTATGCCTCTAGGAAGCAGTGTAGTGGAACAGAACCAGCTGGATTTGGGAATTACCAAATCACAGAATTTCACAGTTAGAAGGAACTTCAATAGCCTTCTAATACAACCCATGACTACAAAAGAATCTCCTCTACAATATAAATGATTAATGGTCATCCGGCCTAGAAAACCACAACAGAGGGGAAACCTACGATCTGCCTCAAGCTTCAATTACTGACTCTAATATTTATTAGCGAGGTGACCAGGCAAGTCATATAACGCTAGCCTTAACATCCTCATTTATAAAATGAAGATGATAATATAGAGTTTGGGGCAGCTAAGTAGGGCAGTGGATAGAGTGCCAGGTCAAGAGTCAGGAATACCTGAGTTCAAATTCGGCCTCTCAGACACGTACTAGCTCTGTGACCCTGGACAAGTCATTTCACCCTGTTTGTCTCTGTTTCCTCATCTGTAAAATCAGCTAAAGAAAGAAATGGCAAACCAGTCTTGCCAAGATAACCCTAAATGGAGTCACAAAGAGTCAGACATGACTGAAACACCTGAACAACAACAATATAGAGTTTATATTTCTAAAGTGCTTTGTATAGTGGCTTGCACATAGCAAGTACTACATGAATGTCAGCTAACATTACCACTATTATATTAGCATTTATATAGCACTTTTATATAGTGCTTTAACTTTTACAAAGAACTTTAGGAATATTATCTCATTTGATCTTCACAATAATCTTGGGAGATAATTGTTTTTATGATCCTCATTTTATAAATGAGAAAACTGAGGCAGAGAGAGGTTAAGTGACTTGGAGAGAATCACACAACTATTTAGCTTTTGAAGTCGATTTGAACTCGGGCTTTCTTGACTCCTGGCCTAGCACCTTATCCATTGCTCTATCTGAAGTGAAAATGCTAATACTATTTACCTCACAGATTTACTATGAAGAACACATTTTGTAAACCTTTTTGTTTTTATCCGCTCTTATATAGATAGGGATCTGGGTCTCAAGCTGAATTCAGAGCTACAGCAACCAGAAAGTCCTGACATTCATTATTAGAGGAGAGGCTTATACAAGAAAAGACATGCATGGAACATGCTGCCTAACATTTTGAGAGGTGAAAGAAGGTAAGAAATATCAGGAAGAAATCTGAAAACAATTCATTCACCCTTCACCGGAGAGAAGAAAGAGGTCCTGTTAGGCAGAAATGGGGACGTACAAGGGGAAGGAGAGGAATGGGTTATAAGGAGTAACAAAAAAGCATGCATTTGCAGCCAGAGCTAGATTGAACCAGGGATGAGGAGCTAGGGGCGAAAGAAGTGATGAAAAAAAAAACCATAGAAAGGATGATGAAGAGAAGAAGAGAAGGGAACTAGGAAAGGGACTACATATGCAGCTTTCCTCAGGCAGTAAATACATAATTTTCAAGTAGTTAAATAGTCCTGGCTCACGGGTTTAAGGATGCTGGTTTCTAGGTTTGTCCACCACACCCAACAATTGGATAAATGTTGACAAAAGTCTTGACTTCATTTGACATGCTTTGTCATCAAGCACTGGGGCAGGCCAGGGCCTAGGGGACAATAGCATTCTTTTCTCCAAATGCACACCTCCTCCATTTACTGAAGCTTTATGCCATTTTGTGTGAATTGTTATAGAAAATTTTACTTCTAGAAATGCCTTTCTATCTTCTTTGGCCCATTCCTATAGGTCAAATAACAAGTCTGTGAGTTTGACACCTCTGGTTTAGACAGCCTCTGAGGTCCCTTCCAGCTCTATATCTGTGATCCCTTGTGAAGGTTGTGGACAGATGGCAACACAAAGCAATTTGATAGTAATCTCCATGCCAGGCTTGAGACCTGGCAATCATAGGCTTTTGGCTCCAAAACTTCAAAGAGGTACAGAACAAACTTCTCACCCAGAGTGAGTCTATCAGATTTGATTAGATGACATTTTTCTTGCACTTAATCCCAGAAAAGAGGATTACTCACGGTGTTGTAACGCTCCAGCAACTCTGGAGTCACAGGATAGCGCAGTCTCATTTTCCTGTAAAGTGCATGCTTTTCATAGTAGCTGACCAATTCCACCAAACTTTCAAAGTAAGCAGACGTCCCCAGCACAAAGTGGTGTCCATCCTTGTTAATCCGGCAATGTTTCACTTTTCCCTTGGCTCTGGAGAGACAGGATTTCACAGGGAGGTAAACATAGTTATAACTTCCACAACAGCTGCAGAGCCCAAAACATCCTCCCTTCCCCCAACCAACACTTTAAGACTTGGAGTTTCACCATCCATCAGTGGTTCCAGAACATATCCCTGGGCAAGAAGAATCAACATGAAGAGACCAGGCCTCAGAAAAAGGAAGTGAATTCCTGGAACTTTCTCACAATGGTTCCCAACAAGTAAACTATGAAAGGCAGCATGGCGCATGGAAGGAAGGCTGGATTTGGAGTTGGATGATCTGAGTTCGAATCCCAACCATGCCACTTAAGCTGTATGACACTGGGCAAGTCATTTAACCCTCCCTGGGCCTCAGTTTCTTCATCTGGGGCAACCAGATGGTTTATGAGTTCCCTTGGGGTTCTAAACCTAAGATATGTGATCCATCAGAGTAGTGAGACAATTCCTAAGAGATCTAACCATAACCATCAATCTCCCTTAAAAAATAAAATAAAAGTTTCACTACAAAAATTCCGGATCCACATGAGAAAATTGCCAAATAACAGTAGTTGTAACAAGGCATGATATAAATGTTAGCTAAAGAATAATCTAAGTATTATTAACCTCTTTTATAGATGAAGGGGCCAAGAACATATTAAAGACCTGCCCCTTGTCCCACAGCTAAGTGTCAGAGCCAGAACTCAACTGGGTCACCTTCAGACTCCAGAGGTCTTTTCATCATACCATACTGCCTCTGAAGTCATCAAACCTCAGAATTTCATCAAGTCAATATGCATTAAAATTGTACACAATTTTCTCTGAAATGAGAACTACCACTCATAACTTCTCCCAAACTTCATTTCCCCAAGTTCCTTTACCCAACATCAACAGGAGAAAATAAAAGTTATAAAAATCTATCTTCCAGGAAAAAATAAATAGCCTCAAAAATAGAAAACAATACCACAAAAAACTAATTTCACTAGGTCTTACATACAGGAGGGTCCCAGTTCACTATATCAAAGACAAAGAAAACTGATTGAATAGCTTTCCAGAGCAATAGGGAAAAAAGGAGGGTGGAACCACCCTGAAATTTCTGGTTTCCTTCCTGTTCCCTTTCCCTTCACCAGCTCATTCTCCACGGGCCAAAACTTGTGCCAGCGGGGTCACCATTAGGCAAATTACCTCACCTCTATCAGTGTAAGTTTCCTCATCTGTAAAATGAAAGGAATAATGACACTTGCCCTACAAAAGGTCACTGTGAGCATCCAATGAAAGATAATGGATATGACTGTGTTTTCTAATTATAAATTGGGTGCCTCAGAAGGTAGTGAGTTCCTCTCACTTAGAGGTCTACCATTTGGCCAGTGTGTTATAGATAAGAATTCTTTTCAGGTATGCATTGGACTAAAAGGCCCCTGAGATAACTTCCAACTTTGAGATTCTATAATATATAAGGTACTATTATTAGACAATGGTGTCTAATGAAAGGCAGTGAGATGGATTTCATCTGGGAAATCATACAGTGACTTCAGTAATCCCAAGCTGAGATCCCTAGTGAAAAAACCCATCTTTTGCATTCCAATATGCTCAAATATAGTTACAAATCATGGATCGCTACAATCTCTGAAGAATCAGAATCACGTGTGACCCAAAGGGTAAATGTGGGGGTAAGCAAGCTACAGCATATTCCAATGAACTACACAAATGACATCAACCAGGAAAATGTATGAGTATAAAAGAATAAGGGCCATTCATATAATGAAAATTAAAGGATAACAGAAGTAAATCCTACGAAATAAAAAAAGGTCTTGAGGAAGGGCTCCACCAGATAGAATATCTTTGGAATGTTTGTGGGAAACCATGGACTACAGTATGAAAAGGAATGGATGGGCTTCAGTGTGTATAACTGGAGAGATGACCACATTTCTAAGATCACACATAGTAAAAAATATGGTGTCTATAAGTCAAGATCTACTTTGTAACACCTCCTCTTTCCAAGCCTCCAGAAAACTCAAAAGGATCTAACCAAAGACCCTGAACAAATATATCCAAATAGTCCCTGGAAGGTAATGATAAGCTCAGCTCCCCTACACCAATGGGGAATGGAAGGGTCGAGGACAATAAGAACTCACAACAAAGGGCATATACACATATGTCCACCACTTGCAGAGAATCAGAATACAATAAATTACACCTCAACAATGTCAATAATTTTCTCTTTCTTTGAGGATGAAAGAGGCACTGTAGTTACATATCAGGCCTTTGGGGTTACCATTATGGATCTTACTTTGACTGTGCTATGAAACACTGAACTGCCAGATAATAAGCTTCTAACAAAGATACAATTGTATAGTATTAAACTATATCAACATCTCTCTTTTAATCTTAATTATCAGTTTCTTAAGAAAGTAGCAGATAACCGTTAGTAGTCTTAAGAAAGGAACCAGCTTCTCTCTCACTGTAAAGCTCCCTGCAGGCAGCAGAGAAAAACAGGGAGAACTCAAACTTTTAGACTAGTATTGGGTTGACCCATGTAATGTGGTATGTGAAGGGAGAGCATGAGAGTCAGGTGAGATTACTTTGGGGAAGAGCAATGTGCATTTTGGAGACTCCTATTGCAAAAATGGCTTGTCCTGAGTGTCTGTTTTTGTCCTTTACCCATGTTCTAAGTAAAATCTTATGCATAATAGCTGTGTCGCAAGCAGCTTGAGATTTTAGGCACATAGTACATTGTGCCAAAGGGTTGGTCAGTGATGACTACAATACCTTCTGAACTCCTCCCTATTTTCTGAAGCATGCCTGCGTCAAAGGTTGAGAGATCTTGGCAGTCAGAGGCCAGATAACCTTTAAAACTCACTCCTTTTCTCCAACACAAGTTAGAGAATACCAATAGGAAAGATTCTCTGTTCTCTAAGAATTACAGGGAGAATTACCTATAAAGTTTTGTGGGTTTTCATGGGGAAGACTTCATAAAAATTCACTCTTTTCACATAAAGTGTCCAAGAAAGCCAAGGGGAATCCACTGAAGATATAAGTCCTATTTAATGACCCCTAGAAGACTCCATGACTTTTGCTCACTTAACCTCCCAACGAGCTGTTCACTATATATGGGTTTGCCCATATACTTACCTGAAAGTAATGGCGTATGCATCTCCCCCTTCTCTTTTCCTAATGAGGAAGGCTCCATCTCGGGGAATTCTCATCAACATGTCTTCGGCTTCTCCTCTGCTCAGGCTATCATAGTACCAACTGCAGTATGGCATGGGGGGTGGGTGGGGGAGAAAAATAGACAAGAGATTCTAAAGCTTGTCAACTTGCCAGTCAGCCAGAGTAACTGGTGGCGGTGTTTCCTAAATTATAGTCTCAGAAATTACCATATAAATTATGTATTAGATTTCCCCATCTTGCCTCATATGACAGCAGTTTAGGGAAAAGAATACAGCAACATATCAAATTCTTGGGTAAAACATCAGCATGGCTTGTCTGCTTAAAGCAACACAGAATAAATCAGCTTATCATTACAAAACAATACAGCCCAGAACTGCCATGCTGGTTATCACAGAATGGCACATTAGCTGCAGCTTCTGTCCTGAAAAACATAAGGCAAAGGGCACAGCCAGAAGGATTTGGTTGTTTTCATGCGTGTATGTGTGTGTATATGTATGTGTTTAAAGAAGGAAAGCAAAGGAAGGCAAAAAAAGAAAGAACCCACAAGGGAATGCGGGAATAGTTTTAAAAACAAGAGGGATTATCCAACATGAGCTGCTTGGTAACCTGAATTTTAGCAGAGGGATGACTCTTTGTTTAAGGTTTATTTTCCTCCATTCTCAACATCAGAAGGCAGGACCAATCTTTGGTTCAATGTATGGATAAAAACTAAGGGAAAGACTTTGAATTTTTTCATTTTCAGAGAGAAGAGCAAGGAATTCTGTTAAGAGGAAATGTTTCCATGCCATAATTAACCTCTGGAAACCAAACCCCATGTTGTTTTGTCTGTAAGAGAGAAAAGTAAAGCATTTGGAAACCATTAGGTGGATGCTAAGAGAGCATTATGTCCCTCTGCATGAATTTAAAGGAGCAACAAAGGTTCTTGAGCAGCCTTGGATGACCAGTATTGAGCTTGCCTGGCTCCACCATTTGCCTTACTCTCTATGTGCTTCTTTCCACACCCCACATCTGTTTATTGATGGGATGAGACATCTGCATGCACACATTTCTGGAGCTCCACCACCCCAGGAGGCTGTAACTAAGCCCAACATGGAAACCCCACAGAGCACACATGCTTTTGAGCACATAGCCAGAGCACATTGCCAGACATACGCTTTTGATTCATGAGGATTGGGGTTGGGCACTGGGTCTGTCAGACGAAGCTCAAATTCAGCACATCTCAGGTGGGCTTCTCGGTAGTGTTGGATCAAGTCATAGATGCTGTTGAACATGAGGTTGTCAGTTAAATAATACTTCATGGCTCCTCCCTCAAGAGTCGACCGTATTCGACAGTGCTGGACTCTGCCTGATCTCCTGAAAAGGGAAGGGGTGTATCTGTCAAGCCACATCACTTTCAAGGCTGCCCTTCCATCCAAAAAGGAAAACCTACTTTTGAAAAAAATCAAAGGAGACTCCAAATGAATTAATTCTACCCAAACAAGTATAGGTATGGTACTCTGCCCCTATGCCACCCTGTTAATACATTCATATATACATATATATACTTATATGTGTGTATACACATACATACACACATATGCACATATATATATAGTGTGTATGTGTGTGTGTGTGTGTGTGTGTGTGTGTGTGTGTGTGTGTGTATCGTATAGACATCTATTTGTATATATTGACTCCTCTGAGAGAATGAGTACTTGGCACATAAGTGCTTAAGTAAATGTTTATTGATTGATTGCATGAACCTACAAGGCTGTGATTTCATCACCTTGGAAAAACTAGTGTAGGAACTCCCTTCACCAAAGCAAATCTTAATTCATCTATGACTTAGTAGATTAAATAGGGAGTTAGCTAAAACACACAGTGCTAAATGACTTGCTCAGGGTCACCAGGCTAGCAAGATGGAATCTAAAGCCAGATCTTCCTGACTTCAAGGCATTCTGTCTAGTATGCTATGCTGCTTCTAACGTTTGTGTGTATGTATACAGATATACATAAACATCTATATCTATTGTTGTTCAGTCACTTCAGTTGTGTCCTACTCTTCATGACCTCATTTGGGATTTTCTTGGCAAAGATTCTGGAGTGTTTTGCCATTTCCTTCTCCAGCTCATTTTACAGATGAGGAAACTGAGGCAAACAGGGTTAAGTAACTTGCCCAGGGTCACACAGATAATAAGTATCTGAAGCCAGATTTAAACTCAGATTTTCCTGACTCTAGGCCCTGCTCTAACCACTATGCCACCAAGCTGCTCCATATATACACTCAAATAGAACACACAAATATGTACACATATAGACATACATATACACTCAGAGTTCTTAACCTGGGGCCCATGGACTTTTCAAAACATTTTGATAACTATACTTCAATATAATTTGTTTCCTAGGTATATTTATCTTATGTATTCAATATCATTCTGAGAACAGGTTTATCAGCTTCACCAGACTATCAAAGGACTCCATGACATAAAAAAGTTAAACATTCTGATTAAATATGTGTGTGTGTGTGTGTGTGTGTGTGTGTGTGTGTGTGTGTGTGTGTGTGTGTAGAAGTATGTATTTAGCTACCCACACATAACTAGATCAGCAACTCTCCTAAATTGTAAGTTGCAGAGCAGGAGCTAACTTGCTTTGGGAGAAGATGTTTCTTCACTGAGAATTCCCTAAATGAAATCGCAGGTTGGGTCCTAAAATGAATGAATGAACAAGGAAAAAATAATGCATGCAAGAATGAATAAGATATCTTTCTGTACAGCTGGATTCATAGTAAGTGAGACAAGACTACACGACAGTGAAAACTACAGAGCCTAACACAGCTGTGTTAACTGTCCTAGCACTTCTACCTACTCCTCATTTTATCAATTGTTTTTGTTCATCCTTCATTCTCGAAGAGGACCAATGACCTCAGGAGGGTGATGTCCTGACTTGCAAGTGAATTGGATTTAACTGAGGACAGGGCTGTGCAGAGTCATCAGCCTCACTCTCTCCTTCAGAGTCATCAGAGGCCAGTGGTAAGACATAGGACAGGACAACTGGCGATGGCCCAGTCATTTTATTTACTAAGCAAAGGGATTCAATCTCTCCTCTGCAGATCAGGCCTTGTCTTCCAGATCCAAAACCAACATCCAAGGGCATCCATACTTCCACCTGATTAGATAACAAGGTTTCTGAGCAGGCTTTCTCCCTTCTCAAAGTACCTCATATTTACTTTATCTGTGGACTTGTCACATCCTCCAAGGGACAGGAACAGTAGGAACTTTTTAAATGTTTTGTCTTATCCCCAGCTACCCCAGTGCCACATGCATAGTAGGCCTTTAATAAATATTTGCTGAGGGGGCAGCTAGGTGGTGCAGTGGATAGAGCGCTGGCCCTGGAGTCAAGAGGACCTGGGTTCAAATCTGGCCTCAGACACATAACACTTACTAGCTGTGTGACCCCAGGCAAGTCACTTACCCCCAATTGCCTCACCAAAAATAAACAGATATAAATAAATAAATGTTTGCTGAAATGAACTGAATAATTCTGCAAAATTCATAGATTTATGATCTTATGATCAAAGGAAATTTAACTTGTATACAATAGCAAAATTCCCCTTTGTGTCTCCATAGCTTTGGTCAGGGGAGTATAGTAAGTCCTCACTTTTAGGCAGTGTGCTCATTCCTCAAGACTGCAACTCGAAGGGGACTGCCAGGAAATAAAACCTTGACGAAGGGATATTATTATTCTGACTGTTGGCTGGAACACTGGTAGAAAAGGGAGTGATGACAAACAAGGAAAGTGACTTTGAGAACTTTATTGGCAGTGCTGAACCATTGGTCTGTTGAAACATGGAGCTGAAAGATGTGGTTGTTTTGTTTTGTTTAATTGGACCTGTGATTTCATTGGCACAGGAAATTCCCAGTGAGGAAACTCCCTCTACCAATGAAAACCTCCAACTGCTCTGCTACTTAGAGAATGAGAAAGTTGCCTGGGTCTTCAGAGATGAAGTGACTTTCCCAGAGTCACAAAGACAGTATGTGTCAGGGGTGGGATTTGAACCCAAATCCTCACTCACTCTACTCACTGTACTTGCTGCCTTTTGGGATAATTATGGGCCTGCAATTATGAAAATTCCTAAAGAAAATAAATTCAACTATATTTTAAGTTCATGGAGGGCAGAAAGCACCTCTTATTCATCTCTCTACCCCTAACAGGCCCTAGCCCAAACTTGGCACTGCACAGAGAAAATGTTCAAAGAATACCAGCTAAATGAATAAAGTAAATGAAATACCAGAAGGACAGTGTGTAGTCGTTGGGGAAAGTTTCACTTTCACGGACTAAGAAGGTTCCATCCTTGCCCCCAGTTTCAGCACAGTATTCCTGTAGCAGTTTCTCAGCACTGGTCCTCTTCTCCATCCTCTTATGAAACCACTTCTCACCAAAATGCAGGTCAGTCTGTGCTACATCCTAGATCATAAAATGAGGTCAAGTTACAGTGGCTTCCAGGCCAGAGAACTTTTTATGTGACTCCAAAGTGAAAACATGGCCTTCATCTCCACAGGGTTACCTTGGAAAGGTGCTGTGCTTAGCACCCTTTGTTGTCTAAGTTAACAAAATGCCTGTTAAGCCGGTCTATCACCTAATGGCTGGGGCCCAGCTGCTTTCCTCAGGCTGATGTGTGGCTGATGCTCCCTGGACACAAATACATTTGTTTTTGCCTTCTCTATGCTGTCTGGCTCTAGGAATACAGCCTGCCAGTCAAACAAGCCAACCTCTCCCCCAGAGCTATTGCTACCTGCAATCTCTTGTCTCAGTGTACAATTTTCAATTACACTCAAAGTAATTCAACAAATACAAGCCGTGCTCACTCTACCAGGCCCTGGGGTTGAATCCTCTCTGGGTACATGGTTGGGGTTCTGCCTGAAGAAGCAGGACCTTGGGGCTCTCCCGTAGTTCATGGTTAAGTCCCTTGTTATGGGGCTGGAAGCTTATGGAGAAAAAAAAAAAACCTGGGGCATAAACAGTGGCTCAGCTACCACAATCACCTGAGCTAGGAAGAATGAGGATTATGATACTGAGCAAAAGCAGACTGCTTTATTTAATTCACCATGAGGACACCCCCACCTAGTGACAACAATGGGAAGTCCAGCAAAGCAGGAGAAAGGCTATTCAGGACTCGAGTGTAAAAACAAGAATTTCTGGTTTTGTTTGAAAAGGTTGTGAAATAGGTAAGAAAGATAAGGGCAGTGATATTGTCCTAAAGCTGATGGATCTCTTTAGTGACACAGAAGTGACTCAGGCCCTCCCTGTCCATCCTGAGCTCCTCTACTTTGATGCTCAGAAGTCTATTGTTACTGCCCTCAAAAAACAGAGAAATGATGACGATGATGATGATAATAACTAACACTTCATACAGGGCTTACTATATACCAGGCATTGTGCTAAGTGCTTTGCAATTATTATCTCATTTGACCTTCACAACAACCCTGAGAGGTAGGTGCCATTATTACCCCATTTTACAGATGAGGAAACTGAAGCAAAGCGAGGTTAAGTGACTTGCCCAGGGTCATATGATTAATAAGTTTTTGAGGCCAAATTTTAACTCAGGTCTCCCTGACTCTAGGGCCAGAGCTCTATCCACTGTGTCACCAAACTACCCAGACAGAACAAAGAGGGGCCAGAGAGAGAACTGGGAAGGTGGGTCCCCTTCCTTATTCAGGTTTGTAGGAAAACCCACCATTTCCCGTACCTTTACTGAATCCTCCTCTGCGTTCTGTTCTATAACATCACTGAAGGACAGCTTCTCATCGGCTATGGCACAATAGTGGCGATACCACTTCTGCAACACAAGACCAGAATTAGTTAGCCTTCATAAACAAGAAACCTAAGCTGGTATGGCAACAGCAGCTGGGAGCCTCAGCTCCCAGTGTCCTCCTTGGACACTGCTCACACAAAAATGTCTTCCACAATTTTTTCCTAAAATTGTTGTGCCTAAAGAAGCAAGCATTCTCATTTCCCCATGCTAATCAGCTCATTCCCTCCTATTCAGACTATAACATGGGCATAATCCTTTTCTCCAGATGTTTCCAGCATCCAGACTGGATGCCCCTGCCCTGCATTTTGTGACTGCACAGCTCTCAGACCTCTGCTCTTCCTTCAGGTTTCTAACAACCATAATGAAAACAATGCATAGTTATGGAAAAGGAAGAGAAGTTTTCATTTTATTTCTTTTTGTTCTAAAGCCCTCCTGCTTGTGCCTGCCAATAACATTTTCAGCACCATGGGGAGCGACATTCAGACTTGCAGGACTGGGTCTTACCTGATCAATGGTATCCCACATGTACAATTCCCCTTGCTGCTTTTTTTCCTCCTTCTTGTCTTCAATGTTGATGTCCACATCTCCTCTGGGACCCAGCTTCTTGTGCTAAAGTGAAATACAATGAAAGTTTTTCTCTTGGAACCTTTCTTCCCTATCAGCCAGTAAATAATTACTATCACGTTGCCAAGTGCAAAAACTCTTTTGGATGCTAAGAGCAAAGTAAGAAGAGCAAAGGACTCTTGAGCTTCCATTGCCCAAGAAGAGCAAACAAAATGCTTGGGAAGACTACCAAACCAACCCCCTCCCCACCCCACAACATACACACATGAAGCAACAGAAACAAAAGCAAAGGAAAATGTCAACACATATTGAACACGGTACTCTAGATATGAACAGACCAGGGCAGGTAAGTATAGTGGAACCACTACCTCTCTAGCCCAGAACACTGGACTGTTTTTAGGATTATATTACCTTTTTTTGGCTGCTAGAACACACTGTTAACTTACATTATCTGCCAATCCACTAAAACAGTGAGGTCCTTTTCAGTTGAATTTCTATCCTTGGACAACTTGAACATGTAAAAATTATTTTTTTGAATCTGAACATAAGGCTTCCATTTATCTAGATTAAATTTCATCTTATTACTGTAGTGCTCCTCCCCATTGAGCTCTGGGAGGAACAATACACTACATGCAGTCCATGGGTCTAATATAACTAGATCTTTTGGGATCCTAAAGATTCTGTCATCTTATGACCCGGGGTCATAAGGTAGTGAGTGGTGCAGTGGAGAGAGTGCTACCTGGAGTCAGGAAGACCTGAGTTTAAATCTTGCCTCAGACATTCACTAGCTGTGTGACTCTGGGCAAGTCACTTAACCTCTCAGCCTTACTTTCCACATCTGTAAAAGGGAGATAATAGTACTTACCTCACAAAATCATTGTGAGGATCAAATGAGATAAAATACGTAAAGCACTTTGCAAACCTTAAAAGACTATATAAATACTATCATCATCCAGCATGCTAACTATCCTTCCCAGTTCTGTTTCATCTACAAAGTGAATAAGCATGGCTTCTATGCCTTAATCTGACTCACTGACAAGAATTATAAACTACTCGGAGCCAAGGATATACCCTCCCTAAGTAACATTCTCCTTCCAAGTTGACGCTACTGCATTAATGGCAACCACCCATCCAATCAACCAACGAACTCTGAATCTACTGTTCCTATCTCTCTATCTGGTCCACAAGACAAGCAAGATAGATTCTGTCTTCGATACCGCTGAAATCTAGACAAACTAGAGCTACAGTATTATCCTTATCCATCAGTCTATCAACCCTGTTTAAAAAAAAAAAGGAGGGAGCCAGTTAGGTGGCACAGTGGGTAGAGCACCAGCCGTGAAGTCTGGAGGACCTGATTTCAAATCCAACCTCAGACACATAACGCTCACTAGCTGTGTGACTCTGGATAAGTCACTTAACCCCAACTGCCTCACCAAACAAAAAAAAAAAAGGAAGTGAGATTACTTTGACATAAGCTGTTCTTGATAAAGGTTTCCTTTTATAAATGTTTACAAACTAGACCTTTTTTTTTTCAAACAAATGTAGTCATACTGGTTTTAGAAGGAGAGTCAAAATACCCCTTGCTCCCCGCTGTCACTTCCAGATTCTCTCTTTGCTTCTTTCACTCAGTAATCTCTCCTCTTTGAAGTTTACCCAATTAAAATCATGGCAGCTTCAGTATATTCACCCTCAGAGGACCTATTCTCTCTCCTTTCTCAAGGTCTTCAGCACCTGGTTCAACATCTTCCTCTCCTCCCCAGCTCCTGTCTTTATACTAGGGGACTTTAATATCCATGTAGATATTCCCTCAAACTCCCTTCTGTCCCATTTCCCCAATCTCTTTAAGTCCCATGGCCTACCCCTTCACTCTTCCTGAGTTCAATTCTGGCCTCAAACACTTATAAGCTGTGTGATTTTGGACAAGTCACTTGACTCCATTTGCCTAGGAGGCAGCTGGGTGGCTCGGTGCATAAGTGTCCTGGGCCTGGAGTCAGGAAGAATTGAGTTCAAATTCAGCCTCAGACACTTACTGTGTGACCCTAAGCATATAACTTGACTTCTGTTTGCTTTAATCCACTGTAGAAGGAAATGGCAAACCACTCTAGCATCTTTGCCAAGAAAAACCCAAGCTTAGTATCATGAAAAGTCAGACACAACTGAACAGCAACAAGATAGATAGATAGACAGATAGATAGATAGATAGAGATTTCTACATATCTAGATAGTTATAGATATCTATATATCTAAATATGCATAGATACCTATTTAGGTATATATACATACAAATATACACATATATATGACAGATATCTACATATTTAGATATACACAGAGAGAGAGAAACTTCCTACTTATGTTGCATATATCTTATATGTACTTATTGTACCTCCCCCATTAGATTGTAAATGCATTGCAAGTACAGATTTTTTTCATTCTTTGTACTTTTATCCCCAGTGCCTAGCACAGTGGCTGGCACACAGAAGGTGCTTAATACTGACTGATTTATTCTATAAATTGTTCTCCTGGTTTTGTTTACTTCAATCCATATCAGCTAAAACGCTGTTTTCCTGAAACCATCTCTTTTATCATTCTTATAGCTCAATAACATTCCACTACATTCATATACCATAATCTATTTAGCCGTTCCCCAGCTGATGGACACCTTGGTTTCTAGTCCTTTGCCACCACAAGAACAGCTGCTGTAAGTATTTTTGTACACATGGGTTCTTTTCTTCTTTCATTGAAACCTTCAGGATATAGTTCTAGTGGTAGTATTGTTGGGTCACAACTTAGTGATCTGGGGGGCATAATTCCGATAGGAATTATTTCCAGAATAGCTAGACTGATTCACCACTCCACCAATAGTGCATTAATGTGCCTATTTTTTCACCGTCTTTCCAACAGTTATCACCTTCCTTTCTTGTCACCTTTGCAGTCTGATAGATATGAGGTAGAACCTCAGGGATCCTTAATTTACATTTCTTCAATTATTAATGATTCAGAACATTTTTTCATATGACTTCATCCATTCTTTCAGTAATGTGTTTCAACACACTAGGATGTAGTTCCTCTTCCCTGGTGACAAACTCATAGAAGACTACAAGATGCTGTCTTACTATTTCTTTATATATTTTGGTTTTCAACTTCCTAGTAACCATTTTTGTGCCCTCCCTTTCATTCAAGACTCATTCTCCTTAGTAAAGAAAACAGAAGCAACATAGGAGTTGAACATTTCTGCCTCCTCCATTATCACTGTGCCATCCACCTCCTAGATCCCTGCACTGCCCTCCCCCAAGCTGTTTGTATAGGCATTTATGCCTTTATGTGTAGTTTTCCCCCAATAGAACATAAGCTCCTTGAGGGTAGGATCTTTTTCATTTTTGTTTTGTTACTTCAAGTACCCAGGACAGGACCTGACACTCTAGGTGCTTTGTAAAGGCCTACTGATTGACTGATTCATCTACTTTTGTCCATATCTCTTATTTGAACTTTTTTCCCCCTAAAATAGTTTTTAAAACCTTTTTTCCTTTGTTTTACTTGACATTCTTTGCCAGCCTCAGTCCACTCTAAGCTTTAGTGCTCCTGACACTATCCTTACAGGACTAAGCCACTTTTGTAATTGTCTACCATCTCTTGTCCTTGTTTCCATCTTTTGTCTTTTTAAATCTACACTGGTCAATGTGCTCCCTGCACATCTACATTAGTCTCTTTAGACAGCCTTTCCCTTTCTTCACTGGAACTGTTTCCCTCTGGGTCCTTACAATTTCATTCTTGACAGCTGCCATTCCTCCTGGGCTGACCTACCCTGGGGTATTTTAGCTGCGGGTACACAACACTATATATAACATCAGGAGTTCGGTTTGGTTTTGGGTTTGGGGTTTTTTTTAACGTATTTTTTAATTTTGATTCTGATGTATTGATCATTCTCACTGAATTTTTTCTTATCTTCTTCCTCATTTTTTTCTGAAAAATTATTTGTTGTAAGGGATGGTTCTCTCAGCAGGGGAAATATCAAAGGGGAAATCTAAGCAAGGTAAAAAGCAAAGATATCAGTAAAAGTTTATTATTTTAAAAAAAGGAACAAAAAAGCATTTTAGGTGTGGGAGCCTACCTACCTGACGGGCATGATGGCATACTGAAGAGAGAGAGAAGCTAGTTTCAGAGTCAGGAAGACCTGGGCTAAAGGTCTAGCCTAAAACACATCCTAGTTGTGTGATCCTGTGCAAGTCTCGGTTCCCAATGACAATAAAAAGGGAGGCAGAGAGAGAAGGGAAAGGAGAAGAACAGGAAGAGAACAAGAAGAAGAATAATTTAGGATTTTACCTGCCTTTTCTCTGGACCTCTGAAATCTACTCTCACAAATTTTAAATAATGTTGCATCTCTCACTTCTGTACCTTTGATTAGCCTGTCCTTCATGACTAGAAAGTATTACTTCTTCACCTTTGCCTCTCAGGTTCTTCCTTCAAGATTTTGCTCAAGGGCTACCTCCTTCGTGAGGCCTTGTCTCATCTACTGAAATCACTTATATATATTTGGATTGAATTTATTTGTGAACATGTTGTTTTCTCCCATTAGAATATAAGCTCCTTGTGGGCAGAGACTATTTCTTTAGCACCTAGCATATTGTTTGGCATATGGTAGGCACTTGATAAAATGCCTGTTGGATGAAGTGAGTGAATGATTGAGTAGATGGTCACTGACATCCCTTTCAACTCTGAAATTTGAAAGTGACAGAAGGGGAACTATGATGTTGGACCTGGATTCCAAGTGAAAAAGCATAACTGGTTATTGAAGTAGAATAGATAGGACCTTCATTTCATCTTGAAATTTATTCTATGAAAAGACAGAATAACCAGGCATCATCTGACACAATATGAGAAGCTGACATTTATCTACTGCCTTAAGATTTGTAAAGCACTTTACATGCATTAGTTCATTTAATCGTTCTGATAAGCCTGTGAGATAGGTCTTGTGAGTATTATTGACCCCATTTTATAGATGACAAAAATGAGGCTCATCAAGGTTAAGTGACATGCTAGCTGTGGTCACATAGCTAGTAACTGTCAGAGGTACCAAGTCTCTTCTAATTTCAATTCCACTATTTAAAAAGAAGGGAGAATAAGAGTAAATAAGCCAATCTGGCTGGAATATACAGTGTCTGAAAACTCTCTGGAAGTATAGCTGGAACCAACTGTGAACAGCTCTAAATGCCAAACATTTAGTTGATCCTTGAGGCAATAATCAACCACAGGTAGTTATTATGCAAAGGAGTGAAATACTCAGGCCTGTATTTTAGGAAAATTAATTTGGCAACTGTGTAGAAGATGGATTGGAGAAGGCAGAGACTAGAGGCAGGAAAATCAATTATGAGGCAACTCCAATAGTCCAGGTAAGAGATAATGAGGATCTGAACTGGGTTGGTGGCCTTGTGAGTGGAGAAAAAGGGACAGAGGTAAGATGTTGTGACTCATTGACTGGATATGGGAGGCAGGCAAGACAGTGACCCATTAATAACTACTCTTTGAGTCAAAGAAGGATGAATTTTGGGGAAAAGATAATGAGGTCTGTTTAGGTCATGTCGAGTTTGAGATGCCTATGTGACATTTAGGTCAAAATTTCCAATATGCCCATAAACAATATAGGACTGGGGCTTAAAGAGGAACTAGGGTTGGTTGTAGAGGTCTGGGATTTATCTGCATTGAGGTGATAAGTGAGTCATTGAAAGCTGATGAGATCATCAAGAGAGAAAATGCAGGGAAAAAAGAGAAGATTCTTCAACCAGGACCGGGCTCTGAAGGACACTGATAGTTAGGGAGCAGGCCATGGATGATGATCTAGTAAAGAACAGTGTGACAAAAACAGCCAGAGATAAGAGAAAAATCAGGAAAAGGCTATTCCATGAAAAGCTAAGGGAGGAGAGAGTAACCGAGAAGGGTAATCAATGATGTCAAACCCTGCCAAAGTCAAAAAGGACAAGGACTGAAAAAGAGACCATCAAATATAGTCCTCCTTCTCGACAATGCACTCTGATTATTTCTTTGCTTTGCAATTTCAATGAATCTAGGGTTTCATGGGTAAAGATCTGCAGCCCTGCTAAGCCTCTGTCTTGTGTGAATCACAGAATGTTCAAGCTGGGTGGGACCTTGGAGATCCAAGGATTCTTAAAGCAAAGTTTGTTCATTTACAAAGTGACGCCAAATGCTTGTGAATGGGAAATACCTTGATGACGATCTTTTCTTTCAGCTGGGCAGGGGATGGCAGCTGGTCGGCACTGGCTTCAGTGGGCTTTGTAAGGAGGAGGTCCCCAAATACATCCTTAAACACCCTGGCCATATGACGTTGCTGTTCTACACAGCAATGCTCTTCAATGGAGAGGATCACTGGGAACCTAGGAAAGGAAAGGAAAACAAAGACAGCAGACTATCGGTTCCCTTCCACAAAAAGAAGAGAGAAAACAAGAAAAATGTTCAGAAGTCCTTGTGACCTATCCTGAAAATTCTGGGTAACTGCTATCTTTCATTTAGCTAAGTAGAAGAAGAAGAAGCCCAGGACAAATAAAGACCATCTGGGATAGATAAAGACAGCAGTTTGCTTACCCGGACCTCTGCTGGGCTCCTTGTCTGGTTAGAAAATGTGGCCACTACATGTAAACTCTGGCACTCCTTTTTGTTGTTGTCATTCAGTCATTTTAATTATGTGCAACTCTTTGTGACCCCACTGGGGATTTTCTTGGCAAAGATAATGCAGTGGTTTGACATTTCCTTCTCCAGATCATTTTACAGATGATGGAAACTGAAGCAAACAGAATGAAGTGACTTGCCCAGAGTCACACAGACAGTAAGTGTCTGAGGCTAGATTTGAACTCCAGAAGATGACTCTTCCTAACTCCAGGCCTGACACCCTATCTGCTGTACCACCTAGCTGCCCCTACTGCTTTGGATGAGATTTAACAAGGGACAAGCTTTTGGGGCCCAAGGCTGAAAATGGGGCTTAGGCAAGAGACTTGGACTGAATAAATAGATCTGATATTCATCTGCAAAAAGATCACAGAACTCCATGGGAGCTAATGAGACCACCAAGAGAGAGAGTGTAGAGAAAGAAGAATCTTTGACATAGATGGGGCCCTGGTCAGTAGGCTCTGTCTTGTGGGATCAAAGGCTGTGTGAAAACAGTTTGGTCTCTTGTGGCTCCAGTGTCTGGAGAACGATGAGTGTAGGTATTTTAAATGTTTTCTGTAAATATTTTACCATTGTAAACTTTGGGTCCCACTAATATAAATGTGCCCATAAACCAGAATGAAGAGGAATGGAGGATTGAGAGGCAGGATAGGGTTTTTGGGTGAGTAGCTTTAAAAAAGGTCTCTTCCTATGCTAGGTTTTCAAGGAAGAACTGGGATGAGGATGTGGTGGTGAATAAGGATAAACCATGATAAATACAAAATTGCTTCTGATCCAAAAACTCTCAGTTTCAGTCTTGGCCAGATGTCCCATCTGACTCCTTTTACTACCTCTCAAAAGAGCTGTTGTGAAGAAAATTCTTTACAAGACTTAAGGCCCTCCAGCAGAGGAAGTCTCCCTTACATGTAATCACCATGACCTGGAGATACTGAAGGAAAAGTAAGGAAGAAAAATGCAGGTGCCTTCGTAAGTATCTGGCTACACTCGAGCCCTCTGGGGCCCCCTCTCCCAAGTGAAAGCTACAAAAACTGCAAGCCTACTGTGAGGAGACAAAAGCATGATCTCTGATGGCCTGCACCACATCATCAAACTTGATCTTCGTCGTCCGCGTCCAGCCATGGTAGATGATTGGCTTCCCATCAGGCCCATCCCAGCAATCCACTGAGGGAAGAAAACACATCTTTCACCACACCAGTCACTGGCTTGTTTTACATATACGAGATCAGAATTATAAGGTAGGAAGCCCACAGAAGACCCACAAACGAATCACCACAGTGTCAGTAAACCCTTGGATTTCAGGTAGGACAATCACATTGGAAGGAGGGATGTATGTGTCTGCTCAGTGGGGTGGGCTTTAAAAAAAAAAAAGCCTGACATTTTTGGGAAGTTTATCCAAGAAGAGATCCTTGCCTTTTTAAGGGTATCAAGAGTCCCTAAACAACTCTACCAGAGAACTGAGAGGAAGAGAACAGGAAATCTTCCCCAAACTTGACTGCATGGGCAAGTTCATGACAAAATTCATGTTCCCCAAACTTTTTTCAGTCTACACATGCCATGAGCTCATTGGGATACCACACGAAAGGAATAAGGAACACTATTCATATGTTCCCCCTAACCATGTTTACTTTTATATACACACGTGTGTGTGTGTGTGTGTGTGTGTGCGCGCATATGTGTGTAAGCACAAACCTCAACACTTAGGCATCCTGCCTTCCCTCTCTCCCACAGTCAACATTCTCTATCTTAAGTCAAAATCTAGCAAACGGGAATGAAGAGAACCTGAGATATATCAAAGAATCTCTAAAGATTCACCAAAGTGCCCCAATGCACAGGGACATAAAAGTGACCTATGTGACTCCTTAGCATTCATTAAAAACAGGGCAAGAATCTGACTTCCCCAAAAAGTACTATACAAAAGAATAGCATGGAACATTTCTTCCTCTTTCAGAAAGATCCTACCTGCAAGAAAAGTTTCCTAAGGAAGAATTATACAAAGTCCAAGAGACTGTGAGAGCTCAATGAAGGCAGGGGCTGTGTCTTATTAGCCTTAAAATAACATCTATAAATAAAGTTTGTATGTCACATCATACTGAACATCAGAAACTGCATACGGTAGATGTTCAGTAAATAATGCTTGAATGAATAAGCATCTATGTGGGTTAGCTGCCTTTCTCCATGATGACTTACACTCTATACATCGGCAACCCATTCGAAGACATCGAATGTATGATTCAGTAGAAGATTCACTTCGAAGTTGGTCCCCAGTGAGGTACCTGAATGAACAGAGCAGAGCCAGCCATGTCAAAGAGGTAATGAGATAACATCATTAAAATCTTCTGAACATTAAAGCTTCTGTCTTATCAATTTGTTCCTCTTAGTTTGAGAACCAGAAATAACTCTCTATTTCACAATTAAAACTACAGTCCAGTAAACTCATTCATACCAAGAGGATTCCATGACATTGGACAAGTTTGCTTCTATTAGTCTAGACACTGACACTGTTCATCAGGTAGAAGGGAAACTGAGTCTGGGGTGCACAGTGATTACTAGGAATCTGGAAGGCCTAAGTTCAAATCCCACCTCAGAAACCTCTTATCTGTGGAACCCTGGACAAAATGCTTAACCTCTCTATGCCTCAGTTTCCTCATTTGTAAAATGGAGATGATAGTAATACTATCTACTTGCCAGGGTTGCCATGAGGATCAAACAAAATAACATTTATAAAATGTTTTGCAAACAAAGTGCTATATAAATGCTAGCTATCATCATCGTCATCATCATCATCATCATCATCATCATCATCATTACATAATGCTAAAGTGAGGAAATTGCCAAACATGGGAATAAAAGGCCAGACTGTGACCAGGCCCTTGTGTGACAGAAAATGACAAGAAGAGAGACAGCCATCCTATAAATCCACCTGCTGGGAAAGCAACCCACCCACATAGTCATAAGTTTCAGGAATGAAGCACAGATAGTAGCCTTGCTCACAACTCACAGTAGCTATGAGCTAACCCCACAATGACAATCAGTCATAGCCACAAGTGGTAAGCACTATGTTGATTCAGAAATAGGTTAAAAAACAGACTGGAAGGGAAAGAAAGAAAGGATAAAGAAAAAAGAAAGAACACAGAAGAGGTACACAGGCCTGTTTGCCTCTTATAGTGCCTCTGCCTTCTGAAACGGCCATTCTGGAGGACACCAGGTCAGTCCAAGGATTACAGGATTTAGCATTGGAAATCACAGAGTGCAAAGCCATAATTTAAGAGAAGGAAACTGGCCTCCACACTACCCCCTCCCCAACCTGTCCCCCTAAAGTAGAGTAACTTCACAATGTTTCCAAATTGAGTCTCCTTAACAATAGCCTTGAGACATCTGTCTACACTAACTACCCTATACTACCCTATGATCTACAAACTTCTTTGGTCAGCTTAATTTAAATGCTAATCATGACAGGCTTACATGCAAGATGAGAAAGCCTGTGTAGAGTAAAGTAAGCATATAAAAGATCAGGCAACTTAGAAAATAGCCCAAACAAGCTGGAAAGGTAGAAACCCTAACAGAACTTCTCATATTTCTATGATCCCAGGTACTAGTCACCACTAGCAAGCAAATTGCCCCTAATAACTTCTTTTTCATTTCTATGAAACTGCTGAGGGATGATCCACATGTATACAGCACAAATATCAACTTCCTAATTCTTTTGATGCAAGTAGAGAGAATATTTTAGTGTTACTGGAAAATGTCCAATATCTTATACCACCAGCCCTAGCCGCAAGGAAACCTTTTTAGACCCCAGTCAGAGAAACTTCAGTCTACATTACTTCACTGGTAGATTAAATGCCTTCAAAAACTATCTTGATTTTGCACATTTGTTATTAATTTTGTTGTGTGCTGAGCTATCAAAAAACTTACGTGTTATGAGATGAAGAAATCCAGTAATGAGACAAGGGGTTATTCATGTCTTGCATGTCAACAGAGTCATATTTATCATCCCAAATGCTGTTTTCTTTTGAAAACAGGTAAGTGAGGAACTAAAAAGTAAAACAGAATAAAAAACAAACAAGAAAAAATAGTCAACAAATATAGAAACTGAATGTCAATGAGAATGCTAAGTGGCCAGCTAAACAATAAGAGATTTATCCACAGAGGGTCAACGAGCCCCAATATCACCAATGATTTCAATCTCTTCTCCCAATCAGAGCATCTAACCAAGTGACAAATTCCTGATATAGTGGGCTTTCTCCTTCTTTCCCTCTCCTTGCCATTTCTCTATTGAACATATAGAGCTCCAGCCTCAGAGTCAGAAGGACTTGAGTTCAAATCCAGCCTCAGACATTTGACACTTACTAGCTATGTGACCCCTGGGCAAGTCACTTAACCGGGACCGCCTCACCAAAAAGGCAAAAAAAGAAAAAAAAAGTATTAGCAAGCCATGAAAGTGCCTCAAGAAAGGCAATGAGAAAAAGAAGAGTCTGTATTAACATACAGATAAGACAGTCTGTACCAACAGAAGTTCCGTGTCATTAACTGATTTGTGTATTGAAATCATTTAAAATGTAACTGAAAAGTCATCTTTAGAGAGTTAAAACTACATACAAGATAAGGGCATTTCACACCAGTTAGAAAGGGCCTCCCTCACTCACCTCATCGACAAATAGGAAGGGCTCAGCTGTTTCTCTCATAGTGTCATCTATAAATTTTGTCATCCGCTCTCTTACTTTACTTAGATCCTGTGCCCAGATTTCCTTAAAACAAAACAAAAGAAAAAAAACACAAATAAAGGGGAAAAAATCACTAAAAGATGACAAAGGGAAGACATGTGAATTTTCTACCAGAGTTTGAAAGAAACCAGCTATGCATCTATACACAGAATGGCATGAACTCACATGAAATCTTTTGCATAACCACAAAAAAAGATGGGCAGGTAGGTCTTGTGATATCAAGAGAAATCAAAGACGGCCACTGGATGAGCCCTCTATGGCACGTTTAGGAGAGCACTTGGACAAGGATGGGCTACATAGAATTGGCAGGGACTCACAAATTGTGATCTCCACTGTTGGAAGAAATGCTCACATCAATGAGATCAAAGATCCATTGGAGTGCTATGATTTCCTAGAGTCCAGATCATACCAAGACACTGAAGCTTACCAAATACTAACAAAAACTACAAGGTAAAATCACTAGGTGTTGTAAACATCATAAAGCCATTGGAAACATTTAAATGTATTTCAGAAATAAGCAACTGTGATGAAAAATACAACCCCACTGTTTCCCTTGCTAAGTCCCAAGTTCTCTAATATTTGTACAGCATTTTACCAACAATGTACTATAACAAAGGAAGTCAACTTTTCCTAATTCTTCCTGGTTTTAGAGATCCTGAAGCTTTTCTTTGTCTTTATTGAAATGAAAAACAAATTTGCGGCCAGCAGTCTTTATGACTGCATATAATGGGACGGACCAATAAACTTGTCAAGGAGAAAAAGACAAGGACAGACACATATTAAGTTACATTAAAAAAAAAATCCTCCTGCAACTGACTGGTAATGGAAGAAAACAATGTACCCTTCTACTTGTTTTTGCAAATGTACACTGATTATTAAGGCAAATCAGTTGCTTCTGTGCAATAATCCTTTCATTTGGATGCACTGGCAAATAAAGTCTTTCCATACTGGAGGATAATATGTAAAAATGTGGCCAGGCATCAGCCAGGGCTTCTGCAGGCCATGGCCAAGAGTTCTCTTCTAAGTTGCTATCATTCACCATTCCCCCCTTCCCAAACAGATTTATGTGTTTATTAACACTGGCTAGAAATTGTACCATGTATCAGCAAATTTGCTAATTGCATTAGGGAATATGACAGTCTCAGTACTGAGAAGTCTAACACAACCCAAGATATATAAATTCTTCCCTTGGGTTTTTCTTGGTCACTGGCCCATTGATGGAAATGAGCCTCCACTGAAAGCTTCCTAAGAACAGCAACATTAAACTCATGGCATCTGTGAGGTGCCCAAGCTTATGTTCTCTGTAAACAACACACATGTGACCTTGGGTATGTCACTTGCTTCCCTGGGCTTTAGCTACAGCCAGGCACTGAAGGGCAGTGGTGTCAAACTCAAATAGAAACCACACATAAGGGTTCTTATGGCAGCATATTGATTTAGAGAACCATATGCTAACATCTACATTTAATGTATTTTTCTTTATTTTGCTACATTTTCCCTGTGACATTTTAATCTGGTTCTGGCCACACTGGTGGGCTGTGTTTGCCACCTCTGGTGTAGAAGACAGATGGATCACCAGACTCACATCAGGAAGAACTGAGTACAAATCCCACGTCAGGCACTTACTAGCCGTGCAACACTGGGAAAACCACTTAACTTCTCAGCCTCGGTTTCCTCATTTATAAAATAAAGATAATAATAGTAATAATAACAAACATTTCATGGAGTTGTGAGATTCAAATAAAATAATATATGTAAAGCACTCTGAAAATCTTAAAGCACTATATTAATGTGAGCTACTATTATTATTTAACTGAAAGCAATGGATTAGATGATTTATAAAGTCTCCATTTCTAAAATCCTAGGATCTTCAATTTTATTAGGTTTTGATGAGGATTTCAAAACAATAGAAACACAGGAACTACCACATAAAGGCATCCCTTCGATCCTTCTAGCCCAGGATTCAATGTCTAAAGGGGCCTATGCCAAGTGGGTCTATCCACATTCCACCAAATACACTTGGCATTTTACTCTCTTAAGTGTCTTTGCTCTACCTTAAGTCCATCATTTCCCCTCTAGGCTTCAGTTTCCTCATCTATAAAATGCCCTAATGTCTCATCTGGAATGCTTAAAACTGTCCTTTCTATGAAAATCCTATCCATTGCTCTGTGACCTTCTATGACCCATACTGAAGTCTCCCAAATTCCTTTGGCACTTTATACTATTATGTTTCATACGGAATAATGCCTGGGATTATGAATTAACTATTTATGTGCTTATATCCCCCAATTGGGCTATATCTTCCTTGATGACAATGACTAGATCTTATCCTTCCTTGGATTCCTTAAAAAACCTAGACAATACCCTACACGCAGAAGCGCCCCTAAAATATCTGACTCACTGGTACCTCATTGACCTATAAACAAAGTAAGGTGGCTATAGTCTAACAGAAGCACTGGGCTTGGAGCCAGAAGCCCTATGTTTCAGCCCCACTCAAAAAAAAAAAAGACAGAGACACCTTACGTAAGTCAATTCTTTTCTCTGGGCCTCAGTCCCAAAACAGGAATAATAACGTTTGACCTGCCTACAAGATTACTGTTAGGACTAAGTGAGATGTTGTATGTATAAACCCAGTCCCAAAGCCCAACGGTATGGGACTCTTCCTTATTGGGGTAGATCAATGTCCTATACCTGTATAAGGGGTAAAGTGGAGCTGGCGAGGTGGCACAGTGGATAGGGTGCCAGGCCTGGAACCAGGAAGACTCATCTTTCTGAGTTCAAATCTAGCCTCAGATACTTTTAGCTGTCTGACCCTGGACAGGTCACTTAACTCTGTTTGCCTCAGTTTCCTCATCTGTAAAATGAACTGGGAAAGAAAATGACAAACCATGCCAGTATCTTTGCCAAGAAAACTCCAAATGGGGTCACTAAGAGTCGGTGGCTTCCAGCTTTGAGAGAAAATGGAAGATGCCAACCCTATTTGAGGGTGCTGAAGGAACAGACTTGGGAAAGTAGTATGAGAGGAGGGGCAGTCTCCATCATGTCCCTATCCCCAGTCTTCTATATTAGAAACTTTGGGGAACAACCTTTTGTGTAAAACCTCTGTCTCTGTCTCTCTCTTTCTCTCTCTCTTCTGTCACTGAATTACCTTGATTCCAAGAGGAGAGCTCCTTCACTCTATACTATTTGGTATATATTACCATATGTAGACTTTCTCTGATTTCTATTGGCTATCAAATTGGATAAATGGTTTTCTTGGCTAAGTATTATGTGTTTTCATTGTGGAACTGGCATTTGGTTGGAAGAGCGGGTCAAGCCCTCTATATAAATCAATCAGAAGTTAGATTAAACCTGAAAACAAGGAGCAGCTAGGTGGTGCAGTGGATAGGCTCTGCAGTCAGGAGGACCTGAGTTCAAATCTGACCTCAGACACACAACATTCACTAGTTGTGTGACTCTGGGCAAGTCACTTAACCCCAATTGTCTTACAAAAAACTTGAAAACAACATTCCCTAGACTAATGATATTTAAGTGAACAGATAGATATAACTGTAGTCCAGTATCCCCAATTCCCTGATTCCTCTCCTGGCAGGAATCAAAGTCTCTCTTGGAGAATGGGGGCAGGGGGAAGGGCAGCAAAGAGACTAGAAATGTCTATTCTACCTCCCTTCAAGCCACATAAGAACACCTTCATGCTATATGGGTGTGGGGAACAGTCCTCACAGGTAGGGGCCTCACCATATATGCAAAATGTTTTGTAAGTATAATATAAATTAATATATATGTAATAATAAATTATATTGGGCTTTCAAGTCTAATATAAATGCAAAACTATTGTTACTAGAAGTTGGATGATTTTTCACCATGAGATCTTCCCAAAAGTTGTGCCTGTAAATAACCTGTGTGTCCTTGCAGGTCCACTGAAAGGCCAAGTTCTGAGCTCAGGGCTTTCAACAAACGGGAAGCATTTCTACCCACCCATGTTTTTAATCTGTTGTGGCATTTTCTGCCACAAGGTGGCACTAGATAAGAACAACCAAGAATGCTTATAAAAACAGATTGTTTTATTTTATTTCCTAGAATATTATTTTATTTTATTTCCTAGAACAACAATAATGATGTTAATAACAACTAACATTTCTATAGCACTTTACAAACATCATCTCATTTAATCTTCACAAAATGCTTATGAAGTAACTTCTATGGTGTTTTATATTCTTTTTTTTTAATCTCCAATTTCCAGGTGAGGAAACTGAGGCCCAGAAGCCCAAAAATAAATGGGTAGTAGTCACATAGCAAAGAATTGCCTGAGCTGAGATGCAAAGCTATGCCTGGTTGTGAATACAAATCCATCACTCACCACGCTACCTAGAGGTGCACTGAGATTAATTCCTCACCTTCAAAGAACTCCATCGAGTCTTACTACCTCACTTTACAGATGGAGAACCTGAAATTCAATGACTTGCCCAAAATCTCACTGAAGCCAGGATTTGAACCTCAATCCTCTGACTCATGCTGTGCAGGGATAATGTTTTTGGCCCACTTTTTTTTTTTTTGGCTTTTTAGTGACTTGCCCAGGGTCATACAGCTAGTGTCAATGAGGATAATGTTTTTGGACAGAACCTATGATTTCGTTGTTCTCCGTTGTTCCTCCTCAGAGGTCTTCAAGAAGAGATTAGATGACTACCTGTTGGGTATATTACATTCAGTATTCCTTTCATTTGTGGGGTAGATTTGCTGGTCATTGATATCCCCACCAGCTCTCAAATTCTGTGATTCTATGAATCTGTAAAACTCCCTCTATCAAAGTAGATCACCAACCACCCCACGAGTTAGTCTCAGAGAGGTCAGTTAACATGTCCAGGACCACACATCTTAAAGCCCAGGCTTCCTTCAAAACTCAGCTCACATGCTGCCCTCTACAGAGGGGGCTTCCTCAGTGCCCTACCTAACTCCAACGGTCACCTTCCATCTACCTTGTATATGTTATCTAGTACATAGCAATTTATATATATGCTATCTCTCCTATTAGAAGGATGGCTTCTTATTGAAAAGAGTGGGTTTATTGTTTTGTTCTGGTTTTTTTGGGAGGATATCCCAGAGCTTAACATAGTGCCTGGCATAGCACTTAATAAATGCCTGTGGATATGTCAAAGGTAGGACTTGAACTAGGGCCTGTGGACTTCAAAGCTAGTTCTCTATTCCCTATGCCACACTGCCACTCTCTTGAGATGATATGCTATATCCTAGTTCACATTTTTATGGCAGTTTATATCTTACAAAGCATTTTCCTCACAATGATCCTACAAGGTAGACAGTTTAAAAAATTTAAACATCAGAGTCAGCAAATGCTAGAGCTAAGAGGCCTTTGGTAACCATCTAACCCAGCTCCCTTCACTTTTCACCGGAGGAGACTGAAACCCAAAGAAGCTGAACCAGTAAGTCTCCAAGGTACTTTCCAGCTCTAACCTCATATGTTCAAATCAATTCATCATATATTTATTCTACACCTACTACATACAGGTCCGCATGCTGGGCCCTAGGTATAAAAAAGGAAAAGGAAAAAATGGCATGGCTCTTACCTTTGAAGGAATCTGAAATGTAACAGGGGTAAAGTCAAGACCTATACAGCTAATACATAATACAGCATAATACAGGGTGTATGCTACAGGTACCTAAGAGAACCCAAGGAGCTCTAAGAGTTCAAAGAGAGAGAAATCACTTTTCAGCAGTAACTCTCATCAGAATTGGCTCAAAGAGGTAATGACATACACATTTAGGGTATAGAAATCTATCTTACCCTATAGGAAAGATGGAGGAAAAGGAAATAAAAAAGCAGGGGGAGAGGGGAAAAGATGCTGATAGAAGAGAGAGCATATTAGGAGAGGCAGCAGACAGAAGTGAAACACTTTTAAAGGCAGACAGGGTGAAAGGTGAGAGAGTAGGACTAAAAGGAGGAAAATAGGGTGGAGAGAAACAGAGTTGTTGATTGTAACTGTGAAAAAAAAATTTACAGGAAGTTTCTCTGATAAAGTCCTCATTTCTCAAATACATAGAGAACTTAGTCAAATTTATTTTTTTAAAAAGCCATTCCCCAATTGATAAATGGTCAAAGGTTATGAACAGGCAGTTTTCAGACAAAGTAATCAAAATTATCTATAGTCATATGAAAAAATGTTCTACATCATTACTGATTAGAGAAATTCAAATAAAAATAGCTCTGAAGTATTACCCCACATCTGTCAGATTGGTTAATATGACAGAAAAGGAAAATAACAAGTGTTGGCAGGGATGTGGAAAAACTGAGACACTAACGCACTGTTGGTGGAGTTGTAAATTGATTCAACCATTCTGGAGAACAATTTGGAAATATGTCCAAAGGGCTATAAAACCACACATACATACTCTTTGACCCAGCAATACTACTACTAGGTCTGTATCCCAAAGTGATTAAAAAACAAAAAGGAAAAGGACTTCTATGTACACAAATATTTATAGCAGTTCTTCTAGTGGTTGCAAAGAATTGGAAATTGAGGAGATACCCATCAACTGGGAAATGGCTGAGCAAGCTGTGATATGTGATTGTGATAGAAGACTATTGTACTATAAGAAATGATGAGCTGGATGTTCTCAGAAAACCTGGGAAGACTGAAATGAACTGATGCAAAACAAAATGAGTAGAACCAGATCAGTGTACACAGTGTAACAGCTATACTGTACGATGATCAATTGTGAAAGACTTAGCTATTCTCAGCAATACAATGATCCAAGATGCTATCCATCTCCAGTGAAAGAACCAATAAAGTCTGAATGCAATTGAAGCACACTATTCCTAACTTTATTATTTTTTTTTTGGTCTATGTTTTCTTTCACAACATGATTAATAAGGAAATACGTTTTGCATGACTGCACATCTATAACCTATATCAAATCAAATGCTTTCTCAATAATGGGGGAGAGGAGGGAGGGAGAGGGAGAAGGAAAAAAAATATAGAATTCAAAATTTTTTTAAAAAATGAATGTTTAAAATTGTACATGTAATCGGGGAAAAAATAAAATATTAAATGAAAAAGAAAGAAAAATAAGAGAGATGTGAGCATGTTTATAAGCAGAAGGGAAGGAACCAGTACTGAAGCAGAGACTAAAGATGAGATAACTGATAAAGCAAGTTCCCTGAGGAGACAGGAAGCAGTGGGATCAAGGGCACAAAATAGAGAGATTAACCTTGTCCAAAAGAAGGGCTACTTCATCCTCTGAGTCTGGCATGAAAGGACAGATGACAGGTAAAGAAACAGAGTTTTTGAGGTAGTGGAAAATTGGAAATGAGGAAGCTCGTGATCAATGACTTTCTCCACAACGTAGGAGGTGAGACAGTGTACAACAGGAGAAAGGGGTGGAGATGGTTTTGGAGTACACCTGGAGAGACAGAAGAAGGTTCAAAATAGCCTCCATTAGGAAGGTGATAGAAGATCATTCAAAAACAAATTGAGTTAACTGTCATTCAGCACTGAGGTAATACTGATGAGATAACCTGCCCAAGGTCACACAAGGGCAGTACAAAGCTTCTGCCTCCCAGTTCTTGGTTCTTTCCACTGTGATCTGCTTCACTTTAACCCAACACTCAGCTCCTCAGAGTCATGAAAATGCCCTCTGCAAACATGATTTCATTAAGTGATTCCTCAACCAGGCTCATCCAGTGGCCAGTTCCTTTTCTTCTCTTCTTACCTGCTGTTCATGCAGCAGAAACCTCTGGAAGTCATGCAGGTGAACGGCAGATGCATCTGGCCGGTCTGTATTTCTACCAGCAGAGAAAAACAAAAGACACATGATGTTTAGAGATAAACCCCTTCCCACAGAGGTCAGTAACAATAAATGCCATCAAGCAGGGACTTAAGATCTTGGTGAGGAAACTATTCAAGCAGAAGCCTGAAAGTTAACGTTACTGCCCAGGGAGCAGGTGGCTTAGTGGGACTATTCTTTCTGCATTTCAAAAGTAGAAACCCTCCATTTGCCAAAAGGGAAAACTATTATTCAGACCAATAGGTTATAACCCAATCTCATCCCTGGGTGTGAATGCATGTAACTGCCAATTAAATGAAGGAGGATATCTCTTGGGTGCAGATTTCACAGAAACAAGGCTGCCTCAACACCATTTATACAACAAAAATCTGACATTATGGAATGAATATTCTGAGAGAATGGGAGATTTCGCAAGAAACCATTTTCCTTAAGATTTGCATGGGAGAGGGGAGAGTCTTTTCTGTTTGAATACTGAGGGAAGATAGAATTTGCCAATGCCTCCCTGTATTTCCCCTTTATTAACAAATTAGAACAAATAAAAACGCAGTTGGGGGTGCTGTGGATAGAATGGTGGGCTTGGAGTCAAGAAGACCAGAGTTCTAATTTGACCTCAGACACTTAATCTCTTCAAAGTCACTTAACCTCTGCCTACCTTGGCTTCCTTAACTCTAAAACAGGAATAATAATAACACCTACCTCTCAGGGTTGTTGTGAGGTTCAAGTGAAATATTATTTGTAAAGCATTTAGCACAATGCCTTGCACGGAGGAGGCACTTAAATTCTTATTTCCTTCCTTCTAATTAAAGTATTTAATTACCCAAAGGAATTACTTTTCATCAGTTAATGTTGTTACCAATTATTTTGATTTGGTAAACCTGGCAGCTTCATTACAATGGAATGGTATAAAAACAGATTTTGTAAGTTAGAGTTTTTAACTTAAAAATGCTGGAGACATCCACTCCAGAACATACCTACCAGTTCCAAATGGTTAGGAGTTTCCTTGAGCATGAACTTAGAAACATTCCAATTTCCATAGAAAAGTTGTGTCTATTCTCACCAATAACACAATCAGTCCCTCTGCTGAAGAGAAAGGGCCAGCAGCAGCTTTCTATCATTACATAAATGGCCACAGCTCACAGTGGGGCCTTTACCTTCCTCGAAGTGAGGGCATTCCAATGGAGGGAGGTGAGCCTCTGGAGGTTAGAGGTGAAGGGGGAAATAGCATACCCAGCACAGCTGTAAACCTGACAGACCTGACCAAAGGTTAGAGAGAAGCCTCACCCCAGAATAAACACAGACGAATCTTTTTTGAACTCATCAAGAATCTGAAAAATAAGAGAAAGAAGAGGAAAAAGTAAGGGCTGCATTAAAAAGTGAGTGCTAGTCAATGAGTATCAATACTTTTATTGATGTCTAAATATTTTAACTGGCTAATTTCTAACTTTAAAACTGAAGAGAAAATAAACTTCTGGCAATTGTCCTTCCTGTCTTTTCACAACCTAATGGCATATAGTTATGAAATGTTAGACTAACTCTAGCTCCACCAAGGACCAAGGACCACCAAAATCCAGCTAGTCCTGGTGGAATCGAATCAAACCAACAAACACTGAGTGCCTACAGTGTGCTTTTAACAGCTCCCTCTCCAAGTCCCATTCCTACCCACCCACCTCCCAGCTTCCCCAGAATTAATGGGAGACCTAGTGTTTGGTGTTTCTTGGGAGAAACAACGGAAGTGATATCTACCATTCTCCTAGATAAGTAAATGAATAATTCTTGTCAGAAACAAAGGTATGAACAAATAAAATGCAAAAGAACAGATAACTGGTCAATTCAGTTGCCTTCCTCCTGCCCCTGCCCAGGCCAAGGATCTGGGGTCAGAACAGAAGAATAAAACAATGCTCTAAAAAGAAAGCAATCAAAACAGTTTGATTTAGAGCTTGATTTATTAAGAAAATACAGAGCTTTGACTCCCATAAGCATGTTCTACATACAAGCTAATGACCATTCTTCAGAAAGGATGTATCTAATTTAAGGTCAAAATCCATACAGTAATGCTAAAACTAAACTGTGGAGTATTCTTTTAAATGAGCCAAGCTCAGTCAGTCAATAAACATTTATTAAGTACCTACTATTGCTGGGTATTGTGCTAAGCAGTGGGAACACAAAAAAAAAAAATGCAAAAGGTAGCCCCTGCCTTCAAGAAACTCACAATCTAACCGGGAGACAACAGGCAAATAAATATGTATGAACAAGCTAGATACAGAACATATAGGAAATAATTAAATGAGGGAAAGTACCCGAATTAAGAGGGGTTGGAAAACGTTTCCTACAGAAGATGCGATTTTAGTTGGAACTAGAAGGAGTCCAAGAAAGCTAAAAGGTAAAGATGAAGAGGGACGGTATTCAAGATATAAGGAACACTCAGAAATAGAGTATCTTGTAGTGCCTTGTTCGAGGAACAGCCAGGAGGCCAGTGTCAACTGGATCAAGACTGGAAAGGGGGGGTGGGGGGAAAAGAGGCCTAGGTTATGAAGGGCTTTGGATAGCAAACAGAGGATTTTACATTTGATCCTGCCTGTGATAGGAAGAGGGTAGAATTTTCTGATTAGGAGAATAACATAGTAGGACTTGCATTTCAAGGAAATCACTTTGGTGGCTGCATGGAGAACGGGTAAGAGTGAGGAGAGACTCGAGGCAAGAAGACCTATCAGAAGGCTATTATGATAGTTGAAGTGGGAGGGCCTGAACTAGGGTGGTGGCAGTATCGGGAGAGAAGGGGGTATGTTTGCAAAATGTTGCAAAGGTAAAATCAACAGGCCTTGCCAACAGATTGTATATGGGAGGATAGGGGAAAGGGGGGAAGAGAGAGGAGAGAGAGTAATTAAGGAGGACACCTGGGTTATGAGCTTGGGAAATGGGAGAATGGTAGTGCTGTTTTTTGTTGGTTTTTTCTATCCCAAGAACTTACTAGCAGAGTGCTTGGCACATGTTTTGTTCAGTCATTTTCAGTTGTGTCTAAATCCTTGTGACCCTATTTGGGATTTTTTTGTCAAAAACACTGGAGTGTTTTGCCATTTCCTTCTCCAGCTCATTTTACAGATGAGGAAACTGAAGCAAACAGGGTTAAGTGACTTGCCCAGGGTCACACAGCTACTAAGTGTCTACGGACAAATTTGAACTCAGGATAATGAGTCTTCCTGACTCCAGGCCCAGTACTCTCCACTGTGCCACCTAGCTGCCCCCCAGCACACAGTAGGTATTTAATAAATGTTTATTGAATGAATGCCTTCAACAGTAATAAGGAAGTCTGGAGGGGAGGAGGATTTAGAGTGAAAGATAATGAGTTCAGTTTGGGACATTTTGAGTTTAAGATGTCTATAGGGCATCTATTTAGGGATATCGAATAAGCAACTGGAAATGCAAGGCTGTAGATCTGCAAACAGAAAGGTTGGAGCAGGACAGGGAGATGTGAGAATCATAAGCATAGACTTGACAACTGAATCCCAGGCAGCTGATGAGATCACCAAGTGAAGTAGTATAAAGGAAGAAGAGAAGACAGCTCAGGACAGAGCCCGGGGGGATACCCTCAGTTAGTGAGCACAACCTAGATGAGGATCTAGCAAAGGAGACTGAAAAAACAGGGTGAGGCAGGCAGGAGAAGAATCAGGAGATGGTGGCATCCCCAAAACCTAGAGAGAAGAGATTATCAAGAAGAGGATGATCAGCAGTACCAAAGGCTACAGAAAGGTCAAGAATAATGAGAAAACGAGAAAAGGCCACTGGACTTGGCAATTAAGAGATCATTGGTAACTCTGGAGACAGCTGTTTCAGTTTAATGATAAGGTCAGAGGTCATAAGAGGAGATAAAATGGAGACACCTAGTGTAGGTGACCTCTTCAAGGAGTTTAGTCATAAAGGGCAGAAGATATAGGAGGACATTTAGCGGAGATGGAAGGATCCAGTGAAGATTTTTCTGAATAGTGGAGACCTCAGCACCTTTTGTAGGCAGTAGGGAATGAGTAGTGAGTGAGAAATTAAAGATAAATGATAGAGTCAGGATGACAGAGGAGACAATTTATTGGAGGAGATAGGATGGAATGGGATCACCTGAACAGGTAGAGCAGTTAGTCTTGAGAAGGAGGAAGGCTACTTCATAATGTGAGACGGGTGAAGGAGGAGAAAGTAGCAAGGGCAGCATGAGGCCTGGTCAAAAGGCCAAGGCTTTAATTCCAGCTCCACTACTATCCCTTCCCAACCCCAGGCTTCCATTTTCTTCTCTTTTCCCAGATCTAGAGCTCAATGACTGACATATAGAAAAAAAAATTGAGCCAATATATTACACTGTTCACGGCTCTGGCTTATTTCTAAGTTTGCTTAAAGAGAACAGTATGAAGGGAGAAGCAAAGCATAAATGCCTAAAAAATTCTTAGGACAATGGCAGCCGAGACACTGCCGTCTCACAAATGCAACTATGTCATACCACAGGAAATACAGAAAAACACACCAGTGATGACAGAGGCAGCATGCTACAGCAGAAAATGCATTAGCCTTAGAGTACAAAGACCTGGATTTATATGCCAGCTCTATTTCCTATGCAACCTTGAACAAGTCATTCACCCTCTGTGGGCCTCAGCTTTCCAATCTGTAAAATAAAAAGGTTGGCCTTGATAACCTCTAAAGTCTCCTGTAGCTCTAAATCTACTATCCTATAATTATTAATAATAATGATGATGATAATAATAGTAGCTCCCATTTCCATAACACTTCACCATTTGCATGCTCTTCCTTACCAGAGTCCTATGAAGTAAAAAAATGTATTATTATTACTATTATTACTGTTATTACCATTTTACAGATAAGGAAACTGAGGCCCAGAGAAGCAAAGTAACTTGCTCAAAGTTACATAGGCTAATGAGCAGCACAGCTGGGCTACAAACCAAGTCTTCTCACTCCAAACCCAGTAATATTCTCACTATATCATAACTTCCTCTCCCAATGGTTAAGTTGTACTCTAGAAGTAAGTTAGACCCAGCTGGAAGCTCTCACAAATATTTTGGGGGGAGATCTCAGCCACTGAACTGAAAACTACTCTCCACCTCACTCTAGAAGGCACAAGCAAAGAATAACCTTCTTCTTCAATAAACACATTAGAATAGACTCTCTATTTTAATTTGGGCACTAGGCCTTCAAAGGTACTAGGGGAATCCTTCAAGGATTAATGAAGCTTCCAGATGAGAGTAAGTTATAAAAAGAATAGCAGAAACCCTGTGAGCATCTGCTTCTGGGACTGTAGGGAAGGGATAGGCCTGAATCACACTACAATGAAAGCTCATTAATTCACAGCCTACTTAAATAAACATTTACAACACCAAAGCCTTCTTTCAAGATTTTCCAGGTCTAAGTAAAAGGGATCTAGTCTAAAATATCATCAAACTTGATATTTAAGGCTCAAAGAATTAGATTCCTTCCAGATTTCTAAAACTTGCAGGGCTAGCAATTAATTCTTATAGTATGTTAGTTATTTTTCCCCAATGCCTGCGATACAGTATTGTGCAATGCAGGCTGATTGCAAATTGCAATGTTTTTCATGTCCTTGCCTCTAGTTACTTACAAGTACCCACTTAGATCTTACTTTAGATCTTGTTTGTAAGTAATCAAACATTTCTTTAAAAAGCCCTCTTCTATCAGGTTTTTCATTAAGTCACTGTAACCTTTCTCCCAGTCCTCTGAAATAAGGGTTTTACTGTTATGTTCTATTATAGAAATACCTCCAAGAAATTCAGATGTAGATTCCCGAATCACACTGCTGTGACCTGCTCAGTCAAGACAGAGGATGTGAGGCAGGGCCAGTACTACCTAGCCAAACCTGTCTCTCTCTCTTGGTTTCTTCAAAATTCAGCTGAAGCTCAGCATCTCTCCTCGACACATTCATACACACTTTAAATCAATGTGTGTTAGGGTTTATGCTTCTGATCCATTCAAGTGTGAGGCTCTAACAAAAAAAGTCAAGGCTGGCCCAGATGTTTCAGGATAGCTCCCATCCTTACCCTCCACCAAAAGTTGAAGTGGACAGGTCCCAGAGCCAACAAAGCTCTTGGTTACCCTTTCCTAGCCTGCTAGTAACAACACAGGAAGAGGGATAGGCATGATGAGGCTGGGACACACAAACACAGAAGTTAGAGATTTAAAAGGAAGGAAAGATGAAACTGTCAGCTAAATTTTGGTGTTTGAATTATGTTAAGACTTTAATTACCTATGTGTTTCCTTCCACTACATCTCACTAAAGAAACCATACTGGAGAACCTCCATGGTTATAATTACTTAGACCTGGACTAGGCTGCCCTGATCAGCATATTAGGAAAGAGGACGGCAACTGGGATGGTGAAGCAAAGGACCCTGAGACCATGCTATATGGAGATCAACTGAAAGAATTAGGGCTGCTTAAACTAGAGAAGACATGTCTGGGACTAGAACACAATTAACACCATGGTATTCAAGTATTTGAAAAGCTGACTCCCCTCAGTCTGAGGCATTAGACTTGTTTTGCTTAGCCCCAGAGGGCCAATGAGTGGAGGACAAAGAGTAGTTTAACCACTAGAACTATGCATCAGTAGAATGGGCTGTAGTGGATATAGAATAATCTTATATCTATATACTTATTTGTGTCTAATGGTAGCCATCTTGGGGCAGAGGGAGCAGGGAAGAAAAAAGAAGAAAAAAAATTCACGATAATTTTGTTGTATATTTGAAATGAATACTAAGTTGTACATGATAGATTTGCAGTTTCATTTGTACTATGTCACGGAAATGCTTTTTTTATTCCATAAATTAAAAATAAAATTCAAAAAATAATAAAATAAAATTATGTTTTAAAAAAACAAGAAAAAAAGAAAGTAGTGAGTAGCCTCTCACTGCAGGTCTTCAACCAAAGACTTGATGATCACTTGGTATGATGCTGTAGGGCAAAGATGCCCCATTGCTGCCCAAAATACTCCAGTATATGACCTAAACCAGATTAAAATGTAACTGAGAAATATTTAACAAAATAAATAAGAATATTATAAAATGTAGATAGTGACAATATGCAGTTTTTTTATTCAGCTTGCAGAAATCCTGAGGTACAGTTTAGTGGCCCCATTTCTATTTGAGTTTGACACCACTGTAGTAGGGCAAACTCCAGTTCAGGTCCATGTTGGACTAAATCATCTCTGAGGTTATCCTTCCAATTCTATGATTCTTAAGTTTGCCTTTACTCTATCCTTAAAGAAAAAAAAAGAAAGAGGAACATCTTAAAGTAACTAAATCTATCAACAGATAGGAAAAGGCTGTTTACCTACTTAAGAGAACCCAAGTGTCCCTTTCCAAACAAAAGATGTGAACAGAAAGCAGCTTCACCTAAGAGGCTGATTTGATGTTTTACAATGATAAACCATCCTCATTTTTTCATTAACCAGGACCTCAGCCACACATGGATAACTCTCCAACTTATCCTGTATATATCTTGTTTATACATAGTTTTACATAATTGTTTAAGAACCTTAAAAGTCCAGGTGATATATAGCAGTTCTTAACCTGAATTCCACAAAATTCATATGTATGTATATTTATATGTATATATGTACTTATAATATTTATAACTGAATTCCAACATATTGGCTTCTTTTGTAATCCTATGGATTTTATTTTCTACACTTAAAAAAAATTTATTCTGAGAAGGGGTCCATAGGCTTTACCAAACTGACTGCCAAAGGGCACAAAAAGAGCCTCCACTCTATCCATACCTTCTATTGTGCTCTCTAGAATGCTTGTTCCATACATAACAAACCAGCTTTCATGTTAAATCTTTTCCTTTCATCTTCTGACTCTCACTGAGACTTGGCTTCCTCCAGATGACCCAGTCTCTCTGGCCTCCCTTTCCAGCACTATCTGTATTCTCATTATCCCTCAACTCACTGGTGGGGGAGTCAGAATACTCCTTGCTCCTCATTATTTCTAAGCCCACCGTCTACCACCATATTTAGTGGCTTTTCCTCCTCTGAGGTTCATTTGCTCCATATCTACCACCCAATCAAAATTCTTGGAGTTGCTGTCTTCTGACCTCCAGGATATTCCCTTTCTTTCCTCAATGAGTTCAGTGCCTGGTCCACAGTCTTTCTCTCCTCCCTAACTCCTGCCCTCACATTAGGAGACTTCGACATACGTCTTGATACTCCTTCAAATACCCTTAATTTCCAGTTCCTCAGTTTATTCATTTTCATGACCTACTGCTCTACCTCACCTCTGCTACACATAGAGATGGTAATATGACCTTGCCTTAATCTTGCCATCATCCACAAATGCACATGCATGAACTCTGAAATTCCTGCATCGGATCACAAATTATATACTCCACCTCTCCCTCTGCCTCATAACCCCATACCCTCTAGTTCATCCTCACTATGACCTCTAATTCCTCAACCCCAGACCATCCCCCCTACACCAGCTATACTCTCCTCCTTGCCCCATTATTACCCCTTGGTGAGCCAGTTCAACTCTACAATGTCCTCTTCTCTTGAATCCCGCACCCCTTACACCATTGCTGATTTCACCCTGCTAAGCCTCAGCCTGTATCACTGCCACTATCCATTCTCTTAGCTTCTTCATTTGCTGCCTAATGAAACTGAAGAAAATCATGACACTGTCCTGAATGGATCCACTACAGACTCAATCCTGGGAAGAGAAGTGATTTGGCCCTGGTCACACAGAGCCCTTATATGACCAAGGTAGGACTGACTCCAAAGCAAGCCGTTTAACCACTAAGCCAAGCAGCCTCTCCTGTAAACAAATGTCTAGCTGTATATTTGTCTACACAACACATATCACGTGTGCACACACATACATCCACATAAACTTTCTTAAACAGAACCAACTATTTATATAAATAGCTTCCATCAGCCTTTTACTAAGTGACAGGCCTGCACCTCACATTACTGACTAGCAACCATACTGATACCCTATCATGAGTCTGGGGAAATAAAGTTTCACAGAGTGCATAATGAGCCTCAGGTCACCTGACCCTCTTTGTTTAGCCCCTCTCTGCAGCATCTTGCACAGACCAACCCTGTCCCAACTCAGCATTCCTTCCTTCATGCCTTCAAACAAGAATGATGAAGAAAAAAAAAACGAACATATAATTTAAAATGAGAATTAAGGGAAAACATAATATGATCATTCAGATAATGGCTGCTCTTACTGATTTCTGTTGCTCAAACATCATCTTTTTGTAGAATAAGTGGAACTGTTCAAAGCTGAGTTCATCCTTGTAGGCACCTATTTCCTGTGAAAGAAAAACAGTGGAAGCCATCAGTCCAGATCCCAACTCAAACACAATTCCCCTGATCCCTGACAGCAAAGTTTAGCTCACAGTGTTGTCAGTGACTATATTCACACTAACCAGACTGCCTGTGCTCAACTTGCCCCTAGCATTAATGAGCAGGAGAGAAGCTGCCCACTGCTCTTAGGGGAGGAATTTGGGGAGGGGCTATACTCATCACTTGGCCTCTCCAAGGCCCAGAGCTTAGAAGGCTGCAGAAATTAGCTATGAGGACGTACACCTCTCCTGCCTGAGAGAGGAAACTGTACCTGGAGTCTTTCAATCAACTAAAATTTAATTCAATTACCATGTATTAATTAAACATCTACTACACAGCAGGCACTATGGATGTAAAGACAAATGAAACAGTCCCTACCCACAATGAGCTTACATTCTACTAGGGTAAGGAGGCAACACAAGCACTGATAAGTAAATGTTAAATATATTTAAAATAAATACAAAATAATTTTGATGAAAGGAGGAGAATGAAAATTAGGAAGGGCCTCTTATAGGAAGCAGCATTTGAGACAGCCCTCAAAAGGAGATAGGGAAGAGGGCAGCATTCTAGGCAGAGGACACATGACAAAATCATGGACATGGGCAATAGAATATCATACATGTATAGGAAACAACAGGAGGCCAGTTTGCTGGCCAGTAGAGTGTTTGACATGAGAATGAGTATTGTGTAATCACCTGGAAAGAGAGGCTAGAGCCATATTATGCAAGGTTTTCAATGCCAGAAAGAGAGAAGTTTCTATTTTATCCTGTCAGGTATAGGGAGCCATTGAAGCTTCCTGAGAACAGGACTGATATGGGCAGATCTGTGCTTTAGGAATATCAATTAGGCCACTGAGTAAAGGATGGACTTGAGGGAAGAGAGAGTGGGTGCCGAGAGACCAGTTAGGAGGCTACTAGATTGCTCTTAACGTGTGACAGAACCTCCATGGCTGAGCTCATGTTGCTAAAAATAAAGGCCCATTGAGATCAGCCCTAATGCTGGCACTCTGAAGAACTGGATGAGAGCACTCAGTCTCACTGGCTGCATGGCTCTCATGGCTGCACAGGTATAGTAATGCTTTCATCACTATTTCATTGCTTTTCAAAAGAATGTTTTTGCAAAGACTAAAGCAAATCAGGTCCAGAATGCTGACCAGAATAGCTAGGAAAGGGGGGAAATAGGCCCTGTTTGAGAAGTCCAGGGCAAAACAGCCCAGGGACCACTGTGTCCTCAAAGCGAATTACTCAACTCTGAAGTTTCTCTGAGGCACTGCAGGGCAGAGACAGATAATAAATCAAGAACTAAAGAGGCCTTCTAGTTTGCTTTACAAACATTTTGAGTGTGAGTGCTGAACCAAGGCCTCTGGAAGCAGGAGTGGGAAGGTCACCCCAGGCAAAGCATTCACCTCAAGGTCAGCATATTGGGAGGGCAGCTCCATCACTTACCAGGAATTTGTCTTTCAGGAACTTGGCACTGCTAACTTTGAAGTTTACTAAGGGAAGAATGGTCTTCAGTTCTCTAAAGCTGATACTGAAAAGAAACAGAGTAAAAGTACCTTTGTAAGTTTCCCAGTCTCCATCTCCACGAGACAGTATTTCACTACTGACACTAACAGCCAAGTTAGGTCTTTATATAACCACTGTGTTTGAGCCTTCTCCATGAGAAAAAACTCAGTCAATAAACTTACACCAAGTACCTACCATGTGCTGGGCATGGTAAGGGATGCAAGAGGACACAGGGCAAGGTCCCTGCCCTCAGGATTGAATGAGATAATATTTGCAAAGTGCTTAGCATAGTGCCTAGCATATAGTAGGCACTATATAAATGCAGGCTATCATTATTATTATTATTATTATTATTATTATTATTATTATCATCATATTCAAGTTTCCACTACCCAAAAAAAATCTTTCCTTTAATCCTGCATATCTTCAAGCTATCACCCTAAATCTCTCCTTCCCCTCATGTATAAACTGCTAGAAAGAACAGATTACACTCACTTCTTCAACTTCCTCCCCATACACTCATTTTAGCTAGTGAGCCCACCACTCTGTGGAGAACCACTGTCTCCATGGTGACCAATGATCTCTTCATTGTCAAAGTCAATCCCCTTTTTCCAGACCTATTCTTCTGGGATTTGTCAGTAGCATAATATTATTGACTCCAACTCCTTCTTGATCATCTTTTACTTCCCCCAAATTTCAAGGCATTACATGTTTCTCCTACCTGGTTGCTATTTCTCCATCTCCTTTGAGGGTTCATCATCTTTTTCATGATCCTTATATGTGGGAGCTCCCAAAACTCTCACCTGGACCTTGTTTCTTGATGTACTCTTTCCCTTGGTGATCTAATTTTGCCCCAGGGATTCAAATATCAACTAAATGCAATTGTCTCTAGCCAGAATCTCTCCCTTGAGCTCCTGATCTACATCTCTGACCATCTACAGGACTTCATGTGTCATATTAGCCCCTCAAGGAGTAGTGGCATTAGTAAATACTTCTGAGGAGGGACGGGTCAAAAGAAAGAATAGAATAAATGGAAGGGCAGGATAGGATTAAGGGAAATAAGAGTTAGTTTTTCACAACATGTCTACTATGGAAGTGTTTTGCATAACTGCACATGTACAACCTATATTGAGTTGCTTGCCTTTTCAATGAGAGTGGGTGGGGAGGGAGGAAGGGAGAAAATTTGAAACCTAAAGTTTTAAAAACATATGTTTAAAAAAATGTTTTCACATGCTACTGGGAAATAAGAAATATAGGAAATGGGGTACAGAAGTCTATCCTGCCCTACGGGAAAATAGAAGGGGAGAGGGATAAGAGAAGGGGGGAGAGGTAGAAGAGAGGACAGACTAGGGGAAGGGATATTCAGAATGCATGCCATCTTGGGGTAGGGGGAGGGGTGAGATGGGGTGAAAATTTGGAACTTAAAATCTTGTGGAAATAAATATTGAAAACTAAAAATAAATAAATTTATGTTTGAAAAAGGAAAAAAAAAAGGAGTAGTGGCATTGTCATTTCTTATGGTAAATACTGTTCCTTCACATTCATATACCATAGTATGTTCAGCCACTCCCCAAATGATGTAAAATTGCTTTGTTTCCAATTTTGTCACCACTAAGAACACGGCTATGAATATAACCCATTTATCATTGACTTCTTGAAGTGAGTATATGCCCAGTAGTAGCACTGCTCTACCATTTGCTGGGTGTAAACAAAGCAAAAAAAACAAAACAAAACAAAAGAACAATACATACAATGATCACAATGGGATATATGAAGATTACAATAAAAACAGCTAAGCTCTGATTAACTGCAATGAAAAACCTTGGTCCCATTGAACAAATGACAAAACACATGTCCCTCCTCTTCACAGAAAGGTGAGGTACTAAAGGTGCAAAATGCAGCATACATTGCTGGCCTTAGTTTCTTTATCAGTCAGCAAGCATTTAGAAAATGCCTACTACATGTCAAGCATTTACTTAAGTACTGGAGATACAAAGAAAGGCAAAAACAGTCCCTGATCTCAAGGAGCTCACAGTCAAGTGGTACTCTGATGGTTGATGGCAGCATCCATACGACAAACTGTTGGCTTTCCTTTCTGAATTATGTGCTGGCATGAAAGATGAGCTGGTAGAAATGAGGGAGGGAGTGCAAAAAGGCAGTTTTAACATCAACCCAGGAGACATTAGACAGATTATGACAAAACTACTACATTTAATGACCAAGAAGGAGGCATTACCATGTCATTCTTATCTCCCTAAGTCATGGCAACCAGGACTGGAGTGCCCCTAAATTGTGTGAAGCAAACCTGCTGTGATTTAGGTTTGAATTAAATTTGGATCGAAGACCTGCATTCTGTAAAACTTACCCTCTTCAATATCTCCAATGTTCTGTGATCCCTAACCCCATAAGACAAGCTAAGTTAGGTCTCTACATCGCCACTGTGTTTGAGCCTTCTCCCTGAGGGAAAAATCGATCCATCAACTTTCACCAAATACCTACCACACAGTGGGCATGGTAAGGGATGCACAAAGACACAAAGCCTGGCCCCTGTTTCCAGGATCAAATGGGATCATATGTGTAAAGCGTATAGCATAGTGCCCCATTAGTCACTGTCAACAGGATATAGGAAAGAAAGTAGGCAAAGGGAAGGTTGGGAACCTATACGTAGCCTATCCAGTTAAATTCCTTCTGAAAAGCTCCAACCTTGTATGGATGAAACTGCCAAGGAAAGCAGTTTTATTAATACCCATAAGAATAAGTCGAGGATGAGATGGCTCTAGCAGCTAGTATAGTGATGGAGAGCAGAAAGGCAGAGAGAACTCATCTGGGTTACAATGAGACAAGGGGGAAAGACCCAGCAGGCACAGTTTGGGTCATTACAGAGCACAAGAAGGCAATAGGGGTAGCTACACCTGAAGCTGGAGGAGTGACCTGGGCCCCAAATGCAAGAATACTGTGCTACTATAGAAGACACAGAAAGAGTTACTGGGAAATACCAGCAAGGACTGGAGGCAGGAGATGGAGAGATGAAGAGAATCGTCCATGTATTTGAAGGGCTATTACACAAAAGTGGGATTTGACTCATTCTTCTTGGCCTTAAGGAGGGGAACTAAAAGCTATGAGTAGGCATTACAGAGGCAGATATTGGGAAAAACATAGGGATTAAAAATGTGCAAAAACAGAATTCGGCTCCTTAGATAGAATAGTGACTTCTGGTTCACCAAAGGTTATTAAGCAAAGTTAGATAACCACTTATCAGAGATACCTTATGAGGGTTCTTGTGCAGTCACAAGACTAGATAGCCCCAAAGGTTTCTTCCAACTCCGAGATTCTGTGGTTATAAGATGGTGGGTCCAGAACATACCCAAAGTGCTTCATTCAGTTCTGGGTACCATATTTGGAGGTGGAGGGGATTATCAAAAATTGGAAATCATTTCCAGAGAAGGTAACTATAAAAACAGAGCAACTAAAAACAATGTCACACAAAGAATGGTTGAAGTAACTAGAACCATTTGGCCAGAAAAAGGTGAAAGGATGGAGAATAGTTAGGAGGCAAGGGATAGGGACAGAACACATTTGGGTTGGTTCTGAAGCCCTGGAATTGATCAGGTCCCTCACCTCACAGATAAGCACATCCCACTAACTCAGTCCAGGGCATCTGCTGAAAATAAGGCATATTCCTACCTACAAGGCAGTAGTCACAGCCCTATTCCTCAGAGTTTCTATATATTCACCCTATATTATTTTAGCTGCAATTATCTTTACAAAAAATGGCAGAGCTAGGTGGCACAGTGGATAGAGTGCCAGGCCTGAAGTCAGGAAGACTCAACCTCCTAAGTTCAGATCTGGCCTCAGACACTTACTAGCTGTGTGACCCTGGTCAAGTCACTTAACCCTGTTTGCCTCAGTTTCCTCATCTGTAAAATGAATTGGAGTAGGACACGACTAAAAACAATTGAATAACATTCTTTACAAAAAACAAGTTCCCTCCACAACTGCCTCTTCCCTTGTTGAGCAAGGGGCTGTGGGATGATGGGCACACTAATTAATGCAATACAGTTAGAGCTGTGAATTGGTTCAACTATCCTGGATATCATGGTTCATCTTTAGAATAAAATAAATTCCCTGAAGTTTTGGGACATCTGACTTTGTTTTTGTATATCCAAGGGACCAGAGCAGGCATACAATAAATGTTGGTTGATTAATAGATTCACATCCCATTTAGCTGAACACCTTAGCTATCTGTCCTGTTAGCTGGTTTTTCTTGACTCTTTTTCTTTGTTATAAGGGAGGGTTTGCTGTGGAGGGACATTAAGGAAATATTAAAAAATTTAAATTTAAAAAAAATTTAATGACGGGGTTTTTTTTGTTTAAAGGCACCAATAAAACTTTTTAAAAAGAAAGAAAAAAAGTACCTTAAGAGGAGGGAGTGTCTTACCTAGAAAGCACAAGTTTGCTCTACCTTAACGAAATCAATTTGGGGTCTTATCTAGGGCTGTGCCCATCTATCCTCCAAACCATCCAGGGCCAGTAAGCTGAACAGGATGAGGACATAAAAGTGCTTGGTCCAAAAGCAAGGACAGAGTTGCAAAAATAAAACAGATGTTTATATGAAGCATTAATATGAGAAAGGAAGTTACAAAAAGGTGTCAAACACAAACAGGGACCACACTATGGCCCACAACACTTCTGAATGCTTCCTCAGCTGGATTAAAATATAATTGGGAAAATATTTGACAAAATGAATAAAAATTCAATAAAACACAAATAACAGTGCATTTAAAAATTAAGTCAGCATGTAGCTTCAGGAATCTTTGTGTATGTCTTGGTATACCCCATTACTATGAGTTTCTATGCTCTAGAGAGCAGGACTAGAATCAATAGATAAAAATTACAGGAAGGCAGATTTCTGCTCCACAGAAAGAAAAACCTTACTTTATGAAAAAGTGAATACTTCATTGTCAGTGGCATCTACACTGAACTGGATGATCACTTCTCAGGGATGCTACTGGAGAGAACCTCCAAGGAATAAGTGGCTAAATGAAATGTCCTCTGAGCTCCCCCTTCTATGAAATCTGGCTCTGAGGTCTTATAACTCTAGGTAGAAAGCCTACATGAAAGCCTGGAAAAAGCCTAGGCAGTGAGGATCACAGCATCCTAGGATTTAAAACAGAGAGAGACCCTAAAAAGCATCTAATCCAACCTCCTCATTTTCCAGTAAACTAAGGCCCAAACATGTGAAGAGTCCAAGCTCATCACAGAAGTAGTAAATAACAGAACCAAGATTCAAACTCAGGTCCTCTCACTCCAAATTTAGTGCCCTCTTTACTATACACCAAAGGTAGGCCTAGGACAGGCATAGTTAGAACCTTAATGATTACTCTTAGTCTCAGAGATGAGATTCCTTTTGGTAGGGAGTAAGAGATTACAGGTACAGGTAGAATGCTACATATACTATCTGTTTTATTTAACAATAAAAGAGGGCTCATGTGAGGGGGCTACATATTCAGAAATACTATAATGGGAAAACAAAAGGTATTGATAAAGATTAACTTTTTTTCAAAGAACCTTAAGCTTAAATTAGTCTGAAAATTAAACACATCCAGTGCTCTGTCTCCCTCTTTATAAATAACTTCTACCCCAATATGGCATACAGATCTAGAGCCAGAAGGGACCTCAGAGATTATATAATAATTATGCTAATAAATAGTTTTTATATAGTGCTTTAATAATAGTTTTAATACAAAGCACTTTACAAATATTGTCTCATCTGACCCTCACAACAATAGGAGGTGGGTGCTATAATTTTCCCGTTTGCAGATGAAAAAACTGAGGCAGATAGGGTAAATGCCTTGCCTAGGGTCACATAGCTAGCATCTGAAGCCTGATTCAAACTCAGCTCTTCCTGACTCCAGGTCCATCGCTCTAAGTACGCCACCTAGTCTAAACCATACATTGTTACACTTGAGGAAACTGAGGCGTAGGGAAGTGACATGACTTGCTCAGGGTCAAACAGGTAGAAGTATCTCCACTGTACCATAGTAAGATTCCTTAAAAAAAAAATTCCTTAACATCCTGGTCACCCTTCTCTGAATGTTCTCCAGCTGGTCAATAGCCTTTTTAGAGTTGTTGCCCAGAGTCTGACAGGACAGAGCAGCCCCACAATCTCCTTCATTCTAGATTCTGTGCCTTTCCTAATGCAGCCTGAGACAGCACTGGCTGCCAGGCTGCTTCACCCTTCTGGCATATATACTGAGCTTGGGAGCAAATGGGAGGTTGGGGGGAGGGGGTTACCAGACAGGCACATCTGTCCAGAGCCCCAGCGTTCCTCCAAATATCACATGAAAGAGCCACTACTCACATCTGCTCCTACCACACACCAAGGAGAAAAAGAGGACACAGTGTCTTTTGCCTCTATTCTTCAGACAATGCGGATTTTTTTTCCCTTGTCAGAAGGAATGTTTTGATTCCAATCACATTTTACCTACTAGTGTTCAGCTTTGTAAAAATTATAATTATTTTTCTCCTTGACTCATTATTGCATATCCGTTCATTCTTTTCTCTCCACTTCTGACAACATGACCCATTTTAGCTATGGAATGAAAATATGTAACTTCAGCTAGAGGGGGTCATTTGAGTTGGCCTTTCTTTCTGGCTGTCTGGGAAGCAACCAAGTTTAAGGCACTAGTGTTTTACCATCAAAGATACCTGCAGACTTTGAAATAAAGTGTAAATCTTTTAAAACTCGAATAGCTAACATATTTCCCACAAGGGTACCTAACATCAGGTCAATCTGTAAGGAGGTGGGGAGGGAAGTGATCTGGGTAACAAAACACTGGAACCCAATTCAGTTTGTCTTCCTTCTTCAAGAAATCATTCATGTCACTACAGACAGGAATTGGAAGGAAATCATAAAATTCTAGCATCACATAAAGATTATAGCTTTAAAATTTTCAAAACACCTTAAATACATATATTTTATCTCATTTGATCCTCAAAACTCATGTGAGATGGATGGTATTAATTACCCCATAGTATAGATGAAGATACTGAGGCTAAGAGTGAGTGACTTACCCAAGGTCACATAACTAATAAGTGCCTGAGATGCTCTTGAAACCCAGGTTCCCCTAACTCTAGTCCAATGGTCCATTGATGACCTCCTGCTGCCTCATTAACCAATAAGACATCTGCCCTCCTCCTGGCGCCCTATTCCTCTACTTTCCATTGGGATTCCTTACTACACTCCGCCTGAGAACAGCTGCAAGGCATGCAGCAGCTGCTCCCAAGCCCCTTTGTTTCTCCCACTTTAGGGTGGGATTTTTACAGACCCTGAGATCTAAGAACTCTTCTTTTCCTGAACCTGTCTTTCCTAACTTCCAACCCAATCAGCTGCCCCCATGAAATGAGCTGTTGACAAAATACTGTCATTTCCTCAGAAAACACCCTGCCCTAATGCAACGATAAATTATTCATTTTTATTACTGGGTGGAGAAAAAGTGAGGGCTTCCAATTTACAATCACCTTTTGAACAGAGGAGAGTGGAGGAGAGTGAGGATGATGACTTTGCAGCTCTGCCTCATCTAAATCCAATTTACGAACAAGTTAAGACATCACCCTCATGATGTCATTGGTCCTCTTCAAAAAGGAAGGATGAACAACAATAACAAACACCTACTACATGCCAGGCACCATGCTAAGGACTAGGTATGCAAAGAGAGGTGAAAACAGGGCCTGCCCTCAGGGAGCTCACAGTCTAATGGAGGAGACATGCAAAAAAACTACATACAGAATACACACACACACACACACACACACACACACATACAGAGGATAAATTGAAGGTAATCTCAGAGGAGGGAAGGCATTAGCATTAGGGGGAATTGGGAAAAGCTTCTTGCTGAAGATAAGATTTTAGTTGAGACTTAAAGGAAGCCAAGAGGCAGAGATAAGTGGGAAAGCACTCCAGGCATGGGAAAAGACATGGAATATGGAATCTTATGTAGGAGGAAATGCAAGAAGGCTGGTGTCCCAGGAATGGAGAGTACCTGGAGGAGTAATATGTAAAACAACTGGTAATAAGTTTCACAACAACTCAGAGAGAGAGGGATTACTGCTGGTTAGGGTGGAGATGGCAGTCAAAGGTGATTGAATGAAGGTGACATTTGAGCTGGGCCCTGAAGAAAGGGTAAAAGATTTTAAAATGAGATATTTTAAAAGATGATACATGCTGAGATGGCACAAAACAGAGGAATACTTTGACCCAGCCCTGAAAAAGAAAGTTGGACACAGAGTAGAGAAATATCTCTAGGGGCTTAACACCCATGTCATCGTGCCAGTGTGGCAATGCCAAAGCAAATAGCACCAAATCACAATCCTGGGCCACTCAAGGCTGAGAAACATGTGCCCCAGATACCAGAATCTCTCTTTTGCTCACAGCTTACGAGTCACCTACACAGAGAAGACAATCATGGAATACAATGTCTTTGACCTCAAAGAAGTGGGGTTGCCAAATGAACTTGTAAATTCCTTGATGCTCCCAAATCACTTGAACAAGTCAACATTCTCTCATAGACAGCAAGCAATGAAACTTGAAAACCAAACTGACCATCCCCCTAATATTGGCAAAATCAAAGCAATACCTTCCCCAGATGCAAAAAAAAAAAAGTTGCTTTCCTCTGGACCCCTCTAAAGTTCTCCCAGATGGTCCAGCTTAAAGCAGACTGGCTATAGAGAAGTGAGACCTGCTACCCCAGTCTACCCCACCCTGTGTGTATCTGAGAGGAGGACCAGCTCCAGGACATCAGGGAGCCAAAGATTACTGGAGGAAAGACTGGGCCCCCACTCGGACCCTAAAAACACAATACAATGTAATCTCCCTTACAAAAGAAAGCCTCTTCTGTTGCCAGCAGTGGGATACTGGCATCTAGGCTAGGTCAAAACAAACAAACCAAGTCTTCCCATTATAAAGGGCTCCCCTGAACCATAGATCCAGAGCTCGAAGGGGCTTCAGATACCATCTAAGGAACCTAAGGCCAAGGGAAGGTGAGTGACTTCCTCAAATTTACTCAAGCAGTAATCTGAATCCAGATCTCACATTCCTTCCAACTCTATTTATCCTTTAATTGTGGTACTTCAAAATATCTACCACTTAATTGGCATGAACACTCCTACTGACAAAGACCACAGGCCCTAGAGATCTTGGCAGACAAGTAATGTTGTAACCAAAAAATCCATTCACTGGTAATTAACCATTTGATGAGCTATCTTCCTGAGCTGAGTTGTTTGTTTGTTTGTTTGTTTGTTTGTTTTTATGGGGGTTATCTTACTAAATTTTTCTTTCCTTCATCTCTTCTGTTTGCTAATATCTTGCACCATTTAGCAGAATTTTTCTTGTTCTTGAGGTAGTTTGAAAGAGAGCTGGATTTGCCTTGAACCTCACACACTGACCTATTTGCTAGAAGCCTAGACAGATATAATGACCAACACCAAGCCTGTAACTAAAGCCTGCATTTGTCCAGCTCGGTAAAAGTAGGAGATCTTGTGTTCCTCTGGCAGAGCCTTGGACTCAGACTCATTTCCAAGCCCCCATGAGATCTTAAAGAAAGACATCAATGAAGAAGAGTCTTAAAAAACAGTAAACACCCTCAGGCTCTTTCTATGTCTGGTGATGATGCATGTCAAAAACCACCCAATATTCTCCTCTCCATAATATATATTTTTCTTCTCTAATATATGGAATGAGAATTAGAATTCCAATGAACCAGAAAATAAACTGCAAAACATTCTTACCTATTTCTCCGAGTTTGATCTACAGAATAAATTTGCTTTCTTAGCCAGCTAGAAGAAAAAAAGAGAGACAAAAAATTAGGAAAATAACAAAACTCACCTACCCTCACGTAACTATTTAGAACAGGAAGCTAACTCTGTCCTGACCTAGGACAAGAAGCTAATTCTGTCACTCCCAGACCAGGGACCTTTCTATTCAACTATATTTCCTCCTATATACCTTTTAGCTACAAATACTTTTTCACAGTTTGAGGCTATCTTAAGAGATGCTTAGCATCTGGAATAAAGAAAATGAGGGGCCTGTTGTTCTCTGCCCCAGTCAAACCCCAAGGGGAGTCTTTATTTTCAATTCTGGGAGACATGTTTTAGGAAAGACATAATAGACAGTATGTTCAGAAGAATCTGATCAGAAGAGGGTGAGGACAGCAGAACAGGCCCTATGAGGATTGGCTGAAGGAACTGAGCATGTTTAACCCAGACAAGGCTTAGAGAGATTTATAACTAACTTCAAATATCTGCCAGATTGTCATGGGAGACAGAAGACATTCTGTAGAGCTCCAGAGGGAAGATCTAGAAGAAATGGATGGAAGGTATGCGGAGACAGATTCTGGCTCAAACTAAGGAAGCATTTCCTAACAATTGTTGCTGTCCAATGACAGAACAGGCTGCCTCACAAAAGAGGAAGCTCTTCATTCCTAGGGGCATTCAAAGAGTAACAAGATGGTAATCTGAATGAGATGTATGCTACAGGTTACAAGACTGAACTAGGTGACTTTTGAGGTCCCTTCCCATTTTAGGCTTCTATGAATCACTCTAACAAAGTTAAGTTCAAAAAGCTGATTAGAAGATGGTATAAATTTAAATACTTCAGATTAACTTTTTTTTCAAATAGAGACTGAAAGACCCAGACCTTTATCAGCCCCTACAAAATGACATAATTGAGAACCTTACCCTCAGAACCAATGGGACTTGGATTCCTTACTAGTCAATGCTGTAATCCTGTATTGAATCACCATTTTTTTTTCATTTTATATTAGTCAAGTGTTTTGTTCCCTCCCAATTTTAATGACTCCTGATCATAATACGTGAGGCCATATGGTACAAGGGATAGAGAGCTACCCTTGGACTCAGAAAGATCTGGATTCAAGTCTTGCCCTTGACAAACATTGGCTGTGTGACTGACTTAAGTCCTCAGTTGCCTAAAGATGACTTTCTAAGAGTCTAAGTTGTAAGGTAGACACTGATCTACACTGATAAACAGTTTCCTCCTTCGGAGTTCCTTTTACCACTGAAATCAAGGGTCTGGGTCCACAAAGAAGCAAACTGACCACAATAGCCTGGGGATAAAATACAATTGCTGAATGTGATTTGAGATCATTATTAAGTGCCCTCTCGGGACTCAAGTAGGTGGCTTTGAATCTTTCTCCTATGTGACAGCTTCCCTGAACATCCCAAAATAAGCAGAAGAAAAAGGAAAGGAGTAGACCAAGTACCTCTCAATAATAGCTGGCGTTGAGGCACTCTGGGCTTCTTGGTGCAAAATTGTCAAGCCACAAAGCCATTTAGTAGCATCTTCCTTGGAGTCCGCTGAAAAGAAAGAGAGAGGAACTTTTACATGGAATGCCTGATGGGTGGCCCCATTCAGGTGCTTCTGCTCTTGGGCTTCAGGGCCTGCTTCCTGACAGATGTAGGCAAAAAGGATCTCCTGAGTGTCCCAAGAGATTTCAAAACATGCTACCCTTACTTCTGAAAACATGCAGTAAAGGGCTAGAGCTTCCGCATGTGGCATGAGAGTAAACCAAATGCCACCGTTGGAAGGGCAGTGCCTTTGGAGTCAGAAGACCTGGGCTCTCACCCATGCTCTGACACAGACTACTGTGTGACCCTGATCAAGTCTAAGCCAGTGTCTCCCATCCCAGCCTCCACCAAACTACCTTCTCCTGTTTATTCTGGCTTCTACCGTAGAACAGGCATGCTATGGCACCAGGAAATCAACCATGCACACGCCACTAGCTCTCAACAAATCAAGAGTCTAACTTATTATCATCTTCATTTCACACATGAAGAAACTGAGACTGAGGGAGGTTGCATACCCAACCCCAACAATGGTTTCTCAGGAACCAAAGCTCAGAGCATTGAGAGTTCCATTTCCCTCTTTTCTCTTAATGACTATCAGGTCTCTAGCACTTTACTAACCAAAAATAAAAACAGATAACTACACTCTTGTGCAAGTGAGGCCTTTTTTCTCCTGGAAAGTCTCCAAGTAACAATCCAAAGAGAGGAGAGAGGCTGAACACTAGAAAACTGGGTTGGCGACAAGGTGATGAATTTTGGCACTATAGAAACTCACCACACTATTAATATACCATTCTACTCTAATTAATTTATATCAGTGGGAGGCATATCCACATCCACTGAATCACAGATCTTTTGAATTACTCAGGTGAAAAGGGCTCAGTCATCAGAAGTGAGGCAGCACCAAGTTTGTCAGCCTAAACGTCAGTGCTGGGAAAGCCCTTAGAGATCATTCTGTCCAACCCTCTCATTTTTTGTTGTTGTTTGGTCATTTCAGTCGTGTTTGGCTCTTCATGACCCCATTGGGGGTTTTCTTGGCTGAGATACTGGAGTGGTTTGCCACTTCCTTCTCCAGCTCATTTGACAGATGGGGAAACTAAGACAAACAGGGTGAAGTGACTTGCCCAGGGTCACATAGCTAATAAGTGTCTGAGGCCAGATCTAAACTCAGGGAGATGAGTCTTCCTGACTCTAGGCCCAGCACTCTATCCACTGCACCACCCAGCTGCATTTTACAAGAGTAAACTGAGGACCAGGGAGGGCATGTAATTTATCCGGAATCATATGGTCACTCCGTGGCAGAGATGGGACTAAGACTCATTTCTTTTGTCTCTATATCTAGGGACCTTTCTGCTATTATTCGGCTAAGTAATAGTGCAATAGAGGCAACAGAGCAAAGGGCTAATTTACATAGTTATTCATTAATATGCCAGATACTCCTTATTACCAAGTAAAATATTAATATGTTAATATTCATTAATATACTAGATACTCCTTATTACCAAGTTCGATAACACAAGCCAGTATCAAATCTGAATATATTTTATTTCCCAGAAAACTCAAAGCTGCCTTTAAGCATCAAAAGGTCTTTTTAAAAACTTTAACACTTTGTGTGTTAGAAGTCCTTCTATTAACAAGTGACATAAGAACACAATGTGGGGTGAAATGATCTTTCAGAGGAGAGCTCATTCCAAAAGGACAGCTATATATGGGCAGCAAGATTTCACAACCCGGGTGGGAAGCGGGGAGGAGCTGGTTATAAAATTTAATATTTTCCATTAAAGACTCCCATTTCAATAGTCCTTTAAGATTTACAAAGCAGTTTCCTGGAATGTCGTATTAATGCTATCATGGGTAAACAGCATCTATGAGCCCATACATATTCAGAGTACGTGTTTAGTTCTTTTGCGGTGTTAATGTATCTTCCCTGCTTCTAATCTGTTACTTTATTTTCCCTCACTTTAAAATCAGATGAAAAAAAAATGAGAAAAATGTGGCTACCCTTTGATCCAGAGATCCCACAACTAGGCATATCACCCAAAGAAGTCAGACAGAAACAAAGGTCCCAAAATGTTCCCCTTTTGTAGCAGCAAGTAACTGGAAACAAAGTGAGTGCACATCAACTGAGACAACTTCATATAGTAGAAAGAACATTTAACTTGCAGTCATAGGATCTTAATCATTTGGATCTACCACTTACTACTTATACTTATGTGACCTTGGCACCTCTCTATGCCTCTCTGCACCTCTTCATCTCCAAAATGGGGGTGTTGGTCTCAATGACCTCTAAAATTCCTTCCAAATCCACATCTATAATCTTATGATTAAGGAAGAGTTATTGTGGTCCATGAATGTAACAATGTATATATACTATGCCATAAGAAATGACAAAAATGAGGAATTCAAAGAAACATGGGAAGATTGCAACTGATGCAACAATATACAAGCAAAGAACAATAAAACAAATTGAATGTTAGGTAAGTAAAACAAACAAACTTGCCCCTTATGATACAGTTTAAGGTCTGATACTGCTGAATCTACTTCCTTTACATTTTTCCCTGGTTTCTTTGAAGTTCCTGACCTTTTGTTTTTCCAAATGAACTTTGTTATTATTTTTTCTAACTCAGTAAAATAATTTTTGAGTAATTTAATTGTATGTAACACTGCATGGTAGAGTACTGTCAGATACTGTCAACATGTTTAGGGGTATTACTTAAGTGTTTTTTGGCTTTTAATCTTTGCTACAAGAGAAGGCTCATTAAGTGACAGAGGTCAAGGAGTGTATTCAGAAATAAATATATAAAAATTAAAAGGCATCAACACAACAACAACACAAATATTATAATTCTAGATAAACATATTGGGGTCAGGGCCTTCCATAGAATAAGGTGTAAGTGCTTTGTGACAGAAAGGCTTTTTTCATATTCTTCTAGAGTCAACTGTTTCACAGGTTCAAGGTTGCTAGAGTTCTGACTCCCAGTTAAATGTGGCATTACTACGGACTCTTTCCAATTCTTTGCACTGGTAACAGCACACTTTGACAGAACCCTGATTCTAGCATTATGGGTACTTCTTTCACAAATAAAGATCATAACTGATCCAAACCTCCTCATTCTATGGAATTCTTATCCATGTCCTCACATAAATCCTCCATAGAGGATCTGCCCAGCATGCTATTTTTAAATAAAATTTTATTTATATCTTTTTCATATTACCAAAATTTTGACAGTACCCCTCTCCCTCTCACTTTCCAGAGAGTTATCCCATATAACAAATACTATATTTAAAGAATAACTGATCAATACTTAAAAAATTCTGGAAGTTTGTACAATGTCCCACCCTTATGGACCTTTCACATCTTTGCAAAGGAGTGAGGTGGGAGTATCTTCTCATATCTCTTCTTTGAAGCCATGCTTGTTTTTTGTCATTTTGCAGCATTCATTTTTTTATTGTTTTTCAGTAGTTCTATCCCATCATGTTACTGGATACTGTTTTCTTGGCTCTGCTTACTTTACATAATTTCATTTAAATTATTCCATTATTCTCTACATTCAACACATTCATCATTTCTAACAGTACGGTAATATTCCCTTACCATCACATATCATAATTTTGTTCAGCCCTTCTCTAGTCAATGAGAACATCTAATTTTTTCCAATTTTTTAATTTTTTAGTAATTTTTTTTTATTTTAAGCTTAAATACAAAATGAGAAAAAGAAAAAAAAATTGCCATGTACACAGCAGACCATAAGAGAGAATTCAATATAAGACAATAAATTTCCATTTTAAGAAAAGCTGTATAATAAATACTAAACACTGTTTTCAAAGCTGCCCAGATTTTCTTTGCTTCCTTGTTGGCTTGCTTTTGTTCTCTGCTGTGCACTTTTTATTTTATTTTTTCCCCTTTCCCCCCTACCCCACAAAGAAGGCTACGGTTAAGCATGGAGATATATATATATATATATATATATATATATATATACACACACACATAGATATCTATAAACATATACACTCACACACATATATCTAAGAGTATATACTATGCTTATTTCCTCCTACCATTTGTTTCTCTGAAGGTGAATAGCATCTTCCTTCCTAAGTCCAAGTCTTTCCATGTTTATCTAAATCAACCAGCTCATCATTTTCTACACCACAGCAATATTCTAACCCAATCACATCCTATCTGAGAGATTCTCTGAAAGCTTTTTCCCCAGTTTTCTGCATTCCTTCTGTTCTTGGCTACATAGGTTTTATTTATACAAGAAAATTTTAATTAAAAATAATCTAAATTATCCTTTTTACACTTCAACAATGCTCTCACCTTATAATATAGTTTAAGGTCTGATACTGCTGAATCTACTTCCTTTACATTTTTCCCTGGTTTCTTTGAAGTTCTTGACCTTTTGTTTTTCCAAATTAACTTTGTTATTATTTTTTCTAACTTGGTAAAAACGTTTTTTAGTAATTTAATTGGGATGACATTGAATAAATAGATTAGTCTGATAAAATTGTCATTTTTAAAATTATATTGGCTTTATCTACTCATGAGCAATAAATATTACTTAAATTCTTTAGATATGAGTTTATTTGTATAAAAAGTGTTTTACGTTTATGTTCATATAGTTCATGTGTCCATTTGGCAGGTATACGCTTAGGTATTTTATACTGTCTAGGTAATTTAAATGATCTAAAACAATAATGAATAATATTGCTGACACATAGTATAGTTTCAGTATTTTTCACTTTTGATTAAATATATTTAAACTTTAAGTTTGTCTGAGATTACAATGACTATCCCTGCTTTTTTTACATACTAAATTCTACTTCTACCCTTTATTTTATCTTTCTGTGTATCTTTCATTTTTACATTTACTGAAAGCAACATACTGTTGAGGTCAAATTTTTAATCTATTATCCATTTCTGTTTCATAGGTAAATTCATATCATTCACATTCCAAGCTACAACTGCTTGTTGTATATTTTCCTCCTTAATATTTTTCTTCACTATC